ACCCTGCCAAGGCTACTAAGGGCTTCCTCTGCAGCATTTCAATAGAGTTGTCACTTGTTCTTGTCTCCGCGGTGCACCGCAGGAGATCTGTTGTGACCAAGGTGAATCACCAGAGTTGAAGGCTTCGAGAACTCCAGAGGCACTTGTGGAGCTGAAAGTTGCATTTGCAGCTCTGTCTTTCTCCATTCCGCAGATCTCTCTCTCTGCAGGCCTTGTAGGTGTTTCAGCGAACGCTCCTGTCACAAGGTCGGTGTGGCAGGACCTCTTTTGCAGAAGAGACCTCCCGTGCAACACTTACGCATGCAATGCAGGAAAGTTGATGGGCAAGTTCGTCATATATTGTGAGTTAGATGGTCACTGACACACTGAGCAGAAGCACGAGGCCACGCCCTGCAGGGCCGGTGGTCGGCTGACAGGCCGACCTGCTGAATGCAAGGTGCCGTGGATCTTTGGTGGATTGACGCTGCCTTGCAGGGGGCTATGGGCTCGAAGTTCGCTCACAGCCAAGCTCTTATTCGATTCTAGTCTAGTGTGTTTCCGCAGCATGATGAGCAACTACTCCAGTGCCGCTCGAGCGATGCTACTGAAACTTCCTCTGTCCGCCTCCCCTATCTGCAGGGCCTCATCATTATGCCTCTGCTAAGAGCAGAGCAGCTGCAACAGACCTACTGTAGCCATGTATGACTTTGCAGGAGCACAACCGCCGTTAGGTTATCCCGTGCAGAGAGGTCTGTGACAGGCCATGTGCCGCAAAATTTCTATCGTTTTGAGACGGATGGCAGACAATCTTCCGACACCGCACATGCCCAGTAAGATCTGTAAGATGCCCTCCTCTCAGGATTTGTTGCGGCAGAAAGCGGATAGGAGCGGCTGAGGGCCCTGGGCCAGCCGGTAGATCTGAGACGTGCCGAGGCTCCAGCGCATGCGGCAGGAGAATGGCGCCATGCAGACGTACATCACGCAAAGCGCCGCCTTCTTGCAGCAGGCGCTGGCCTCGGCGCAAGATGGCGCAAGTACGTCGCATGCATCGATGTGCAATAGCAAGGCACAGGGGGCCGCCGCACCGGCTCCGGCAACTTGGGCACAAAGGGAAGTTAGGAGAAGTTAGTGGAAGTGAGGGGAAGTTGCAAGCCTTGTATGCTACTGTTGCAGCAATGTGTCGGAACCCTGAGGCTCGCCGAGTCCTGAGCTTGGGCACCACATCGCTGGGGCCTCACGAAACCACACGTCACTGCCCTTCACTTGTAGCACTGATTCGTTCTGAGATGTGAACCTGAATCCTTGCTGTTTCCTTTCTTAAAGAAGGAGAGAGCGAAGGATGCGTGGCCCGCCTCGGTTGCCTCGGTGGATTAAGCCGCCCTCAAGGTTACCCGGGCACCAAGCGGCCCACATCCCCCAAACCTGCCGCAGACCCCCACGATCGTCGTGTCATCGTGCAAAAGGGTGTGGGCTGAGCATGTCGCTGCAGTGTATTATACATGCGGATGTCCAGAGGGCAAGGTGCGAGGAAAGTTATTGCGGCCGGCTTTCCCGTCGTGATTTGTGTTTCGAATGGTAGAGGCGTGAGTGCGCGCGCTTCATCACATGAATATGCACCTCTAGAAATCTCTCTCTCTGTCTTTTTTCAAAGCGCGCGCCCAAGGTCAGATACCCCGCTGGAGGACAGCAGCAGTGCAAGTCCTGTTTGCTGTGGCCATCTGCCGTTGCCGCTGTGATGCTTTCTCCAACGGTTTCATTTCAGGACCTATCCAGTCAAACATCTTCGGGTGAGACCTAATTTGACAGGGTTGCTAATTCTATGTCAATTCGCTTAGTGTAGAGTAGAGTAGGTTGTATTCGGGCCTTCAGGCTGGTATCGTCCAGGAGCCCTGTACCATAGCAAATGTTGGCATCTGCCTTTGTGAGGGCAAGTGCCCAACTAGAGGCCTGCCAAAGAGCGGTGATTATTCTGCCACAAGACAAGCTACATCGTTCTGACGTCAGGATTACTAGAAAAGATTCAGGGGCAAGCTCAGGCTCCAAGTGGCAGTAACATCCAGGAACCCGCAGGCTGTTGTCTCACAAGATTCGTGATCGCAGGCCGGTCATGAGAACTTCTGAAGCACTCAGGCTCCAGATCCTTGCAAATTAAAAAACCACCTCTGGGTTATGTTGCGCAGAACCCATTGATTCTCCGAGGTTCATCAGCCATCGCAGTAAAGTCATTTCGACTGTTTTGGACTGCATGTTGCACTCTCCCTCATACTAGTAGGAGGGACATGGCTCTTTTGGCTCGGAGCTCGATCTGTTGCAATGGATCATGATGTTCTCACTGGTGGGTATCACTTGTCACTTGCTGGTTCGGAGTAGAGGTTTACAAGCTGCATCAACATCAGGACATTGGTGAGCCTAACGGACTACCAGCACTAAGCACTGCTGCAGCATGTGTCTGCCTCTGCAGTTTCTCAATGCGTATGAGTTGGTTCCCGGCCCAGGCATTGCCAACACTTGCAAAGCTGTTGCATCTGTTGCCAATGCCTCCTGGACTTCACCTCATTCAAGTGCAGGAGCATGGCCAACTGCGGGCAGTGTTGCCTGCGACTGGCCTCCGGTGCAATCATCCTCCTCGTGGCATGTCTGATAGGCTTGTCCCGACAGTGTGTGCGAGTTGAACGAGGGCAACAGTCATGTCCAGCGAGGATCAGCCCAACGTGGTACAGCACAAGCAAGTGAACCTTTCAGGTATCGGAGTGTGCAAGTACAACCCGCAAAGTAGGATGCGATGTTGAAATCTTACCTTCATGCGACCCGGTTGAATAGATTTTATCAACCAAGCGCTCAAATACTTTTGGGATCTGTGGCTCTAGGCTGAGATTTTCGGGGTCATTGCGGTTGTGCTCGAGTGCCAGCAACGCAGGAATCCTTGTCAGCCTGGGATCTACAGAGGCTGCATGGCAGCTGGGGTCCGTTGAGGAGGTGCCAATCTTGACATCTCGCGATTTCAGCAGAGTTGGAAGGTCGAGTCGAGCTTGTGCCTCATGGCCGTAGCTGAGGATTGCTGTAGCACCGTAGCATTCAGCACTTCTGGGAGCTATTTGGAGGAGGGGGGACATGGGGGGCACTGGCTCTTGCATAGGCTTCAGTACTTTAAGCGGCTTGAAGGCATATCTTGGCAAGCTCAGCTGAGGTGTCAATCGGATTCTGCAACATCACCTCTCCTCAAAGAGAAATGAGCTGAAAATGAACGGTGCTGCGAGAAACCACAAAGCGATAGCAAGACCCTGGCACAACTCCTGGAACAACCAGCTGCAAGCGTGACAAATTTCTGGATGTGCGGTGGCATGCTTGTAATGGAGGTGTGGAACGACCTTGCGGGTTTGGACCTTTCTGCCTATTTCGTGGCCCTTCTGAAGCTCGTCTGCAACACTTGTGCCAGAGAGAGCAACGCGCCAGAGACTTCGTGAGGCGGATGGATGTCACATGTTAAAAACATAAGTCAGGATGTGGTAAAGCATGATAAAGCAAGTGCAGCCATGCGGAAGCTATGTATCTACTCGTAATGGCATCAGGATCGGGATCTTGACGACGCTCCCAGCCTTGTTTTGCAACAGGGGGCACTCAGAAAAGGAGGCACCGCTCGAACCGGATTCGACAGGCCGCTGCACATGTCTGCCATCCAGCCGAGTTATTTCTGAGAATTTCATGAGAGTTCCTCCTGGCGTTGAAGGCAAAGCCAATCCTGGCGTGGAAGTACCCAAGGCGCCGGCGCCCCCAGCGCCGGCGCCGAAGCCGAAGCCGAAGCCAAAGCCGCTCAGTCCCAGGAGGGGCCAAATCCATAACTCATCACATCATTGTAAACGCTTGCGCGCGCCGCCTCGGCAGCCGGGCCGGCCCCAGGACAGGAAAGGAGGAAAGAGGGTTTCGCAAAAAAAGGGGAGGAAGGGCAGGGGGAAGGGGGAGGGGGGAGGGGGGAGGGGGGGGAGGGGGGAGGGGGGAGGGGGGGAGGGGGGCTTGTTCCAGACGCTTCTCGGCAGGAAGCCGAGGCGAATAGTCACATGTCAGGGTTTAGGGCTCAGAGCTTCTCCCTCACAGTTTCCCCCCTTGGTCTCAGAGTGCCGATGTTTTTGCAAGGAGCCAGGCAAAGGAGCTGGTGGGCTCTCGCATGAGCCCGGAGCAGGCGCTCCAATTCCTCACTTTTGTGCCACCTTTTGTGCCACCTTTTTTGCCACCTTGTGGCTGGTGCTTCGCGGATCGTCCTCGCGAGGCCCAGAAGGCCGCGGAGAAGATCCTTTCCCTGAGGTCCTACGTGGAGCGCACAGACCCGCGGCTCGGCGAAGACCTGTAGATGGCATATGATTGCATTATTTGTTCTGTCCGCTTTGTTGATGGCTGTGGCAGTGATGGCACGTAAAAGTCACGGTCTGTCAGGATCAACTTGGATGAGATGTGGGCCTTCTTTGATATGCCTGCGCCAACGAGTAGCAGATCCATGGATCCATCGGATCCGATCATGCAGACTTTGAAGGGCAAGCTCAACCGACAACGGCTGCTCTTTCACCCCGATAAGAACGGCCACCCTGAGGCAGGCGAAAACGGGATTCAAAAATGAGCCGTGCAGGCATTGGGCCAATCTTGAGCCTGCATCCGTCGGCTCTTTCCTCAGGCCGAGAAGACCTTCAAGTTCCTGGAGGTCTGCCATCAAAAGTTGATGCGCGCATACACGCGTCAGGGGGAGTCGGTCCATCAAAGAACACGGCGAGAGGAGGAGGAGCTGAAGAAGGAGAGTGTCAGCCAATGTCAGGGGTGGGAATGTAAGTGGCGATTGGTGTATGCAATTTTCATGCGGCTTTGAAAGGGCGTGATCTCATGTGATCTCTTGTGTTTCAGAAGATGGATTCGAGCTTGCACCTGGTTGAGTTGCCTGCTTGTGAGGAGCAGGAGCGTCGTCAGAAACAGGAGGAGGAGCGGCGCGCGCAGATGGCTGGGGCCTGTGTGAGTCTGCACCAATCAGTTCGCAGATAAGTATGGTCATGCGGTCATGCATTGTTCAGGCTCTGTATCTCTAAAATCTCCACCCATGGCCATCTCCGCCCATGTTGGTCCTGTCGCAAGTTGAAGGCCTTGATTGAGAAAGAAGAGGAGGAGAGGGTTCGCAGGGCTGAAAGGCAACAACAGCGCCTGGAGGCGATGCTTCAAGCGAAGCAGCTTCTTGCCTGAACTCCATAAATAGAGGATAGACAGATTTGAAAAGGGAGCTTGAGCAGCATTCAGCAGCAAGAAGCAGACACGGAAGCGCTTACGCTGAAAGATGGTGCCCTGGCGTACGGGATTCTTGGAGCCCAAGGTCAGCGTTCGAGGCCAAGTGCAACAACAGCCAGCCTTCCGGCTGCATCCGGCTGCGAGTGGCCGGGGGGTGAGAGTGGCGTAGGCCCAACAGCCCAACAGCTCACACAACATGCAATGCCATGCAATGCCATGCAATGCCAATGCCATGCAATGCCATGCAATGCCATGCAATGCCATGCAATGGCCCCTCTTTTAACCCGAGGATCCTTCCACGCACGTGTTCGAATGAGCTGCCCGTCACGGGGATCTTTGCGAATACGTGTGTGCTCTCCAAAAGCCTTGTGGGCAGACAGGCCGATGCAAAGACACTCGCATGAGGTTTAGGATAGCTTAAGATTGTCGCTCCAAGAATGTCCCTCCAAGCAGGAGGATGCGGAAGAGCCGACGGCTGCCATCGGCAGGCTCAAGGTCTGTCTGCAGCGCGCTCGTGACCTACCCGTGCCAGAGCTACTAGGCTGACAAATGCTGACGAGCAGTGCTTCCACGATCTTCGTTTACACTCCAGCAGAGCTTGCCAGAGTACGGCGCCGCTCGAAACCCGAGCTGAACATGACTTGGTTGACTTGATGCCTTTGTGACAAGGTACTTTCTTTCTGGCTTCAACTTTGCAGAAGTGAGCCTCAGTTGCACCAAGAGAGCTTTGCTTTGGTTCAAGTACAATTTTTCCCTTGCCTGCGGGCATAAGACTCGTAAGGCGAGTTGGGGAGCAGAGCTTTCAGTCACCCAAAGTTGCGGGAGAAAATCCTGTGTGGGACTGCAGCTTCAGCTATGATGTGCACCGGGTGGACACGGTGCTGAAGGCACCTCGGATGGGCTTTAGCGGGGTTTGGGGGCAGTCTTTAAAGGAGACCGTGTGGCACTGGCACAAATTTCTGTCTTGATTTGACAAGAAGAGAGTGGCTTGGAATGGCAGAAGCCTCCTCAAAACTCTGAGGTCAGCATCTTTCGTGAGGGCTGGTTTCAGGACAATTTTCTCGGGAAGCTGGAGATCCCGTTCCTGGACATTGAGGAGTGGTCGGGGCATCCGATCGGGCGGCTCCTCGAGCCGGAAGACGACGTGGGCGACTCGTGCATGCTTCTGGAGCTCTGTGCTTCTTTCGAGTGGTTCTGACATGTTCTGACATGTTCTGACACGTTCTGACATGTTCTGATCCCTCTACAAAAATTGTGGGTTGTCGTTCTCCACGGTCTTTCTGGCCTCCAATTTCAGAGACGTGTTGCCTGGGACAGACTTTCAGCATGGGCCGTGGGGTGAAAATCACCCCGGCAGCGGCAGATGCAGGCTTGTCGGCATGTCTGAGGAGCCGGACAAGGCTTCATTGGGCCTGTTGGCCTGCGGCAGTGCAGTCGCAGATTGCGATCAGCTGTAGCTACTCCGAATGGAGAGCATAGCTGACTTCGACAGTTTCCTGCTACAGAGCTGTGGCAGCACAAAAAAGCCACTCACAGGTTTGTTGTGCTTATGCTGGGCATCGACAAGGGGTGGTACCCAAGGCGGAATGTTCAAACGTAACTGGAAAGGTTTTAGGACGTACCTTGGCCCTGCATAAAAGGGAGACTTCGCAGGTGTGCAGATGGCAGGGAAATGGCAAGGAAGTGGCAGGGAAGTGGCGGGGAAGTGGCAAGGAAGTGGCAGGGAAGTGGCAAGGAAGTGGCAGGGAAGTGGCAGGGAAGTGGCAGGGAAGTGGCAGGGAAGTGGCAGGGAAGTGGCAGGGAAGTGGCAGGGAAGCGGCATGGTTGGAATGCGGATGCAGACTACGCGATTCTCCTCATCCTGCTCCCCAGAGCTGGCATAGAGTCTCAGAGGCCACAGAACCACAACCCATGGACAAGCACCAAGGGGGCTGCAGATTCCTAGGGCCGTAGGGTCATTGTAGTATTCTCAGCAGCATGAGTTCAACATCGCATCAGCAAAACTGGACAGCCACGCAGATAGCCACACAGACTACACTTTTAGTACTTTAGATGCAACAGACCCTGGCTGCTGCCCATGACACTGAGGCGTGAGACTTTGCTGTTTTTTGGACAAGCTGAGAATTCTTAATCGCTCTTCTCCCTTGCAGGGAGGAAGAGAGAGAGGGAGAGAGAGAGAGGGCGCGCTGAGTGCGCAGGGGGTCACGCCTACGCCCCCAGAAAGAAAGAAAGAGCGAACGAGAGAAGCAAGCCTTTTTGGGGCTCCTTCTCGCATGAAGACTCTCCATGGTCTGCATGGGGGAGTGTCGTTCACAGGCGTAGGAGCAGCTTTTCGGGCTGCCCGGCGTTAGCCAGACTGCCAATGCCACAGTCCTGCCGATGGGCGTCCTGAACACTTTTGGCTTGTGGTACAGTAGACATGCCATGTATCCTATCCTAAAGCTCCACTTCAATTTGCTGTCCTTGCAAAAGGCTATCTGACCACCAGAGTTTTCCTTTGTCTTGCATTTTGCTGAGGTCACTCCGATCACGCACTGAAGAGGACTCTAATGACTCTAATGTGTTGTCGAGACTTGCTGTCACTGCCCGTCGCATCCAGAGCCCTCTCGAGTCATTCCAGAGGCAGCCCTGGCAACCCAGCGCTCGACTCCTTCCTGCTCGCCAAAAAATGCTCTGGCCTGCGCTGGGAACCAAGTCTTCCGGGGGGGGGGGGGGGGGGGCATGGTTCCATGGATGCTGTAAAGCGTGATCAGTTGTAGAAGCTTGTAGGGGTGAAAGCTGATTAGAGTCAAGTCAAGAAGCGCGGGATGGCTGAGTCAGATGACAGAGAGGCCCCCAAGTCGGAAAACCAGTTTAGGGCTTAAGGATTCGGGTTCGGGTCTTTAGGGTTGGGTTTGTGTTTCTCGGTTCCATGTCTCACGACTTAGGATGGCTCGCCCAAGACCAACAGGAGCATGAACAGCACGAGGACGAGGGATCTGGGTCTAAACCTCAGATTCGCGTGCCCCTGTGACCCTAAACTTGCTCCGATGGCCGCAGAATGCCGCAGATGGTCTTCTCAAGCTCAAGTTTTGGCAGGTTTCTTCCTTCCGAACGATGGGACGCAAAGTGCTGCAGTGACTGCTGGGGAAAGTCACACGTTTACGCTAGTGGGGCTTTCGCTAGAGAGGATGTTTCCGCAATCCTAACGGTTGATGTGTTATGATGTGGTCTCCTACCTTCTACCATTTGGTGGGGATGAGCTATTGGCAGGACCAGGCACGTCAGCTCCTGCAGCACCGTCGATTCCATAAGCAAACCTCAGATTGCTTCGTCAGCTGGGCTCTCAGTTAAGGAATGAGCATTCAGCTGATCAGTTGAACAGCTTTGGCGCACATTCCCACCACTTTCCGCCTGTCCCTGCCATCCGCATGAGAGATCATGAGAGGCTCTTCTTTTACAGACACTCACTCCTCCGCCGCACGAGCATCAGAGTTGGATGCATGAGAGGCTCTTCTGGAGCGGAGAACTTCAATGGCCAGTGCCGGCCACAGCCAGATGCTACAAGTACGCAGCGGCATTCCAACAGCATGCGTTGGCAAATAGTTTAGTATTCGAAACAACTGTGTGCGCTGCAGAGGTCTGTCAGATGCTAAGCCAGAGGGTGAGAAGAACCAGAAGTCTGCAAACGGCTTGGTGTGCCGGGGGGGGGGGGGGGGGGGGGAGTCCAAGACAGTGCAAGAGCGCAAGGGGCCTGGGGGGACCGGAAGCTCCAAGGTAGCTTTGATGCTCGCTTCGTTCTTAGCTGGCTTTGGTGTTTGGTTTCTGTGAAGCTCGTGTGAAAGAATGGCTTCAAGTGCTTGAAGTTGCTTTGTTGGGACTCTTGCGGGCCGTTGGTGCCATGCGGCACCATGTGCCTTCAGGCCAAGTGCATGCAGGGCAGTCTCAAGCTTCCTGGCACAACCAGCCCTCGCAAAGAGCCGCCCACTCCAGAGGCTCCGTCGTAACGTCGTAATCATCGTGTAACATGTGTACTCAGATAAGCAAGACTCTTGTGGCACTCTCTGCCATTGTGCTGGACTGTTGGATGCGGTTTGTCATGTTAAGATTGCAAGAGAGCAGCTCTGACCGTGGGAAGATGCCTTGAGCCTCGAGCCAAGCATTTTGCCGCAGGCTCGGAGCCCGTTGTCGCCGTTGTCGACGGCCTCTGGCCTAGCGCGTGGCTCAGAATGAGGCCGCGAGACAGGGCTTAGGGCTTTCTGTGATCGCAAATCCCGAGGTGTTGTCGAAGTCCCCTTCAAAAAGTGTCCGTCCACGCCTCAGAAGATCCACTCGTAAAACGTGCCGTGCCCCGTTCGCGAGCCATGCGCCCGCTCGCATCATCTTGCATTCTTCAGGTCGTGAATTAGAGACGCAGTCGCCGGCTCACCTGAATGCGAAAGTGCTTGTGCAGATTGTGACCTTGTGCAAACTCGAAGAGCTTGACAGTGAAAAGCTACTGCCGGTAAGAGGCCGTTGTTGTTGCCGAATGAGTTCAAGTCGAGGCTGGATGCCGGCGCTGAATTATGGAGCAATTTGCAGAACACGGCGCATGGGTTTCGAAAACGGTGCAGGTTGTTGCAGAGACAAGGGACGAGCCCCGCGGCGCTGGGAGGTACAAGGCTGTGGTTGCGGATTTAGAGAGCTGTGTTGGCAAGTGGCAAAGAGCACCACCGCAAAGTCTGGGCAACGGGAAGCAGCGCTGGGTGACTGAAAAGCGCCGGCAGATGCGTGCAACTACGTTTCGGCTACCTTTTGCTTCGGTTACGTTTCTCCTCGCCCGAAGTGGGGAATGTGAGCTGCAGAAAGCTCCCTGTGCGATAATTGTCTGTGATGGTGTACCAAAGCATCGGAAGGCGTGGCTTCGATTCTCCAAGTTCTCGGTCGACGACTCCGTCTGGCTACCGAGCTCTTGGTATTGCATGATAAAAACTGTATGGCTGGGCTTGAACCTGGTGCGCGGGCTCGCTGTTTCTCTCCAATGTGCTCTCAGAGCTGCTGGTGGCATCATGCCCCGCTCTCTCACTCTCAGTCTGGCCTAGTTGAAAACTTGTGCCGATGCATATGGCTGCTTATGAGGCTGCCCTCATTTCATCCAGTGCGATGCCAAGTCACTTCTAGAGAACAGGGTGTGGCTTTGTGATGCCATGGGTGTTGCAGGCTGCAAGTTGCTCATGGCGTTGCAAGACGCCCTGTGTGTGGTCAGGACAAGGACATCCGCATAATGGACGAGAAGGACTGGCTGACTAACTGTCGTGCGAAGTATGCCAGTATGCTGACGTGTGAATTTGTTTGGCTTCCGAGGAAAAGATCTTCGACCTTTACCTCTGGAACGAGGTGGGTTCTAAGGATTCCATTTTGTTGGCCGAAAGGTTTCTGTGGCGAGAATCTTGCAAAGGTGTTGCAAGAAGAGGGGGATGGTGGCAAAGTTGTTGCGCCGTCCTCTGCGCACACTTTTCTCGTTGATGGCAGCGGGCATATGAGAAAAATCTACCCAGGTCTGTGAGCCAAAGCCAGCTCATTCGGATGTACCCTTCCGAACTTACGTCCCTGCCTTGGCTGCAGATACTAACCCAATAGCCCAACCGAGCCCAGGCGCTTACTTTTTGCAAATCGGGCCTGACGCCACCTGTATCTCAGGTCATGAAGATGCGCTCAAAGAAGTCCTTTGCTCACCATTGGATGCCCTTGGTTTGTTTTGCCCTAGCGATTGGCCCCCTTGGATAGATGCAAAGGGTGGGAGAGGGAGCACGGAGTGTTTTGTGGGCACGCTTGTCTTGTTGTCATGAGTGAGTAACTCAGTTCTGCCTACTATGCTCGTGATTCTTGTGTTCCCCTTCTTGCTTCGGAAGAGCCGAAGGATACCAGAATGAATGTTTCGAAGCTGAAACTGTTTTTGCAGATCCCAGAACGAAGGTTCCGCTAAACATGTCAGACACATGTCTTAGCATGTGACAAGCGAGAAGAGAGTGGAAGGGTGCGTCCACAAAGCTGCTCCGCTCCGGTGCTCCGTATGACATCCTTTCCAACGAAGGTTTTTTCGGGACGGCACTTAGCGACTTCTTCATTTCTACTTGGTGAGTTTGCTTTAGTTGAGTTATGTTACTGGGCTGCATTCTGGAGTGCGGCTACGACATTGCTATTTTTCATACGCTTGCGTATTCCACGGTCTGGCTACGACTATAACTACCGTGTGTTGGAGGGCTTGACGTTCATCTTCATTCCCAAGGAAGAGAAAGGAATGGTTAAATTCACGACGTGAACCTTACTAGTTGGGGCCCCTTGGACACATCAGGAATGTTCATTCCAAATCATGTTTTTGCTTGTCTAGTTGATGTGTGTTTGAGCTAAAGCCTCGAACGCCGAGGGTTGGATTATAGCCGCGAGCGAGGCGTCTGTCTGGCGAGCAAGAACAACAGAGAGCGTTGTTTCGAGAATTAAGTCGCAGTTTGCAGAAGGAATGCGTTTGAAAACAAAGCTCTTCAACCGTTGCTCTTCGTCTTGCACAGGGTACAGGAACCCTCAGATTCTTAGACTAATAGCAAAGGTGCTAGCCTGTTTCATAAGTCTCTGCGGCTCGGCTCGGCTCTGCTTTGAATGGCTCAAGCCCGTGCATCTTCTAGCGAATAGTCTTTTGATTCTGAGCTCTTCGAGGCCCTCTGTCCATGTAACCATTTTCCAACACTTTCCAACATTTTCCAACATGTTCCAACATTTTCCAACATTGGCAGAACGCGAGCTTCGTCATTTCCGCTCTGACCGTTACAGCCGCTATACCGGTATACTATCCCTTCGATTCGTCCGTCTGCTGGGACTTCGTTTCCAAGCTCACCACCCCCCCCTCTGGGCTCCACGTAGAGACGTCGCCCCTGCAAACGAGGAGAGCCGTTCACCAAGATAGTAGAACACTCCCAACTCCAGCCGCCTCCCGCGTCCTGCGTCGCGCGTCTCAAAATCAGAAAAGCCTGTACCCGCTTAAGCCTTAAGCTTTTAACCCTCGCCTCAAACCCTGGCCGTTCTTGATTCGAGGTCTTTGCGCGAGGCGACGATGGAAGAGCAGTTCCGCAAGTCATTGGTCACTTGCTTAGTACGTGCATGGATGTGCATCGTATCGCATACTGCACTTACTGCACTTGCTGGTTTGTGTTGAGTTCAGCCTCTTGAACCTCCCTGAGCATACTGGCGTGCCGAGCTTGGTGTCATATTTTCAGCTGTGCTACGGGATTTGTTTTTTCAACTGCTCTCAGGTTCTTCCCCTTCAAGAGGTCTTGGAAGACAGCCAGTTTTACTATATTGTTATGGAGCAGGTCTGGCAGAGTGCTCTTCAAGCTTGAGACTGCAACAATCTCTTTCTCGGTTTCCAGGCCACTGGAGGCTCCTTTTTCGGCGGCTTGCTGAGCGAGTTTGAGGCCCGAGAGAGTTTTTGCAGACGCAGTCCAACACTTCCTTGCCGATGTCCCTGCAAATTGCCTCTGGCAGAGTTACGGCAAGGATGCCGCAAGAATTTCTATGTCCGCGTGATGCAATGTTTGGAATATTTGGCCTGGCTAGATTTTCCGAAGGATGGAGTGATGCCGCCTCAAGAAGTTCGTCGCTTGATGCGCGGCATCCTTGAGGCGGAGAATCTGCGCTTGTCTGCGTTCTCATGCTCTGGGAAGAGGAGTCACACAGATGTCTTCACGTCAAGCTTCTCTCAACTTTGCTGGGTCTCTATCTCTCTCTCTCGCTCTCCTACTGCTCGTCCCTGTCTCTCTGGAAACTTTTTGTCTCAGATTTGTTTCTGCTTTTGCTTTGTGTTTTGCTAAACTCCTCAATCTCCTCGAGAGAAGCAACATTCGGAAAACAGGGGCAACAGTCAGCAAAACAGGCGTCGAAAACAGGGACGCAACAGTCGCAAACGACCACGGCCGGAGTCAACAACACCCAGGCAACAATTCAAAAACACCAGCGCAACAGTCAGCAAACCCAGAGCAGACCAGAACCGCTGGTAAACACGAGCCCGTGAGTCAGTAAGGCTCTATGCTCTGTACACCCTCTTAAACCTCTAGCTCAAAACCCAAAATCTCGTATCTCTGCGCTAATCTCCTCACTGCTGCGAGATGTGTAGGCGATCGGGCACGTGCACGAGCGGGGCATCATCCACCGGGATCTCAAGCCGGATAACCTGGTCATGCGGCTTTGCCCCCCGGCGCAGAACAACGCCGAAGAACACCGAGTATGCCTGTACAACAGGAAAAAGTTAGAGTGACCCCCCATGACCCCCCCAACAGTTCTTGAGTTGAAGTTTTCTCTGCGTGCTGAGGTGACGATGTGGCAAGCCCAACAGGCAAGTCTCGTCAGGTAGCCATCATCGACTTTGACCATGCAGATCCGGCCTCCCCACTCAGTTGCTGCAAGAAGTTCCTCCTCTTCGGTTGATCCCGCTTGTTGCTGTAAGGACTACCAGGCTAGTGTGAAGACACCCAGAGCCTGTGAGTACTTTTGCGGCACTGTGTATTTCAGCGCGCGGGGGGACCCAGTCCAAGTTCCTCTCCGCCCGTCACTGTTGCAAGAGACACATGCCCTGTCTTCAGACTGTGAGTTGCTGACTCAGCACCTGCTCAGGCCGGAAGCCTTCCTCGGTTACTTCTCACCTGCAAGCGACCTCTACAGCATAGGCGCATGTTGCGTGGAAGTTCTTCTTCAGTTTGATTTGCTGCTTAAAACTGTGCAGGCATCATTCTTTACCTGCTGATGGCTGGGAAAATGCCCTTTGACAGCTCGCTGTATCAAGAGGCTGGGGGTGTCTGAGGTATTTTTGCGCTTGCTGACAGTGCTGCTATGCTTTAGCACGACCAGGAAATGTCAGTGCTCCAACAATCACCGAAGAGTCGTGCCTGGACCATGTGCCCAGCTTACAAGTAGCAGATGCGTGGCAAGTGCGTCATGTTTCAAGAACTTCAAGTCTTTCTGGCAATCTGGGAGCATTTGCACCCAGCCAAGACTTCTGAGGAACATCTACAAGCGATTGAAATCCAAGCCGATCGATTGGAGGCACACTTCCCGGTAGAAGCGTCTGCACAAGCTACAAGGCACCATCATCTTGAGAGGTGCGATCCGTGGCCAAAGCAGCCCTTGCCAATGCCTTGGCTGGGGTTATGCCACGGTGTTCTGGGACTCTCCCAAAAAAGGGGTACCCCTTTGTACCCCAATCAAGGGACCCCCAAAAAGCACCCCCCTATCTTCGGAAACCGCCCTGTCCACCTCTGCAAATGTGGTAGGGCGCTGGCAGTCCAAGGCGTCTCGGGCGATTGAGAACTCTATCTGAGGTGTTGCAGCTTCTGCCAGTGGCTCCTTGCTTTTGAGCCTGGACAAAGGCCCGGCACGACCAGTAAGGGGTCTCACAAGGTAGAGTTTGCAGAGTTTGCAGAGCTTGGCAGAGTTTGCGCATGGCTTGTGACATCCTGCCGGGCAAGATGGTAGCAAGATGGTAGCACCCACTGGGTCGCACTGAGGGTCGCACTGGTTGGCCCAGTGTTCGCCTTTGTGTTTTTTGCGAGGCCATCCTCAGCAGAAGCGGCCCTGCAGCATGAGTGGTTCGCTGCTCCCTCGGTCAGAGGGGCATCTCCTGTTCGACAGCTGAGCTGTAGATGCACGCGACTCACAATGTCCCCTCACATCTGAGGCTGGTGGGTGACCAATGCCCGATGCGCAGTGACCCATGACCGCTAACTCTTTGCTTCTTCCATCCAGACGCATGGATGCATGCATGGTGTGATGCTTAATGAGAGTGCCTGTAGATTCATAGATCTGCAGAGGGCACGTTTAGACAGTTTCGCAGCCCCGTCGGCCTCAGCACTTGCGGGGCACTTCGCCTACTCAAATCCTCAAATCCCAAACGAAAGCATGGGCTTTCGCTTTGTTCACTTGTTTGAGATGTCTTTCGATGCTTTAAGGCTGGATCATACAGGCTGTTTTGAGAGATTAGAACGGACCATTCATAGGATTTCAAAGCTGCCGTGTCTTTTTCTTGCATTTTCCTGCAAGACCAGCAGCTTTGATGTGCGACCGGGGCTGCGTCGTATCTAGCTTCCTAGCTCCTTCAGTTCAGCGCAAAAGTGTTGAACTCTGAGACTTCTTTCTGGTCTCCCCGTGACTTAAACTGGCTGCCACTGGCCTGCATGAGTATGCCCAGGCTTAGGATGGCTTAGGCACCTTCCTATAGAGACTTCTCTTTCTTCATGGCTCCAGGCGTTGAGCGTGTCACATGTCGCAAGGGTAGCAACTTGAAGGTTGATCTCAAGGGGCCTTGGAACCCAAACTTTCTTTGAACAACATCTCCCTTCCAATTTTTTTGTGTTCCGTTTCATCCTGTTTCATGATTCAGGCATATTCAGGCCACTGGCAGAGTTAACGGACTTCCGAGCCGGAGAAACGGCTCCATGCCAGAGGCTTTCGCCGTCGAGATACGCAAACATTGGGATTCACGAAATTCAGTGGCTGAAAGCTTCTGGCAACATGGCGTGCTGGCGGTGATGTGGCACGCGTAAGAAGACGCCCCTCCCCCCCCCCCCCCCCCCAAAAAAAAAAAACTTTTCAGCCAGATCACCTTGCAAGTGTGCGTCTCAGCAGCTTGTACTGTTTGTATTGGGCAGCCGACGTGAAGCATCAGCAGTACAGCTGGTGAATCCACTTCTATTGCTGCAGATGCCAGTCCTGCTTGTTTTACGACCTTCAGTAGGCCCCTTTAAGCGCCTTGTTTTTACAATGGTTAGAGGCAACGTGCTTGAGTCAGCCGTATTGGGGCTTTGTCAAACAGCGGGAATGTGCTGCAGTGCCCATGTGCACTGCCGCGGAAATGGAAGTTCAGGGGCCGCTGCCTTCCCTGACCTGACCATGAGCTATCAGCTATCACGAGCTAACACGAGCTAACGCTCTTGCACATTCCGAGCGTTTGGAGCGTTTGGAGCCCTGAACGAATCCATCTTTACAGTTTTTTTGTTGTCTTGTGCCTTATTGAGCTCATCTCCTTACCCTCGGGGGTAGGTGGGAGGAAGCCGGGAAAAGATGGAAAAGTCCGTCCGTGGTCGTGGCCCGGCGATAGCCACGAGCAAAAACATGTCTTGGTGGCAGTTGCCGCATGCAACTCTTCATGCCGACTCAATGAATGGGGCGTGATTTCGGCTGTACGCTGCCCGGGGGGGGTAGAGTAGGGTAAGGTAGTAGATTTGTCCCTGTTGCTCTCAGCGTGGAGGCGGTAAGCTGCTTGCTACCAGAGTTTTCCATAGCAGCGTCGTTGTCACGCTCCATCTTCCGTGGCTCCGTGGTCTGAGTATTAACGCTAGCATGCCCTCACACGCCCTCGTCGTTTGCAGGGGCCTTATGACCAATCCATTGGGGCGAATAGGGGGGTCCATAGCTGCGGGTCTATAAGGGGCATAGGGGCCGTCTGGGACGCAGCTCAGGTTCCAGATGGGTCCATGGGGGTGTCCCTGGGTTCAGAAGGGCCTCAGGAAGGTTCACGAGTCCATCAGGGCGGACTCGGCCGAAACAGAGCAGGTCTTGCAAATGGCCGGAGGAACCGAAGGGACCTCGGGCCTCTGAGCAGACCACGGTCCGGTTGGACACTTTGTCTTTCGGTGCCGCGTTCCCAGAAAGGGATAAAGGAGGTGGGTTGTTCTTTAACACCAGGTTTGCGGCCTCGGCGGATTTAGTGCACGGCGCTCCCATTCATTGGACCTTCGTTTTTTTGTTCGTTCTTGCGACCAGACGCCATGGTGAAGAGATGCTAAGAGTTGCAGCTGTCGGCCCTGCTGTGTGACACTTGGTGACCAGGCTCGTCGTCTCTTGAGGGCGATGGAGGGGTGGAAAAAGCTGCTGCTCGCAGCAGCAGGTGCAGCAGGCCAGGCTGCAATTGCAACCCCCCCTCCCCCAGCCATGGCAGCAGCCTTCAGGTGCCAGCTGTGTTCTGTACTACCTCTTGCGAGAAGAGGCAGAAAATAAGCAGCTGGAACCTCAAGACGAGTCACTCGCTCTCTTTGGCGTTGGTCGGAGTGTGGCATCTTACCTAGGCTTCCTGCTGATGACGGCGAGGAGAAGGCTGTGGCTGGCCGTGCGTGGTTGTGCCCTGCACATGTCAACTGTCATGTACCCCTGAGGAGAAGAAGCTGACCCCGGAAGGAGAGCTGGCGCAGGCATTTAATGGTTCTGAGCTGGCTCCTTCTCAGCTGTACCTGAAAGTCGGCAGTGGCGACCAGCTTGTGCAGGTCCAGCAGATCCTTTCAGAAATAGTATCCTCGCAAGAAAAGATGCTTGTGCACCGCGGCATGTTTAGACCACAGGCACGCCTTCTTGCAGCCAAAGCGATCTCAGCATCTTACAGTGTTGATGCCCTGCAGGTGGCTACAAGAAATGTTTGTGCTCGTATGCCCGCACCGCTGAGTCCGACCTTGTCATAGCCTGCTAGCCAGGGCCACATGAAGAATTTGACGAGGGAGCTGATGTCTAAGCGAGTGCCTCAGTGACGGCATGCGCAGGACGGATGTTCATAACACTGTGCCAAGATGGGGATCAGTGTCCTGAGTGCCGAGGAAACTAAGTTTTGACCAGACCTACAAGCGACTCAAGGAAGTGCAGTGGCCTGTGCTAGTTTGATCGCGTCAAGAAACGAGGGTCTTGCGGAAGCAACGGTCTTGCTGCCAGGCCGGATGACCCCCTGGAGCGGCGGGGGTCTCTGAACGCACTGTGCTTTCCTTTTGCATCCTGCTTGAAACTGAAGGGCCTGAAGATGCTTGAAGGGTCTTAGACGCAGGTACGGCCTCACTTTCCAGCAGTTCGATGCCTTGCTTGGCAAGCATCAGAATGACCCCAAGGCGTTGGTCCAAGTTGCTAAAGCTTCAAGAGATGTGACAAGTGCCAGTGCAAAGGCAGTAGTTGTCCACGTCTAACGTATGCCTTGTCACAGATCGAACAGAATTGCCCACTCTTGCACCTTTCAAGGGCATTGCTGTGCTCAGACCAGAGAGAGAGATGCATCCTGCACTTAGGTGAAGGAGGGCATCCATCACATTATGGGCATGCCAGTGAAGACGGACAGCCCTGCCGAGGTTCCCGCCGTGAGGAGTGTTCTCTGGCCCTGTGTCTTTGCCTCTCTTGGATACTTGGGAGTACTTGGGGTGAACAAAGTGTGAAGAAGCTGCAGCCGGCTTTGCTCGCGCTGATGCTGATGCTGCCGTGCTGCTCCTCCTCGCTTTTGGGCACTTTCGAAGCTCCTGATGCGTCTAGCCGTCCCGGGCCGTCCCTCCCCCCTTTTCTCATCTTTTCTCTTTTGAGTAGGGGAATGAGCGGGATGCAGAGAACCGGCTCATGATCTTGTGTGGCGGAAGCTCGCAGTCAAGGGGTCGGATAGAAAAGTCTCACACCACGTGCTCATCGAGCCTCCGACGACGCGACTTCCCTCCGTTCTAGCTTTCGTGGCCCGCAACCCACCGCTGCTCGGAAGAGTCGGTTTCAAGAACCATCCGGCATGTAGCACTGCGTGGCACCCACACTCTGTAAACGCCAGCGACCCTCTTCTGTGGCTCTACATGGCTCCACGCTGCGCCAAGCTACCAAGTGGCCACGGCTAGTGCCAGGTCCCCGTCGTCTCAGCCGACAAAGTGATTGAGGTGCACAAGTTCATGCTCGAGGATGGGCATCTGTATACTGAGTGCCATGCGACAAAGCTCTGTTTTCTTTCCTGCTTGTTGAAACCCGCCGAACTCATACGACTCCTTGAAGCTCGTGATGTTGACGAGGAGGTGGAGAAACTGGTTCAGCAGTTCAAGACACTCAAGAGCCAGGTGGTTGCTACAGTTACCGGGCGTTGAACACCCGATGGTGTCCCGCTGATCCATTCTGTGTGCAGGCGACCTACGACAGCAAGACCGTGACACTCACCGCACAGGCCATGGTCGGTGCCAAGGCGCTGCATCGAAACTCCAAGGGTTCCAGACTCCGTTTAGGCTCTGCATGGCTCTGCATGGCTCTGCCTCTTCCCCCCCTTTTTTTTTAGCTGCTGCGGTTGTTTTAATTGAAGGTTGAGGAGAAGTTCGACCTGACCTCTGAAGACATCGAACGCGCAGTGGTCCGTTACCACGACACTTGTCGGAAAGGTGTTCGGCTGGACAGGCTTGTGAAAAGAGTCTCTTCTTTCTTCCTTCTGGGTGTTTGAGTCTCAGATGTCCGCTTGCCAAGGAGGAGCTGGCCACTAACAAGGACTCGACTGTGCAGATCTGGAAGCAGCATCCTTGTCCTGAAAGACTCAAGACCTGGATCTGACCTTGCAGGAGTTTGCAAGTGTGAACATGCAAATGCAAAAGGCAATGTCCTACCTTATGGGCGTGCCCTGGATGCATCTTCTAACCTGAGTTGTGCTTTCGGGATAACTGGGATAATTTGTAACTTCACTTCTTTCCAGATGATTTTCAAAGGGTTTCAAACACAACTCAGTAACATGCTATCTACATCTCCAAAGTTGGCATGCTCTTTCGGCAGCTTGCTGCATCAGCTCAGGCGGAGAAGGCCTAAAGCCGCAAAGCCACGTGTTTGGGAAGGTTTCTGATTGCCCTCCGAGACATGCACCCTTTAAAAGGTGCACGTCCTGGGTGCGTGTTAGATTGCAATGATTTTGCTTTTTGGCCTTGGCTGCCTTGGCTCTCCAAAGGATGGTTTGCAGTCCGAACTACGGCCGAATTTGTACACAGAAAGCGCAGACCAGCAGACCAATGCAGCAGCGCAGCTGCGCAGCTGCACAGCTGCGCACGCAGAGCAGCCAAGGCTTAACGGACGCTGCCCAAGGTGCACAAGAGCATTTGGCTAGGAGATATTCTGAACTCATGACGTGGAATCGGTGGCAACGTCTCTACGCACGAACACACGTTTCGGTAGCAGTTGCAGAGTTGCAGACTTTGAAGCTGGCGGCAAGGGGCGACTGGTGCACTCCCCTTGACTGTAAGTCGCTGCAAGTGACAAGCCAGAAGAGGAGTAAGAGGACTGATGACCGGCCTGCCAAGTCGTTTTCCCTCAACGCACAGGCCTTTGTGCAGCCACGCTGGTGTCACTGTCGGCTTGCGCAATGTTAGCTTCGCGAGTACAGCGCGGAAGCGCGTGGAGCATGTGCTCAGCAGAGTTGCACCCAAAATGTTCGGACATCGTTGAGTCATTCATGAGAACATTGAATGGTAACATACGTGCGAATATCATCATGTATCATCCGCAGTCAGGTCTGTGTGACAGCATCTGAGTGAACTAGGTGAGTCGGACAAAGTGGCTCAAAGCAGTTTTTCAGGAGTAATTCTGCCCGAGAGCAAGCAGTATGCATCCCCGCGCCCCGCCCCCCACCCACCCCTCCCCGACCGACACAGACACAGACACAGACACAGACACAGACACAGACACAGACACAGGCACAGGCACAGACACAGACACAGACACAGACACAGACAGCGACAGGGACACGGACACGGACACGGACACGGACACGGACACGGACACAGACATAGACACACACACACACAGTCACACCATGGGCGGTTATCCCTATCTCAGTTCACATGCTCCTGCATTCAGAGGTCTGGATCAAGTCAAACCTGAGCGAATCAGGCCGACGTGGAAACTTGTGAAACAGATTTGCAGGTACGTCAGTGCTGGCCGGGCACTGATATCCCCCTCACTCACTCGCTTGAACTCTTGGTAGACAGAGGCTGTCACACACACACGAAGCCACAAGGGCATCTTGAAATGCAAAGAAGAAAGACACTGACAAACGGTGACATCCCTGGTAAGGCGGCTGGCGGCTTCGCCTTGAAACTTCTTAAAGACGAAAAAGGCGAATAAGCAGAGAACACTCTTGTCCGGAATAGCTACGGACCCGGAAATTGAAAAGAAAAACCAAAGGGCATTGCTAACGTGACAGTATGTCACCAAAACAGGCATCCGTCATATTGCTTCGCGGAGCTACTCGAGACGAAATCAACGAAAAGAATGGATGGCGAAATCGGTTCGCAGGTCTTACGTGAGCTTGCCTCAACCCCGAAGCGCCTGTTAAGCTCAGCATCTACGGATCGCAGGTCTTACGAAACTGCCGCAGCCCCGTAATGCGGGCTACAAGAAAAACAAGCAAACAAACCGCGGCTTGCAGCGCAGGCGTGTGAAAAACTCATTGGTTGCCTAGCCCCTTCTCCTGACCAGCCACTTCGCTCCCATGAGCGTTTGGAATCATGTGACCACCAAGATATGGTGCCGGTGTGGGCTCGGGAAGATCACTTCGATTCGCAGACATGGCTGCCGGCGCAGCGCTTCAAAAATATACTTCTTGACAAAAACATGTCGCGGCAAGATGATATTCAAGACGATCAATAGGGTCCCTTCAGGACATGCTCATCTGAGGTCCATTCAGGACATGACGGTTTCTGAGGTCCACGACAGGACAACCGTCTGCTGAGGTCCGATCAGGGACAATCAATGATAGGCAATCCTATCACAGGTGTAGCGATAAACGAAATACACCTGGAACACACTCATGGAATCCTCCCTCTGTTATCCCTACCTCAGTTCACATGCTCCTGCATTCAGAGGTCTGGATCACGTCAAACCTGAGCGAGTCAGGCCGACGTGGAAACTTGCGAAACATATTTGCAGGTACGTCAGTGCTGGCCGGGCATTGATATCCCCCTTGCTCACTCAGCTTCGTTGGGCTTGGTCTGTGAGTGAGGCCCCCCGCACCCACACCCACACACACGCACGCACACACACACACACACACACACACACACACACACACACACACACACGCGCACGCACACACGCATAGCCGCTCGTCAACGCGGTGCGGGTTCTTGAAAGCCCCTTTTTTGCCTTCACTTCTTCCTTATGTGTCTTTCCTTCAGCGTCTCAACATCTGGCTCCATGTGCAAGAGTTAGCCTTGATTTCAGAGTCGGAGTTTAGGGTGAGAGTGCAAAGTTGTCTCCGTCTCACAGTTCGTAGAATACGTGCGTAGCCAAAATATCGTACAACAAAAACCGGCACTCGGGCACCACATGTAGGCACCAATATGCTTGGAGTACTTTTTCATGCGCCGTTGAGTGAATCCGACGTCCATCCTCTGGTGCGGCCGCCCTCTGCGAAGGCTGACTCGAATGAAGCTTGTTTTGTATAGATGATTTGGTGCTTGACGCGCTTGAGTCCAGGCGCATGGCGGATCTGGTCCATGCCCCAAAAAAGTGGATTCGTTGGGGACTGTCTGGATCATGGTCAGTGATCAGCGCATCTCATGTGGTTTCTTTGGACCACTCCTGGACTCTACTGAGTCGCTGACATGTTGGTTTCATCCGGGCATGAAGCTGCCGGCCTGTCTGGCTGCGGTCGACATGAAGGCACTGTGGCACTGTGGATGGCTCGTCGTGAGACACTCTGATGCTGAGAGGACTATCCTTTCAAAGTAGCCGGCGACATTCTCATCATGGAGTTGATGGAAAAGGTGGAGGTGGAACAGGTTTTAAGCAGGTGCACTTTGAACACATTGGTTTGACCTTGCACTGGCTGGGAGGCCTTCGTAGAAGAGGTCTGCGACAAGTCGGGTGAGCCAGTCCAGTTCCAGATTCAGGCATCCGATACCATGTGCTCCACATAGTGACATAGGTTGCGACATTTTGGGACACTCCTGCTGGTGATCGGAAATTGCTTGTCTTGTTCAGGTGCTGTGGAACTCGAAGAACAACAAGAAGGCCATTGCGGTTGCAAGAATGCATCCTTCAACAAAGAGGCCTCCATGGTTTGCGTGCAAGCGGTTCGAAAAGCAAGGCCCTGAATCCTGGAGACAAAGTGGGAGGGAACTTCGTGGATGGGTCGAGGGCTGAGTGGCTTTGTCCGCCCAGAGCTGTGGGGGTTCCTGTTTGTTTTTGTTTTTTGGTTGTCTTCGTGTTGCATGAGGTTAGGTTACATCCTACATCATCCTACCTTCTCTTTCCATGAATCATTTACTTGCCTTACATCTTTCTTCAAGCACGCAAGACTTTCCGCGCTTGCTGTATGCTGCTGTGTTGCTGCTGCAGGGACACTTTCGGAATTCATGGCGACCTAGTCACGGCGCCAAAGCTGTGTCCTCAGAAGACCGCAAGGTGTTCGGGGGCCGACTTGCAAATTTGGGACAGGAGCTACCCCAAAATACCTGACGAGCAGAAGCTGCCAGTGTCGCCCCCAGAAAATGACAGCAGTGGTCCCTTGCTTGTGCAAACACCTGTGATCGCCTGTGCGAAGGTCACTATCCTTACAGGCTTCCTCGGAGCTGGCAAGACGACGCTCTTAAACTACATCTTGCAGGAGGGGCATTTGGAAGGAGGGAACGGGGGCCTTACCTTGCTGTGTGAGTCTTGCTTTTGCAAGTGCCTGAATGCGAGACTTTTTGGGTTCCTTTCGGCTCAGATGACTTTTTTATGCTCAAAGTGAGTCTGTGCTGTTCGATTGCAGCCATGGCCCACTCAGCTTCTCGAGTATGTGCCTCGTTCTACTTTACGAGTGTGCTGCTAGGAGTTGCTTTGTCTTTCGATTGTCGGGGCAGACACCAACATCCAAACTCAGATAGGTAGAGACACCACCGCATGGTTTTGGGCCGAAAACCCTCCGGGACAGTACGAGAAACAGGAGAGAGCGAGAGAGAGAGAGAGAGAGAGAGAGGATGGGCCCAACCTTCACAAGCAAAGGGTCATCCAACATGAGGGACCCTCTTCTCGCCACTGGATCGGAGCAGCGGGCCTGCGCGCCTGGGGTTCCCCCTTCGGGGGGCCTCCTCGCTGGGTAGAGGAAGAAGAAGAAGGGAGAGGGAGGGGCGTCTGTTCCCTCGTGGGGCCTTGGTGCTGTTAGTAACGGGGGGCCAGCTCGGTTATTGGGAGCGCACGCGTGCTTTGAAGATGTGTGAGATAGAGGCCCAGTTAGGTGCTTGATGGGCCAAGATAGCTGGGAGGCACCCAAGAGAATCCCCGGGTGCATGTTTTTCTCGCGAGTGGGGAGGGTGCAGGGGAGCATACGTCACGACCGGAGGGGGGGGGGCAGCTGACAACCCAACCGGTGCCGCTGTTTTTCTCCGAGAGGTTTCGATAACATCGGCGGGCCGTAGGCCCCAAGGCCCCAAGGCCCCCATGCCCAAGAGAGAAAGAAGTCGAGGGAGGGAGATGCCTTGCTGCCAAAACCGTATCCCAGAGCTCTCTGCAAAGTTCTAGTGATTCTAGTCCATCTTGGTCATGTCTTGCAAACGGGAAACAGCAGCGCTGCAGTTACGCCCAGCGAAACCTTGCAAGTGGTGAAGATCCCGGTAAGGTGTCGTGCTTGGTGCGCTGACTCTAGCCTGGAGTGAGCATTGCCAGGCAGGGGGCTTACCAGGATGAGAGATATGAGTAGCTCGAGTAGCTCAAGTAGCTCAGTTGTTCTTTCGTTTCAGCATCTCGAAGTCCGAGGCCGAGGATGAAGTGAAACTCATGCAGCTCAGTCAGAACCGAACCGGAGCTGATGAATGTCGTGGCTTCCAAAAGTGCCCTCCATGGCCGCTACCATATAAGTTGGGCGAGCAGCTTGGGCTCAGAATCCAATTGCTGATCCATCTTTCGTGAATAGATAGACGACAGAGGTGTGCGAGTGGTGTGAACCGTGTCTTTTTCTTGCGCCTCGAAAACTTCACCCGAGGTATCCCGAGAACTATCCGTGGGCGCCAATTCCAAAGTTTCCGGAAGGCTTTGCCTGGGGACTTGGGACTGCAGCCTACCAGATTGAGGGAGCCTACAATGAAGGTGGCCGTGGAGCCTCGATCTGGGACACTTTCACCGGAGCCAACACTGTGGGAATGCCGGGTGCGGTGTGCAAGAAGGCTCCCTGCCCGGTGAATTCCGTGATTGCTGTCAAAGGTGCTACGGGCAATGTGGCCAACAACCACTACCACATGTACAAGAATGATGTGAAAGCCATGCAATCCATGGGATTGAAGTGGTATCGTTTCTCCATTGCGTGGCCTCGCATTGTGCCCACCGGTACCTTTGCAGATGGGGTGAATCAGGAAGGAGTCCAGTTCTATCACGACTTGCTAGATGAGCTGATTGCAGCCGGTGTGACCCCCATCATTACCATGTACCATTGGGATCTTCCACAAGGACGCTGCTGTTTTTTTGCTCATGTGCTGCTCTCTGTCAGCCTTCCTCTCACAAAACAGTCGCATATACCTTCTGAGGACTGATGCACTTCGACTTCGAAAAGCCGCACGAGGCGTGCAGCGGTGTCAAGGAGGGTTGGTACGAGTGCACCATGGGTGCGGACAAGAAGCCGAAGCCCAGCGGCCTCAGCTCCAACGTTGTGAAAGAGTTCACCAACTATGCAGAGCACCTGCGGCCGCATTTTGTAGATGGAACAATGATGGAACAATGATGGAACAATGATGGAACACTAACGACTGAACTTTTGCAACATTTTTGGCTTCTTGTTCCGTTCCTTGGCCGGCCCTCAGGTTCTTGCTGAAGGAGTACGGGTCCAAGGTCAAGTTGTGGGCAACCTTCAATGAAGCGTATACCTTCACTTACTTGGCGAGTGGATATGGCAAGGCACCGTCAGCGCAGCCATACATGGACATGGACATTTGGCCGTATGTGGCAGGCCACAATGTGATCCTTGGGCACCTGAGTGTGGTCATGAAGTTTCGGGAGTTCCAATCTTCCGGCGTCCTGACCCCAGAACACCGGATCTTCATCACAAACAATCAGGACTGGCGAGAGCCACTGACTGACTCGAAGGATGACATCGCTGCTGCCATGTATGAGGTGGAGCGGCAGCTTGCTTGGTTCTGCGATCCAATCTACGGCGTGGACGGAGTGTTCGACTATCCTTACTCGATGCGCTCGACTTTTAAATACATGCCCTCTTTCACGGATCATGAGAAGCAGCTCCTGAAGGAGAACCGCCCAGATTTCTTTGGCTTGAACCACTACGGAACCGGCTATGTCAAATACGAGCAGGGCAAGAACGTTGTGGTGAATGGTAAGTTGCAGCAAGGAAAGTCATCTTGGCTTCACCGTGCGGCCTGGGGCTACAGGAAGCTGTTGAATTGGATCAAGAATCGTTATGGTCCAGAGTTAGAGATCTGGGGAACCGAATCTGGCTGGAGCGATGGCTTTGAGACGGCTCTTGAGTCAAAACAAGACTGGGGCAGGTTGACGTACTACTACACATACATCCTGGAGATGCACAATGCCATCTACCAGGACCCCACGGAGTTGTAAAACTCGCAGCTGCGGGAAAGTGTGTGAGTATTTGTTATCCAAGCGCATCTGAGCGTGCCAGGATGGAGTGAACATGAAGGGCTTCATGGCCTGGTCTCTCATGGACAACTTCGAGTGGGAGATGGGCTATTCAGAGAGATTTGGTTGCCTGTGGGTTGATCTGCAGTTCGGCCAGGATCCGAATGCCCCCACAACCGCACCTCGGTCCATATTTTGTTGCTTTGCTGCGCAGGCACCTGCTTGGCAAAGTCCACCCGACAGTGTTGCAAATAAGGACAGTCCAATCTACAATGCGTGGTCTGGCCAGCTGGACGGAGTATGCACGGAGTGCAATAATCCTCGTGTCAAGCCTGGCGCGGCGGGTGCTCACAAGCAAACTCGCCACATCAAGAACTCAGTGCTCATGCATCTTGGAATGCACATGCGAGCCACAGAACATCTGTTTTGCAAGGCCTGCCGTGTGCCGCAGTTACAGACCAGTGATCGAGGGCTTAAGGGTACCCGAATCCCTGTAGAATTCAGAAAGTCCTCTCCACATGGCACCGTGAACTAAGGCTGATGTCCTTGTGGAAGAACAACGCCCTGCCCAGTTTTGAGGAGTTCTTCGCAGCTGCAAGTGTGCCTGACATCTGCTTCGGAGAAGGCGAAGTTGATTACACGACATGCTCCTGGGATGCAATGTCCTCGCTGAACGTGGCAGCCTAGAGTCGACATGAGTCGTGAGACATTAGTCGTCCGTGCGAAGCTTCGGACGAAGTTAAACATGGGCGCCACCGGTGCCCTCATGCGAAACAGCATGAAGCCACAATCTTTAATCTCTTGGCATGGGGTGTCTAGCTTAGTCCAAAAGCCTCGGCGAAGTACGTGCAAAGACACTTTAGACGGACTTTGATGTGTCAGCGAAGAGCTTGCTCGCGAAAACATGCAAAAACATCTTTGAGGGGTCGGGAGTGGCCAGACAGCGGTGATCCACCTGCCGCGGCACCTTCTGCCAGGAGCAGAGAGAAAAGAAGATTGCCGTTATCGAAAACGAGTTCATTTCTCAGCTAGCCTGCCGAACCATGACTCGTGGAAATGTCTGAGAACTTGCTTCAATTCAGTCGGGTATCTAGCACGAATGGGCCTTCAATCGCTCTTCTGAGCTTGTGAGATCAGTTTGCAGTCTGAGTGAGGTTCGGGGAAGTTTCCATCGATGACCTGTTGTTGAAGAAGGCGCTGCGGCAATCCCGCAACTGCTTCGGTCATTGCTCGTCATCCTCGCGTGCAACACAGTTGGGTATTGAAGCTCCTGTCAGGATAAGTTTGCTTTTGCTGAGAAGGTAGTCGTAAGGCGCTGAGATGCGCTGAGTGCATATGGTTGGGGGGTAGTGTTTGGCAACCACTGTCTCATCTCTGATCTCTTTGTCCTCCTGAGGTGATGGACAATGGCAGGGGGCCCAAGCGGAGCAAAAAGCACTTGTGAAGGCACTTCGCGAGCCGAGTTCTCTTCGAGAGGTTGCATGTGCTGCACCATCCGTGGGGATCTCATCGATGGCTTCAGGCCTCGAAGCTGTGGACTTCTGAAGTTGTTAAAGCCGCAGGACAAGTTGCATTGTGTACTGGCTCAGAGGGCAACTGTACCGGCATTCGGTGCCAATGCATTAAAATGACGATGGTCTCACGGGGGCAATGCGCAGTTGGGGGCAAAAGATGGGCAACAATCGTTTCGCTGAAGTTTTTGTGTTCACCTCGTGCGTGCGCACGCGTGCGCGTGCGCGTGCGCGCGCACGCACGCGGGAGCGCGGGAGCGCGGGAGCGCGGGTGCGCGGGTGCGCGGGTGCGGGTGCGTGGTGCGCAGGTGCGGGCGTGCGCGGGTGCGCGGGTGCGCGGGTGCGCGGGTGCGCGGGTGCGCGGGTGCGCGGGTGCACCCGCGTGCGCATGCGGGTGTGGGTGTGTGGTTAGTGTGGGTGTGTGGTTAGGGTGTGTGAGACTGTGAGTGTGACTGTGAGTGTGTGTGTGTGTGTGAGTGTGTGTGAGTGTGTGTGAGTGTGTGTGAGTGTGTGTGAGTGTGTGTGAGTGTGTGTGAGTGTGTGAGTGTGTGAGTGTGTGAGTGTGTGAGTGTGTGAGTGTGTGAGTGTGTGAGTGTGTGAGTGTGTGAGTGTGTGTGTGTGTGTGTGTGTGTGTGTGTGTGTGTGTGTGTGTGTGTGTGTAAGTAAGTGTGTGTGTGTGTGTGTGTGTAAGTAAAAGTGTGTGTGTGTGTGTGTGGGTGTGCGTGTGTGTGTGTACATCCCTGTACCAAAGGGTAGGTCTTCTGTGGAAGTTTAGTGGAATCGACCGTTTGTTGCAGGGGCCCTGGAGTGACTTGAAATGCAAATCGACGCAGAAGCGATTTGCAGAACCGCCGTGGTGACACGGCACTCATGACCGTGTTGCGCCAGGGCTACCTTGAGATTGTGTGCTTGCTGTTGGAGGTGAGTGCTCACACAGATTTGCAGAGTCATGCTAGCTGCACAGCCGTGTCTGCGCATCCCTCAAGGGACATGTGGAGATCGCACGCGTGTCATTGGAAGCCGGGGCAAACAAAGATGCGCAAGCAGGGGATGTGCGCAAACCTTGTTTCCAAGGGAATAGGGACAAGGACTTGCAGAACCGCCGTGGTGACACGGCACTCATGACCGCGTGGCGCCAGGGCCACCTTGCGATTGTGTGCTTGCTGTTGGAAGTGAGTGCTCACACAGATTTGCAGAGGCATGCTAGCTGCACAGCCGTGTCTGCGCGTTGCTCAAGGGACATGTGGAGATCGCATGCGTGTTATTGGAAGCCCGGGCAAACACAGATGCGTAAGCAGGGGGATGGAGGAGGTATATGAGGCTCCATCCAACGAAGCTCCTCATATTACCTCAGGATATCACCAGGGACGCCTGGTGACGTACCTGCATTCTAGTTTTTTTTCGGATTAGCTGGTGGGCCCCCTGTGGCACCGATGTACGCAGTAGTATACTGTAAGCAGAGAAGAAAGCCACCCATTGACCAGATGGTCAGCGTACGTGTGTTGTCAGCATGGCATTCCCGCTGGGCGCCATCTTCGTGGGAGGTTGCTCCTACCAATCTGACTACACAATGCTCAACCCGAACTCTTGATTTCAATTGACTTTCGAGTGAGGGGGCCAGCCGAAGTTCTTCACTTTATCATTGTCTTACCTGTTGGATTTCCAGGTCATGAAAGATGAGCATTTGCAAGTCTTGAAACCAATCGCATTTGATTCAAGCTTTGACTTCAATCTGACTCTGTCGCTGAACTGGCTTTGAAGCTCTGAGTTAGTGTAGCGTACTTCTTGTAGTTCGCAATGTCTGGTCCCCCTGAGGGAACTAGACCCAAAAGTGCTTTGCCGAACCCCCCAAGTTGGCTACCACCTACGCCACCACCTCCAGTGGTGTCTGTTCCGAAAGCATGTGCGTCTGTTCCGACCGTTTTGCATAGTGGGATGCAGTCTACGCTACAGCAGTATCACAGTGGACAGCCTGAGTCAAGTGCTCAGAATGGGTCCAACTCTCAGAATCTTCCTGCTGCCTGCTCCTGTCAGTGGTGCAGTATCGATTTCGTTTTCTGTTGGGCAGATGACTACCCGAGTAGACTTTCAAAGCAGACAGGACATATGAGCAGTGAAATGCAAGCGATGGCAACAGCAGCGCGTTTTTACAGTGATGCGCGTCCTGTTTGTGTTCTTGCTCGCGCAATTGTTCGTCAGTTCTCTCATGTTCGCCCACCAACCGGCGGTATTCATACAGACATTGCAGCCGGCATGCTCTACGACTGCGTCCGGGCCAAAGACGGGCGATGGGCCTTTCGATGTTCCACAACTCAGCCTACTGGACTTGCGGTCTGGGTTTGGCCGTCAGCTACCGAGTGAGATATGTAGCTCCTCACACTTGTGGTCTAGCATCATGTGTAGTCTCAAGCACCATGCTTGACGAAGATGTTTGCTGTTGCTACTCTTCCGAGTCGTAGCGCTTTAAAATCAGCCCTTTTGAGTGCTTGCGTGCTTGATTCTTGCAATGTCTTGTCAGCTGCACTTTATTTCCCTGCGAAGATTCTGCGCAATGTTTGATTGCATGCTCAAGCTATTCTTCTTTTCTTTTCTAGAGTCTTTTGTAGTCTTCTTTGTCTTTAGCGCGAACTAGCATGGCTTGGAATCAGGGATCCTGGGGATGGGGACCAAAGTACAGCAACCAGCAGTTCTACAACAACCAAGCAGATTCCTGGTACGGGCCTGCTCCTTCAGCCTACAAGGGCCAAGCTTGGAGTGAGCCGTACCCTACGCCAAAGCATTCAGGATACTCCAGTCCGGGCAAGCATGCAGCGTCGTCCAAGACGTCTTCGTTGCCTTCTTCGTTTGTCCCTTCAGATGCTTGTTATGACTCCACTGCTCTTCATGGCCTGACTCTCAACAAAAACATTGAAGCCACACATTGGTCTCGTAAGCGTGACCTGGCAGCTAGAGATGTTTTGGAGGTTCGGGCTCATGAGCTTTTCTACCATGGCACTTCTGAGTGGTCTCTTCGTCTTCTCAGTCATGGTCGTTTCATATCGACAGTTCCAACTAGGTCGGTGGCTGAGAGCGTGTTTGTCTCTCAACTTCTTGCCGCTGTGCGCAAGAATCACGTTGACTTAGACGCTGTTGCCGAAGCAGTTTGGAAGGAGCAGAATCCTGAGCGTGCAGCACCTGCAAAGAATGTGGATGCCCCTAGCCTTTACGCGCCTTTTGTTGACAAGATATTGGGTCTCGTCAAGCAGTATTCCCCTGAAGAAAGGGGCTCTCAAGCGTCTCAGCAAGTCGTTGAGCTTCGCACGCGTCTTGAGAAGCGTGAGAACCAGCTTCGGGCTCAGGGTGTTGAGCTCAGTCCGGCAAAGACCTCGGGGAAAACTTCGGCTACGAGCTCAGATGGTGTCGACCTTCCAGTCTGTGCGCAGCCTACTGCCGTTGAAGAGTCTGACTCCAACACCGCCCAAAGTTTGGTTGTGTCCCTCAATGCTATTCAAGCTGATATTCTCAAGCCTTATGTCAAGAACCTTTCGGGCACATCCGTTGATGCTGTTCAAGCCTGGCTAAAGACCTTTAAATTGGGCACTAAAAGCTTGTTGGTTTTGCCGACGTTCGCAGTGCAGTGCATGTTGTCACACTAGCTCTGTTGTGCAGTTCTCTTGCGCTCATGTGTGCGAGTATGTCCGGGTCTTGTTTGTCGGAGGGAAAAGTTGCAGCATGAGCCATCACCCCATGCTTGCTTGTCGCGTGCTCGGAGCTTATTGGTACAAGCCTTATAAGTCGCTTGGACGCCAACCCCTCAGTTTTGGCGTGTAAATGGGCAGTGGCAGTGGTTTTTCAGCTGAGCATGGCTAAGCGCATACAGTTCCCCAATAGTGTTTTAGATGAGCTGCCTTGAGCAGTCAACCTGGAGTGAGTTGTGGGAAATAACAAGTGCTCCTTCGAGCTTCTGCGTCGCTGCATTGCACTCGTCCTCTTCTTAGTACTCAGATCAGTGCAAGGCCCATCTAAAAACAACCCCTTCTTTTGAAGGGGTGTGTGTGTACATCCCTGTACCAAAGGGTAGGTCTTCTGTGGAAGTTTAGTGGAATCGACCGTTTGTTGCAGGGGCCCTGGAGTGACTTGAAATGCAAATCGACGCAGAAGCGATTTGCAGAACCGCCGTGGTGACACGGCACTCATGACCGTGTTGCGCCAGGGCTACCTTGAGATTGTGTGCTTGCTGTTGGAGGTGAGTGCTCACACAGATTTGCAGAGTCATGCTAGCTGCACAGCCGTGTCTGCGCATCCCTCAAGGGACATGTGGAGATCGCACGCGTGTCATTGGAAGCCGGGGCAAACAAAGATGCGCAAGCAGGGGATGTGCGCAAACCTTGTTTCCAAGGGAATAGGGACAAGGACTTGCAGAACCGCCGTGGTGACACGGCACTCATGACCGCGTGGCGCCAGGGCCACCTTGCGATTGTGTGCTTGCTGTTGGAAGTGAGTGCTCACACAGATTTGCAGAGGCATGCTAGCTGCACAGCCGTGTCTGCGCGTTGCTCAAGGGACATGTGGAGATCGCATGCGTGTTATTGGAAGCCCGGGCAAACACAGATGCGTAAGCAGGGGGATGGAGGAGGTATATGAGGCTCCATCCAACGAAGCTCCTCATATTACCTCAGGATATCACCAGGGACGCCTGGTGACGTACCTGCATTCTAGTTTTTTTTCGGATTAGCTGGTGGGCCCCCTGTGGCACCGATGTACGCAGTAGTATACTGTAAGCAGAGAAGAAAGCCACCCATTGACCAGATGGTCAGCGTACGTACGTGTGTGTGTGTGTGTGTGTGTGTGTGTGTGTGTGTGTGGGTGTGTGTGTGTGGGTGTGTGGGTGTGTGTGTGTGTGTGTGGGGTGTGTGTGGGTGTGTGTGGGTGTGTGGGTGTGTGGGTGTGTGGGCGTGTGGGGTTTTGTTAGTCGCAGCCTCGCCCTGCCCATCCCGCAATGTGTCCGGATGCCATGCCAGCAATTGATAATCCTGTCTGCAGGCAGATTCTGGACGAAGTTGAGAAGGGTGCCAAGCTCGATCAAATCATCATTGAGACCACAGGCTCGTCGCCGGGATTCATGGGGTAGTAGCTTTGCAGGAGGGGTTAGAGTCAACAGGCCGGGTTTGAAGGTCGCACATGCAACAGCTTCTCAAGCCGAAGTGCTGTGCCCACACGGGCCTGGCCGTTGTGTTGTCACTGCAACATAGCCACAAAGACGTGGTCGAGGCTACGCCGTGTGCGTGAACTGTGTGGGTCTTTGTCCAGGCATGGCCGACCCTGTCCCGATCGTTCGGACGTCTGCTTCACAGAATTGGTGCATGGGCGAGCGGCGGCTAACGGTCGCCAGACGTGATGATACCAGCTTGGCCTCTCGCAATGTTAGCACGTGTGAGGTTCATGACCTCAGAAGAGATTAGCTCCCGCTTGCGGCTGGATGGGGCTTCCTGGCGAAATTGATTTGTTTTGTGTCGTGAGAAGGCAAAGAGTTACAAGCTCCATGCTCATGCAATGCAAAGGTCATCACAGTTGCAGATGCGAAGAATGTCTTGAAAAGGCTGGACGATGAGGCGGCGGGCAGACATGCAAGCGGAGTTTCAATGCCCGCGAAACAAGAGAGCGCATGTAGCCTCATGTAGTCACATGCCATGAAGTCACGTAGTTCTACAGCTTGTGCCAGGTGGAGGAGGATCGTGTCAACGAAGCCTACCAACAGGCAACATCAAGTCATGTCGAATGTTAAAGGGGTTTGATGCAGTGATCCGATGTTGCATACTGAACTCGCCAAGCTTGATGCTGTCGTGCTGCTGGTGGTCGTGATAGCTTAGGTGGCTTTCTGTGACAAGATACTGCTGAACAAGCTCGACCTCGTTTCGTCTGAAGAAGCCATTCAGACGAAGGCGTTTCTCTTCTGACCACAGCTGTCCGTTTCCTGCATGGTTCCATGGCCCGAAGCTAGTTACGTGCGTGCTGCCAGTACCATTCGTGGCATGCGCACGTCATTGTCATGGGCGGGAGAGTAGTTCGGGTAAGTTTCTTCCTGTGCGTCGAGGTACATGCGGGGTTGGGCACCTGCTTACGTCAAGCCCCTAGAATATGCGAAAGGAAGTGAGGGAAGGGGCCGTGTCAACTCTCCTCCCACAGGTCTTGGTAATCTTGCCGGCCACGGTACCCAGGTGCATGGGCGTGCAGACGCCGGTGAAGGGGGCAACCCCAGATCCCACACCCGCTGAGAACAAGAAAGAAACATAAGGATACAATATCTGAAGGGCAAGACGGAAGAATAGCGCACAAAGAAAAGATAGAAACTCGTAATCATAGGCATTAATTACAAACAGAAAGACAGGTGAAATCAAGTGGCCTAGGGGGGATGGGGGGACTCCTTACATCTCAGAGTTGCACATTGGGTGCCGCATACGTGCTCCACAGTCTCGGAGATATTTTTGAGATGAGAAGTTCGCAGAAGTCGTGTGTTCAGACTTTCAGTTTTGCCATCCAGGATCCAGCCAAACCTTTTGAAACAGAGGGAGGGCAGTTCAGGTTCTTTCTTTCCGAAACAGCGTGGCGACACTGTGGGGTTCCGACATTGGGAGCAAGGTGTCGCCTAGGCTTCTGCGTCCGAATTTCAAAATTGCGCTCTCGGCTAGATCCTCTTGGAGAGTTCTTGGTGGAGGTCTTGAAATGCCCCGGAAATTCTTTTGACCTAGTCTTACAGGCGATCCGCAACAGAACAGAACAAGCTTGAGCACAACACAGACACAATGCAGTCGTGTGGTTCGCATACAGTATCGATTGATTCCCTTCCTCTCCCTCGCAAAGTTGTTCACCTGCTTGCATCGCGTAAACATGCATTCTGCCAGGCGTGGGCAATAATGACACGCAGGTTTGATTCTTTTCGTCCGCTCGCTGTTTGCGTTGCTACACAGCGCAGGAGAGGTTGCGAGAAATCAACGCCTTTGCCAAAATAGTTCCTGCAGTCCGCAGCTCATGCGCCTAATGCCACTGCAGCTTATTTTTGGAACTGGCACTGAGACAATGTTGAAACCTTGTGTGCAGCTTGTGTACTCAGGTTCGGGGTAGAGTCAAGCTTTCCGAGCTGACCAACATTCGAGCCCATGTCTTCGCCTGAAACGAGGGATGACGAGAGCATGGGAAGCATGCCACTTTCGTTCTATATTTCTGGCCACTGACCAGGACATGTCAAATTTCGTGCATGCCGACATTGAGAAGGAGGCTTCTATGACTGAGCTGTCGTGGGCTGGTTTCGCATATAATCCTTTTCGTCGCCCATCGCAGCTGAATTTCGACGTGTGGCAGATTGACAGGCAGAAGAAGCCGAGGACATCAATGGACATGGAGGCAGGGCAGAACACATTGGTGGACCATGGTGGACCCGACTCAAGTAAGTGTGCAGGCCATGGGGAAAATGGCGAACATGGGGGGCATGGCGGCCATGGTGGCCATGGTGGCCATGGTGGCCATGGCGAAGGTCACGATGCTGACTGCACTGAGGAGCCATTCCCAGATTTGTGGTTGCTTCAGCACTTCAGCACTTCATCCTTGTGGCACCATTGTCGGTCATCAGCGCAGGACCACGGCCATGAAGGCCATGGCGGCCATGGCGGCCATGGCGGTGGACACGAAGGTGGCCATGCTGTTGGACATGACAGTGGCCACGGCGGTGGCCACGGGGAGGAGCATGGGCATGTGGCCAAGAAGCACAAGACGCCTCGCAGGGAAAGTGTACTGTAGTGAGGGCTTTTGTTCTTCATTCCGCCTTGTGCGAACTTCACTCTGGCTTCGGAAGGGCAACCCTCTTTCCGCAACTTGTGTGTGGTCACTAAGGAGCAGGCACGACAGCCGAGTCAACTCCTTCTCGGTTGTGCGGGAAGGAGAAGTTTTGCCTGAGAAGCTGGGCAAGTTGATGGAGACTCTTGGAACGCTGCCCCCGGAGCAAGGCTGGGTACACGGGGCGCAATTCCCCGAGTGCGAGTGCGCGGCAGCGTCGAAGAGGTCCGAGAGTTGAAGCGCGCTCATGGCAGTTGAGTTGCAGGTGTGATCTTCCGAATCAAGGGCATCCTCGCAGTCAAGAACCATCCATTCAAGCATGTCTTTCATGCGGTGATGGACGTCAGTGACGAGGATGATGCGGAAGCCTGGGCTCCTGGAGAGAAACGAATAACCAAGATGGTGTTCATTGGACCTTTGGCCGCAAGCTAGGGATGGCTCGAGCATAATTATGTATGCCACATGTGCACCTGATATGCGGCGTCTATTGTACCCGAGGAAAAAAGTTGGATAAGCCGTTCATCCGGAAAATCTTCGAAGACTGCTTCGAGCATCTTGACTAGACTTCGAGGTTCTTCACCTGGGGCCCTGTGAATTGTTGTGAACTTGCGGCTGCAGAGGAAGTGATGCATCTCACCGCCTGCATTTTCAGATCACCAGTACAGAAATCCGGACGACTCCCGGGTGTCGAATCTGAATCCAGTGGATTGAGGGGTGCTCTTAATGGACCTTCGCCGCTGCCCGTACAGAGTCACGCTGCATCAAAAAAGCTGCAAACGTGAGAAGCACCATTCAATAGTCAAGAAAACTGGTGTTCTTTGGCTGTCAGTCCTGCAGCGCGGCCCATTCGGGCATCGGCGATTCAGCGTATGCTGCCAAACTTCAAATTGCCAAGGAGCTTCTTGGCGTTTGTCCAGTTTTGCCACCAGCAGCCTAGACGCCGGCACCAAAGAGCGCTTCTCTCAGTGCCCAGCGTCAGACATGGCGACTGGTTGGCAGAGACTCAACTAAACCGCCATGATGCTGCTCGTGTCGAAAAATGAAGATCCAAGATCCGCGCTGTAAGGTTCTTCGGGCTCAGACACTAGGCTCCGAAGCTGGCCTTCATGAGTACATGTGAGTACATGCGAGTACTGTGCAAGTCCTTGGTAGACCTCCTCGCAGCCCTGGGAGGGCTAGCTGAGAGTCATCTGGGGGGGGGTGAGGGGCACCTTGTTGGTGTTCTCAGTGTTCCCTTATGCGCAACTACAAGCACTTGTGCTGCAAGTCTTGGGCCTTCGTTGCTTTTCAACAAAGTCCGATGGAAACATCACTGGGGTACTACACTCATATTTGAATGCCCGCGTGTGCCTTTGTGCGCCTGTTGAGTGCTCTCTCCTTGTTTCAAAGAGCTCAAGAAGCCCTCTGACTTCACGTTGGTGTCTCACGTGTGGCAACAGCTGGAGCTTTGACACTTCGCTTAGCTGAACACCCAAATATAGGCAAGAGTCATTATGAAGAAAGGCCTAAGATGCGACAACTAACAAAGTTGCTTATCAGTCGGAGCGCGCGCACGCTTGCTGAGGGAAGAGAGTTGCACATTGCGCACCTTGGCGGCCCATCTCTCAAGTAGCCAATCGCGATTGCCCGGTGGCCTTGGGGGCGAGGTTTGCTTTGCACCTCGGTTATTGGAGTCTACTGGATACCCTGTCCACGACCATGCTGTGCGTTGCAAGAACCATCTGAAGCTGAGGTACATAGTCACAGGCCTCTCTTGGCCAGCAGCCGTTGCCCCCTTGTGCACCCTTTGGAGGCGGGTCCATTTTGTAAAATTCGGTTCAAGAGACGTGAGAATTGACTCACGAGACCCACGTGAGGCGAAAAATGGGTGATCCACATACTGCCTGGCTCCATTTTGGACGCCAAAGATTTGAGGAGCCCAGCAAGCACGGGGTCCATCCAGAAATGTGATACAAGTGGCACAATCCCAATCCACAGCGCAGTAACTTTGTGTGCCATTGTGATGAGTTGCCAGCGTGCTTAGCAGCTGCAGGAGATGAGAGGGCTCAATGCCAGCAATGAGGCCATGGTTGACGAGCTTGTCGATGCCCGGTAGCATGCAGCTACCTGAAAAGGACTGGCTCGAACGGAGAGGGTGAGATTTCTCGGACCAAGGAATCCCATGCATTGCGAACCCCGGAGTGCATCGACGCCTTCAAGGATGGGGAAGATGATGTGACTGTGAGTGTGGTTGTGCTTTGAAGGCTCTTTGCAGAGTGTAATTCGGTTTGGTTCGCACATATGCAAGAGGCCGTCGACCGTGGCCACTTCTGGCCGGCCCAGGGTGGCGACTTGGCCTATGCCGATATGCCCTTGTCGGCGGCCCGGAACATGAGGAGCGCGTGACAGTGACCCCAAGACCCCCAAGGCTCATGTAGTTTGTCATGCTATGATGGGTTCTCTTGCTGCACGTTTGTGCAGCTTGAAATGATGCCAAGACACCCACATGTGCACACCTCTGGATAGAGATTGTCTTATCGTCCGCATGTCGACTTGACTGCTTCTGACGATCTGAACATTGGAGTGGTATGTGCATGCGCCTAGTATGCGTCTAACCTTAGACCAGCATGCCATGCCCGAGGCGTCATGGCCGCCTACACCTTTCTGCACCTCACATCTATGGCAAGGCCCTGGAAGAGTCGTTGAACATGTTGAACCCTTCAGCGTTTGAACAGGTTTGAATGCTCACCAGTCCTGCTGACAACCAGGCGCTGGAATCCCTCATGCCTCTCCAGCAGCCGCCTCGCGCATCCTGAGGGTACAGCAGGAATTGCACAGCGCCCTCTTCGGAGCTCAAAGTGCACAATTTGTGGCGATGGTTTTCTTTGACTTCAGGCCTGGCATGTCCTTCCTGAACATCGGCTGGCACCTTGGAGGTTTGCAACGGCCCGACTCAGCTGAAATCCAGAGCCTGCTCCAAACATCATCAGCAGCTGTGTGATGAGAAAGAAGCTTCTGGCAGCACCAAGGATCGGGCACTGGATACTTCAACTCCATTGTGCTTGGGCCTGTGTCGAACTTTGAAGCCTCAGATGGCGTCAGGTTCTCCCCAATGAGGGTTCCTTGTCTTGCTCAGGTCCGAATTTACAGGACCCCACGCAGCCAACCACGGCGTGGAGATCTGGTCCGGCCACCCAATGCCACCCATCGAAGAGTCATGGCACTAAACCGACAGTGACATTCGCGCAGCTCTATCACATATTGCCGGCGCTGCAAGTATCCACGGGGTCAGTCATCCGCTTAACAGGCAGCGAAGCAGCGGGAATCATCGTGCGTCAGTGCGTGTGTGCTGCCCTATATAGTCCATGGGCACAAAAGGCCACCCCCAACAAATTGGCTTTCGCGGCTTCCAGCACAAACACAGGGTTTTGGGTTTAGGGGTTTAGGATTGCAAAAGGGCCACCGTGTCTGCTGACAACCGAATGGACGTGAGATGATTAGCGCTGCCCTCAAGTGTCGACTCGTAGCGAAATCGCAGTGCCCTGTTCCAGTGGAAGTTTCCTTGCAAGGAGTTACGTTTGTGGTAGGACCCTGCAATCAAGCCACAGTGAAATCGCAGCGGTTCTTGTTCTGAACTTGGGCGCCGTGACGGTCTCTGTTAAACACCTAACGAGCAGATTCAGAGCGCAATGGAATGCAGGCTGCTAAAGGCATAAGAAGGCTAATCTGGCTGTGGTACAAGGCCCGAGACGGTGGCCCATGCAAAAGAACGAGCAGCAGCGCTAGGCCGTGATGGAGACGGGGCGTAGACGAAGACCTCAGACCATCTCCAACGCAGGGTTGCGCCAGGTAAGACGACCATTCAGTTCACCATGGGCAATATCTACCAGCTCAATGTGAACGATACAATGCGTCAGCGGCTCATTGTCATCCCAGGATGTCGCAGGTGCAAAAGTGACTTGTGAGTGGCTCAGGTTATGATCGGATATATGTCGGCGCGTGCGCGAACTCAAGGTCGAAGTATCTCTACAGGCTACCGGTGCCAGTGTTTCTAGTAGGCACCACTTGCCACACATCAGCGTTGAACCTCCACACGAATCGGCAAACATGTTGCAGCGTGTGCAATCGTTGCGGCCCGTGTGCAGCCCAGCCACTTCGTTGCGGTCATGTGCAGTCCTGCTAGAGGCTGCTCGAGGTTGGCGGCATTCTTATCGGACCCTTTCAGGCAAAGTTTGCAGCGTGGTTGGGGGGCCAGCTTTTTTTCGCTTGCACGGTGTCAGGTGGGACACAGCCAGCAGCTCCGCCGGGTGGTGCGCCAAACGGACCGCCGGTTTGCGGTTCCGTGTGTTCCGTGTCCACGCCTGCAGTTCACATGCGGCCACAGGAAACGCACTTCTTTGTAGAGGTGCTTGGATCTGCAGCAGCCTGAACGTGTGTACAGTAACCTTCTTCAGACAAGCGGCATCATCTTCAAAGGTCCAATTTGCGTGCCTCGTGGAGCCCATGCAGTGCACATCGCGATCTATGGCGGCTTTGCCGACATGGTGATCGCTTGAAACTTGAGCACCGGAGCCAAGCAATACCTGAGGCTTCAGGTGTTTTTGCCCCGCCGCCTCGCACCGGAACTCAAACAGAGGAGTTGCACAATTCTGTGCTGCCCTGAGAGATGCGCATATGCTTGTCAGGAACCTTTGGAGTGCGTAGTGGCCGCAGTGGGTTGCTACATCCGTACATATGCAGACCTTCTCAGACAAGGCTCAAAGTGGCACAACTACTCCTGCAACTGTGTCTTCCGGTGGGCCAGCACATGTTTGACAAGAAATATGAGAAATGGCGCCCCCAGCAGAAGCCTTGCAGAGCTTGGCTTGGGTTCACCATGCCAGGCGATGCTACCGATGGTGAGAATCATCAGCTCATAGGCCTGGAATTTGTGATAAAAGCAAGCTGCCCACATCTGCCCGCAGCTGCTCTGATCAGCAAAGTTTTCGCCTGGCACAGGCTTGCCGGGTGTACCCTTCACCTTCTCCCTGTTGGAGAGTCCTTGGCTTTAACCTCGGGTTCAGCCGGCTTTGCAGCACCATTATCATGTGAAGTGGGGTTTATATTACTGTTATTGGTGAGTGTATATAAGGTTCCTTTTTAATACTGGTGAGTGTATATACCGGGTGTCCTTTTGCGTGTACAAGAAATATATACCCTGCTTCATGTCAGCTCAATGGCCGTCCTCTCTTCACTGACCTTTCAGTGACCTTGAGGACGCCGGAGCGGAGCTGGCTTTACCCGGTCGAGGCCTCAAAGACATTCCTGCGACTTGAGGGGCTGCGGACTGCAAGCCGTACATGAGCTGTGCAATCCTTCAAAGCTTCTCTTGTCCCTTCAAGTGATGTGCTAAGGCGTCCTTCAAGCAAGCTGTGGCAACCGGGCTGTTGTGCCAGCCGAAGCACAAAGGCCATCCACAACCAGCCAAGTTTTTCTTACTTTTTTCGACAGCTACATGGGATGAAGACTGAGACCTCCTGGAGGCATCGTGGGACTGCCAGCTGAATTGTGGATCAAGCACATCATCCCATGGTGCTCGAGGAGATGGTTTGAGGCTGCCACGACAATCGACACTCCAAGCTTAGCGCGCTCGATCGCAAGCGGCAGTTCAGTGCACCTGTGTCCACGAACCCCCCTGCCCCAGTCCTGATACTCAGTGAGCTTGCTGCCCAAAGGGGCCAACTCCATCTCGCAACGGAACTCCTGCAATGCAGCCGGCAGCGCCGACAGAGGTGGCCTTGAAGAGTTTCGATGGCTCTATGATTTCTAGGATTCTGTTATGCGGACCTCTGCTGCTTCCCAACTCCCCTGGCTCTGCGCCAGACGCCGCCATCTCTGGTCCTTTCAAAGAGCTGCAAGGAGGCCGGAGAGCTCTTCACAACAGCTTGGTTGGATGTATCGTGCATTTTGCATCTTGCTGTCCTTGGTACGAGGACGCGGAAGAGGGGTCGGTGCCTCAAAACATCAAGCAAAACAACTTATCTTGAGGGGTCTGGCCCCTAAACTGGCCACGCCACAGACGCCGAGAGCTGGGAGAGGCGTTTCTTTTCTCTTTGCTCTGAAGCGAATGCACGCTGTCCCCGACCATTGTCCGGCGTGTGCGTGCATCCGCGCATCCGCACATCCGCGCCAAGCACGGTGCAGCACCCATGTGGTCATGATCAGACCCCTTTAGGGCCCAAGGGCGCAAGGACGGCAGAGTGGAAGTCGGTTGTCCCGCTAGCCGGGCTTGGTTCAGGGCTCCTGGCAAGTGGGCCGGGGGGCATTGGGACCCAAGGGACTTCGCTGCCGTTTCGAACATGGAAATGGGGGGATCTTGACTTTCGTGTAGGCGATGATCTCAACACTCGGGCCTAATCTTGGAAGCAAAGCCCGTGCTTCACCCTGGCGTTCGTCCCTTGCCCGGCTCGGTGAGTCTGATCTGTGACACCGACTTGGGTGCCAGGTTGGAGGACTCCGCGTCGACAAGAGCACCATCTTCCCAGACGCGCCCTCAGCTGAAGACAGTTCAGCATGTGCTGGGCTGGGCAGCGATCCGGCAAGGACTGGTGACCGGCATGTCCCTCCATGTACATCTTTGCCTTTCAGTGTTGCAAATCTCTGCTCATCTGCTCAATGCGCGCCAAGTTGACGCCGCAATTTCCAGGAAGTCACATGAGTCCTTGCGGTCCCTGCCATACCTCTTTGCTAGGCCCAAGGGGTAAGGTGTGGTACGATTCTGCAAACATGGCATGGAGCTTGAGTCTCAACAGCCTCCAGCCATCGATCGCTAGAGTACACCGAGTACAATCAATAGTCTAGTGACATGTGGCGAATGTGCGCTCAGTCTCAGCCATGTTAAGCCTCTTCTGGACGGTGGGGCAATGACGAGTGGCGCCAGCCTGGATTCGAAGTCGGGTTTGTTCCTGGCCGCCTGCAACCTGTCTGGCTCTCAAGTGCCACGCCTGCTTGCTCGCTCCGAGTTCTGGTTCTTGCTTGGGCTTCACTTGTCAATCTGGGCAGCATGTCAACGGGATTGGGTAAGTATTAACGTGGACTCGCAAGACCTCATCATGATGACGGTCATAACCAGCTTTCTCCTGACCTTTTCAACAAACCACTGCTTGGCCAGATACGAGCAAGCGTGCATGACTGTGAAACGAATGTTCAGCGCAGTGCATGACTTTGCCTGTCAGTCACGACTCTTCATGGGCAAGGATCGCCCGTATGACCGGCTGGCTTGCCGGTGGATGGCCTTGGCCAGCGTGCTGTCGGTCATTGAGTTGCAGGGCAGCGAGGTCTCAAGTAAGCAGTGGGTGCAGCTGCGTTCGCTGGGTCTTGCAAGGCAGGAGGATGTGGAGCTCTTGCGAAGACTCAACAGCCAGCAGCGCTTCCTTACCATCTTTCACATCATAGGGGAGATTGCTCAAGATGGCCTCCGGGCCTCCTCGATGGACCGTGATGTTGTGATGAAGAGTGTTGTCAGACACGTCCTGCAGTTCAAGGACTGCCATCAAGACCTGCAAGACATGCTACAGGTAACTATGCCATTCCGATACCAGCACCTACTTACTGTAATGGTGTTCATGAACCTCCTCTTCCTTGCGTATGGCATGGCGCTCTCGTATTCCGTACTGGCACCATGCATCTTCATCCTGGTGGAGCTGACTTTGATGGGCATGTTGGATCCATGCGAGCAACCTGGGCAAGGTGCCGGCTTGTGATGCCTCTGCCTCGTCCCTCCATTCTTCCCTTCCTTGTCCCTGCTTCCCTGCTCTAGGTCCCTAGGTGCGTTTGGGTCAGGTGGCTGTAGAAAACAACTTAAAATTCTTACGCAGCTCTAGTACGCAATCACTCAGTCCTGGCATCCCTGGTTGTGCAGGAGCTCTGCCCACGTGGACCCAGGATTTCCTGTTTGGCTTACACGCCGTGCTGAATTACGAGCACGATGGGCCTAAGGAACGCTGGCAAACAGAATTGACAGAGGAGGCCAAAGCAGGTCGCACTCCGGGACCTGAAGTGGTCCATCAGCTCCTGCAAGGCCGTGTTCGGGTGTAGTCAGTGTAAGTGTAGTCATCGCACTTGTCAGATCTCTGCACCATGCGCCCCAAGTGTACAGCCGCCACACGTAGGACTCTCTCACAAGTTGCGTGCCTTCACAAAGATGTTGGCATGCTTCACATCGAACCACGACGGAGAAACAAAGTCTGGCTGCAACTGGTGAAACCACTTGAACGCGGCAAATGGGTAAAGCCGCCGACAAAGTACAACAGGTTTTGGCATCTTAGCTCAGTAGAGCGGAGTGTATATATCTCTATCTATATCTATATCTCTGTCTATATATATATATATATTAAATAAACAAACAAATAAATATATAAATATATATATATATATATATATATATATAAATAAGTAAATAAATAAATAAATATATATATATATATATATATAAATAAGTATATATATATATATATATATACATTATATATATATATGTATACGCACAGATGTGCACTTCATGCTCACGGAGTTCTGACTTGCTAAGGAGCACGCCAGACAGCGGCCCTTCGCATCCTCCTGTCGACATGTGGCCCGGAGCTCGGTGAGCTCTCGGTGAGCTCTCGGTGAGCTCTCGGTGAGCTCTGCATATGCTTTTATTCCCTTAGCTCGTCATCTCATGCCTGTTGGCCCTTGTGCATCTTGCCCAATCTTGCCCAGTTGAATGGCAGAGGTCGCTGTCGAACCCGGAGGCTGCTGACGAGTTTGGTGACGACGTGCTCATTGAGGCATGGTGGGCATGGTGAAGTCGTGAAAAGAAAGGCACTTGAAAGGCTTGGAAAGGCTTGGCTGCCTTGCGGGAGGTCTGGAGCAATGGGCAGCGACACCCAATCGGTGTCGAGGCGCTTCTGTCACATCGTGCCTACTCGTTGCAGGCTTCAATCGGCTTGATGTCTGTCTAAATGTTGTAAGTTGTAAGGGCGATCCTGATGATGCTGACCATGAAAGAGATCAGCGTATGGCAGTTCCCCTCCGGGTGTTGCACGACCCTCATTGCATGTGCAGCACAGCAATCGTGAAGATGCTGTGACTCAGTGGTGTTGCAGTATCACAGGAAGGCTCGCAGATACGAAGTGCGTTCAAGCCAAGCAGTGAGCCATCTGAGGCAACTTCTCGCAGAGGAGCTGTTCGTCAGCGGGTAGCCCGAGTTTGCCCCCTCTCTAATTAGGGTCTCTGCTACACTTCCATTCTTTCGAAGTCTGCAGCCTTCAAGCAGTAGCACTACCCAAACCTTTCCAGGAGGCTCGCACGCGCCAGCGCCGACGACAGCGAGAATCCGAGGCTCTTCTACTTTGGAGTAGTCGCGTCTGAAATGGCTGAGCAGGTGACACAAGTAGATGTCGATGTGAGCCAGTCGGGTGCAGCATGCATTGCATGGCACCTGACGAGACACAAGGCCAGCTGCCTGATGCCGTTTTTTCTGCCCAAAGGAGGAAGAGATTGAGGAAGAGGAGGATGAGGAGCCTGGCCAGACAGCTCAGGACAGGGGATCCTTGAAAGTCGGTCTCGTCCCATCCGATATCCTCTGCATGTCCTGATCCCTGATCCCTGCTCCGAAGATTCTGACTCCAAGCGACATTCAACCCGCTCGATTCAGTCTGGCCCCGTCAATCATCCTCAGTTGAATACGCTAGCCATTCGCAACACTACCAGTGCAAAATGCAGGCGGAGGAGTCAACGTGGCGCAACGGCGACGAGGCCATGCAATGCTCAGTTGATCTCAGTTGCAGTGTTGTGTAGATGAGTGCGTGGATACGGCTTTCTCTGACTGATGGATCTGATGGAGCGCGACGAAAGAGGCCTGGACATGGGGAGATGACTTGGAGGAAATGGAACTGGCCGCGAGCCAAGGCAACAACTTTCACATCAAAGAGAGCTCGGAGTGTGTCCGGATGTGCCCAGTGAGAATTCCAAGGAACTGGAGGGCGAGCCTCCAGGCATTGTGTGGCTGGAACAAAACAGCGACATGCAGGATGTTGAGGCTGGACGGGCTCCATCAGGGTCCACATGGGTCCACTGTCTGCTATACTGTCAGCTGACAGGGCTCTGGTGACTTTGGCAGAGACAGTGCAGAGACTATGGCAGTGCCAGAGAGTGCTCAGGCGTTGGAGGACGTGCGCATGTTCTGAGAGGCGTGGTTTGTGCGCTTTGGTTTTTTGGATTCTGGCTTTGCGTCAGACGAAGATCACCTCATGCCATCGTATGTGTATCAGTGATGCTGTCTTGCGTGGATGTCAACTTGCTTCTGTTCAGGCTGGCTTCAATCATTTCTTGGGTGAGCACCCAGATAACAGGATGAACCCGAATGAAATTTTAAGTTCGGGCATCGTTTACATATGTATGTTTCTCGCAAGGCGGCTGATCCTAACTTGCATCGTAATGAGAATTCCAAAAAAAGGCTTAGCTGAGTTAGTTTGTCTTGATGGGCAGTTCGCCGACCGTTCGCAGAAACTGGGACCCAGGCGAGAATTGCAACTGTTCGGAAAGTCCTCTCGCACCCTCATAGTCACAATGCCCTTGTTGAAATGAGCCATGCGGGTCAACCGGCAGTACGTTTACAGAAGGCCTATCTCTGTCACTCATGAAAGCGAATTTCGCCATTTGCAATGAGAGTCCTCTGAGACGGAATGCATGTTGAGTGCCTTGGTGGAGGGCGTCAACGCATCATACCTGAAATTGAAGCCGTAAAGGATGCCCTAGCCGCCTAGCAAATCACTTGTTATGATGCCACTATGTCAGTGCCAAAAGAATCCTCCCCATGAGCCCAGCCACTGGCTTTGCCACGAACTGGCATAGCAAGGCGAAATTTTCCCGTGAGGGCAGCAGGCAGGGTTTCCAACAGCCTAAGCCTAAGCTTTCTGTGTTTCGTTAGTCGTTGGAAGATGTTGGAAGCGATGTGCGGCTGTGGTACTTCAGGCTGCGCAGTTGGCGATCACTGCGCGGACCCTTTTGGTCCTGCAATTCAGCGCCGCGTTCTCCACGTCGATGGTTTGCAGCTGCGCATGTACTCTTCCAAGAAGGGTCCTGCCGCCAAAAATCCTGAACACCCCTTTCAGCAAACGTCAGCAGGACTGTTACAGTTACTGGCGATTTTTTGCCGCTCGCTTTGCTGTTTGTCTTTCCTCGCTTATGTTACTCGGGTGTGCAGTCTCACCGTGATGGTGAGTTGGCTTTTGTACATAAAGCTGTCGAGCTGGCCTGAAAGGGCCTGTAGGCGATGACGAGGTTTGCGTGGGTGCCTCTCTGCCTCCAGCGATGGTTGGATTCTTCAGTTTGAACATTCGCGCAGAGAATGGCACGCCTTACAGTGAGAGTCCTACCGGCCCTTTCAAGTCACCAGGTGCTTGCAAGTCTCGCAGCGCTTCTCCTGACAAGATGTAAGGGGATTTTCAAAGACTGATTGACCTGTAGGGGTGAGACATGCAAAGGAGCCTGGCTGGCTGACAATCCTCACTTTTAAAGTTCGTGCTGCCTTCAATCGATACCTAGAATGATGTGAGAGCTTTCATAGGTATTCACGCACATCCTGGCCCCATCGCTGCCTGCGGCTTCGATCGAGGGCACAGCACGTGCAGCGTTAGACTAGGTTCAGGCTGCTTGTGCAACCGTGCTGTTTCCATCCAAGACCACAGACCCAAAAAGAATGTTGAAAGCTGTTTTACAGACAAGTGCGGGCAAGCTGCTTTTCTGGTCTTGGGTCGACAGCGGGCAGATGTGGTGTTGCCACTGCTGACTCGCACTGCCATGGAACGGTGCAGTTCCGGCAGGCTCCCTGGCCCTGCTTGCCAAAGTTACCCCAGTGCGTCACAGCAAATCACGCAACTTAGACCCACTAGGTCAAGCGCTTGGAAGACTTCTTGACAGGCCATGCGAGTGAGCTATTGTGAACTGTAACAGAGCGTCCTCATTTTGATAAAAGTCAGCAGATCCATCGTGAACCACGGGGTGAGTGAAGTCGGGCCAGCTGGTCGAGCAGCGAGTCACCTGCTTTTGCGCTCAGCAGTGGGTTGACCCCATCGTGCACTCCGGCAGAGCTTTTTTGAGTTGGGGACCTCCGAAAGGGGGATGAGATCTGAAGCTGATCTCCATTCTGCGGGGAGGTCCAGTGATGCGAGGGTGGATTTTTCTCGAAGGGACTTATGCGGGGTGCTGCCATGCATGTGACACGTGTTGTAGAAGGCCATAATGATGTGGTGTCATGCTATCCTGTTAACGTCATGATTCGACTAAGATCTTGCATGGTGCCCTATAGCTCCCGGCTGGGCAAGCTCACAGATCCAGCGGTTGCGTTTGATGAAGATTGAGTCTCTGTAAAGGATCCACGTCTTGCCCAGCTTCCACGCATGTGCAGATATGTGGAAAGTTCACAGGCCCCGCCTCAAACGATGCTATGCACTGGACGAGTAGTCAGTTTGACGCAAAGAGCCCGGACATTCTTGCTCATGCTTGGATGGCTGTTTGCATGTTTGGCTTGTTGCTGTTGGTTGTTGGTGGTGGCGGTGATGGCGGTGGCGGTGGTGGTGTGTTTTTTGTTTTGTTTTTGTTTTTGTGGTTGTTGCTCTTCTTGTTGCTGTTGCTGCTTGTGCTGTAGTTGCACTAGTACTTGTGGTTATCCACGCCTCATGGTCCTTCGCTAAGAGTGCGCTTGGGCTACCCAGAGGCCTACCCAGAGGCCTGCGAGGTGAGCCTGCCGAAGCCAGGGCCAGGCACCTGAGTCTTCTCAGATATATGAGATATTCGCGCAGTGATGGATTTCACAATCTAAACAGTAACTCGAGGCCCGTCAGACTTCGATTGAAAGGGCTGCAAACTACTATTCGGCTGTGAGACACAGCGGCACCCACTTTGCATTCGCGTGATTCCCGAAATACACGCTTGACAGCAGCGAAGCCTGGCAGATAGAATGTCGGGTTGGGGGATTTAGGTCATATCTAGAACAAACAGACGAGGATCTGGTCTCCTTCCCCCTTCCAGCCGAAGATGTGCGCTGCGGATCCCCCCCCCCCGCCCCTTCTCCTGTGGTTCGTCCGGTGGTGGTACCGGTTGGTTGCTGTTGCTGTTTGCTGGTTGCCGTTGCTGTTGTTGGTCGTTGGTCGTTGGTTGTTGCTTGTTTGTTTGTTGTTGGTTAGTTGCTGGTTATTGCTTGTTGGTCGCTGGTTGCTAGTTGTTGTTGGTCGTTGTTGTCGGATCTCCTGGCCCACGCGCACGTCGCTATTCATTTTGCTTCGAAGCACAGCCTGAGGCACTAGATTATAAGAGCAGGGCAGCAAACAAATGCAGACATGTTCTAGTGTGTTGAACTTGGGGGCTTCTATTCTACTCGGTCTGAGTTTGCGAGTGAGAACCGCAGGAAGCTTGCAGGTTTGCTACTTGCGCACCCCTTCAGTATTTTGGTGAACGAGTTGTTTGGAAATTTGGAGGGTGACTCGACAGCCATGCCCGTTTACCATTCGAGGCCGCCAAATTCACCTTTCGATTGCCGTCCCCATAAGACACGACCTTGACTCTTCGGACCTTGGATCCCAGTTGAACATGCGCCTTGAGAATGACCATGAGTTTCTTGGTGCATCTTCATGTCGGCGTCCATCAATCGATCCGTGTGAGGCACAATGGAAGCAACGCGGTGAGCGTTTGCGGATGTCCTTTGGTGCCCTTGAAGACCGCTAAGTACAGAGGACTGCTTCTGGGTCGGCTGTCTACGTTTCAGTGATCGCCTGGCTTTTTGTAGTTTCTTGCCACGGTTCGTAGCCGTTCGCAGGACCTGCTCCCACTCCTGCCTCACTGGGCCTCACTGACGAGGCCTGTGCCGAGTAGATGGACATGACATCACGCATAGCGCATCCTACCGACCTGGTGGCAGTGGGGTCAAAAGAATGGTGCATTGATCAGAAGTCGGCCATAGCCTGCCAGTTCGTCGACTTGGTGGACGAGGCTTTGAGGACCTTGTTGCAAAACAACCGTATTTATTGTTTCGTATTCGGGGCTCACTTCCTCAGCCTCGCTCGTCCTCCAAGCGTTGGAAACCGGGGATTCCGACGATATCTACAGATCATGAATGTGTGTGAGGTGTCGCTGCTTGAAAGGATAGAACTTGTCCCAAGCACGAAAAAGAGAGTGCTACCTAGTGGTGCATGTGCATCGCACCTGTGCAGCGGTGTCATGCCATCATTCGAGTCAGGCCGCTGAGCTATCGACCCCAAAACGTTGCAGGAGCTTTCGATGGAATATTCTGTTCAAGAATTTCGAGGCGAACACATGGCTGTCTTGCATGTTGTGTGCTGTGGCCACGCATCATGTGTGCTCACATAGCGGTGAGATAGGTCTTGGGCGATGCAGACCGTGCCATGCGCTCAGTACCACAACAAAAAGCACGGGACTCGCGCGAGTCAGTGTGCAGATTGGGCCTCCACCAATGATTGCGATTTGTAGATGTAGAGAGCATGACTGTTGCTTTCAGGTTTTGGTGTATCTGACCCTATGGATCCAAAAGTGTTTGTCAGTGGCGTCGCAGGCTGGACATGTTTGCATGCTGCACACGTGCGTGCTTTGCAGGGGGTTGTCGAGCGTAGCATGCAGAATGCATGTAGCATCATGTGAGAAAGTCTGGTAGAGGTCGCCAGATGTCGCCGGTAGAAATGCTGGACTTACTTGTGGCTTTCGAATGCGGGCTGTGTGTAGAGGCCGGCAGCGCTGAAGATGCTGCGCGCCAGTTGGAGGCGGATGGGGCAAGGAAGCTGGGAAGAGTGCTGCACGACGTGGCATGTGCCAATAAAGAAGATCCAGGTCGTGGCTGCCTCAGAGCTGCCAGGGCCTGGGGAAGCCGGGCCGGACACTTGGGACATCGAGGGATTTTGGCGTCCACGGACCTTTATCCGCCTAGTGGCTGTGCTCGATGTATCTGGCTAGGTTTATCCTGGGAAGTTGGTTCAAAGCGGGACCGCCACAGGATTGCCAAATGGCCAAGGCCTTCGAATCCCAGGGTAGAGAGGATAGAAAGTAAGAAGCTGATGATAATGATGAGAATGATGATATGAGTTGCCTGTGACATGTACAACATTTTGGTGTTTGTTGAATGTACTATTCAAGCTTGTGTTTGAAAACTGGTTTGAAATTAAGTGACAGGCTTATCTGAAGCAGCTCCGGCAGGTGCGCTTACATGCAAAGCAGTGCAATTGGACCTATCTTGAAGCCCATGGTAATGCATCCGCATGAAGTGAACACTGGCAGTTCTGCCATGGCAGCATCTGCCTTCTTCGCAGGAGACGGCATCCCGACTGCTGCCGCTGTTCTATCCTGATGGGCAGCCAAGCAAGTGGTGGTTTTGACCTAAGACGATTGTCTCTGTCTTGGGGTGAGTCGAACCAGAGATCTCCTTCTAGGACTTCGGGTTGCCGAGGCCTTCCAGGGCTGTTCAGCAGCCTAGACAAGATCATCAAGATCTCCATTTTGTGAATTTTCCAAGCCCCCTTTGCCCTTCAAACCCGACCGACACTGAACCTGACCCAGAACGCAACCCCCCCCCCACCCCAAACCTGACCCCCGGAACAAAACATAAGGCGAATCCACCCGAACCCGGACACCCCCCTTCCCTTCCCAAGGAGAATGCAGAGGTTGCCCGAACCCGAATATGTTTGGCCACTGAACATTCGAACTCCAACCCCAAACGGTACAGTACCAGGTACCAGCACTGGTTCGAGGGTATCTTGCTACGAACCGACATCTTCTAGCATGAGTCATGCAGCACAGGCTTTTGCTCTGCCGGTTGTCGAGCTGCCAAGGTTCCAGTTCTCAAAGAAGAAGTTCATGAACATCGCCCTCTAAATGAGGGAGCGTAGATGATTCCTAGCCACGTGTGAGTCGCCAGGAGAAATACGCAACAGTTAGCATCGAGGTTGAACCAGCAGCACATGTCAATGGCGCCGTTGCCTATAGGAGAGGATGCCAGCAGTCACGCTTAAACAAGCAAACGGCCATGCGAATAAGACAAGCACGATCCTCGTGATGTTCAACCGCCGTCTCTCCGTTGGCTGAAGTGACACCACCCAAAAGGCTTGCGGGAGCTGACTTTCCGGGAGGGATTGGGGTTTGGGTATGTGCATTACAATTCCCCCGAGACGCCTGAGGCCGAAAGCCTAGGCGGATTAGCTGAACAAGTACCGAAGGAAACAGGCAAAATGGATGTAAAACTGCGCAGGCCTGTGATCCCGGCATCTGGACATGGCGCATGTGACACACTACGCTGTTGCCATGCGACAGGGGGATCGGCCTGGAGGATAAAGGTTTAGTATTCATACTACTGTTGCAACTGGCCGCAAGGGCTGGCATTCTTGCGGATTTATGGTCGGATTGGTCCCTATTGCAGGCGTGCGATGCATTGTGATTTGGCCCAGCTAGCCATAGTAGTACGTGTCCTGGGATCTGCTGCTGCGGCGGAGGCTGTGGCAACGGGACTGAAATTGAAAAGGGAAGTTTGGTGCATACTTGCACAGCGGTGTGCCAGGGAGCCATGGCTGGGCAACCTGCCGGGGCCTCGGACAACAAGCCGCGGCCCGTTACTGCCCAGTGTGGCATTGTGTGCAGGTGGTGAACCCTCTAAGCCAGCAACTTGGGCCGGCACCCCGCATGCAGGTGCTGCCTTTCCCACGTGCTTTGGGTGAACTCTGAGCTTGTCTTCTATCTTTGCACAGCATCACCTGTCAGCATGATGCAAGGGCTGTTGAGAGGCTCAAGCAGGCTGTGAGAAAGGATCTATCATGATCATGGCCTAAGGCGAGCAGCAACCAACTTCGACAGCTCGAGATAGCCTTTTGACCGCTTTGCAAACACAGCTTATGGCTTAGGCCAAGAAGGCTGTCAGCCTTGTAGTCACGGAACGCTCAACGCAAATGCTTCTCAGCCAAAACATGACGTCTTTTTGTCTAGTATGGCCCCTGAGAAAAAGAACGGAAGCCCAATGCATCAACCAACCCAGCATGTGTCAGTTCTTGGACAACTGCAGATTTCTGTTTTGTGAAGTTCCATGGACCGTGGCTCCAGACATGGCTGCTAAGCTGCGAACAGTTTGTGTTGCTGCAAGCCATTACAAGCCATTGCAAGCCATCTCGGTCAGAGCTCTGCTGGAACCGCTAGGACCGTCGTTTCCCACCATCGAGGCGGCGGAGACTCAACCCGAGTCATCACCGTGGAGGGCCCAGACTTTAGTCACTTTAGTTCAGGCACCAACTCTGAGGCGAGTGCGCCCTGAGCCGAGCCTAGACATCATTGAAGCAAAAAGCCCTACGCGACTGCACGCCGAGAAAGACGTGTCGTGGCCGTTCTACAGGTCCTCTGCATCGTCCCGATTATCTGAAGCTGGAAGCCTAGAGTCTGTTTCCTGTCGTTGCCCAATGTTATCCATAGCTCACGATAGCTTCTCCGACCGAAAATTGTCGCCGGTGGTGGGGCTGCAGAATGTATGGTTTGACAGCGCGAAAACAAAAGAGGACGGGTAGCAGCCCAAGGCTCTCTTAATGACCTCCCGTGCCTCTGGATGTCATCTGGGGAAAGTCGCTGGTGTTCGCGCAGCTTCGCATGGCTAAGGACCGACGAGGGGAGCTCAGCCCCTCATCCTCCTCTGCCACGCGGCCGCACATGGCCGCACTCGGCAGCACGTTCGAGTCCTGGGGCAAGAGGCGAAAAGCAAAGCACAGCTGAGGCGCCGATTCGCAGAGTGTGCCTGGCTCAGCGACGGCTCCATGCAAATCCGTGCGACTCCATGCGATGATTCTTGGGTCCCACCTGTTTTTCAAAACGCTGCGTACACGCTATCACGGAAGAGGCTTGTTATGACTGACGGGGCTCCCAGAGGTACTCTTATGAAGAGCCTTTCTCAGCACTGGTCGCCCCTGGCTCTACAACTTGCAGGTGATTTAGGAGTCCACAGGGAGGTGCACAGAGTCGCCCAAATCTGGGATGGAGCTCTCTGGGGCCTGGCCCGAAACAGGTCCTGCCCAAATGGCGGGTGGAGGCGATGGGATGGGTCTTGTGAGCCTCCTGCACCGGAACCAAACACTGGGGCTTAGGCTTCGGGCCTCGGCGGAGAAGTCCGATCATTTTGTGAGTTCAGCAGATGAAGATGATTAGAAAGTGTTGGGGAACAACATGCAGCTCTGGATCATCTCTATAAGGAGATAGCAATACAGCTCCAGATCATCTCTGTGAGAACAAGGATAGCCAGAAGTGAGTGTCCTTCAAGTGCTGCCGTCCGGGGCCTCCCAAAAAGTACCGGAATACCCGAGCCTGCAGGGCCCGGAGATACGAACGAAAGCCCGATTGGAGCCCCTCAGGTTCCCCCAGAATCCCAGGTCTTCACAGCGGGCATCTCGGGCGTCAGGGCCTCATGGGCTTCATCCCGCTTTCGCCGTGCCATTGATGCCCCCTTCTACTTCCCAGCAATCCTTTCCAGGACGACGCCGACCAGTACCGGAAGGCGCCTTAGGGATGGTAAGCAAGATAGTCACCGAAGAGGGCACGCTGCGCACTGTTCCAAAAACACCAAACCACCGAAAGAAGAGGAGAGAGGGAGAGGAATCCTCGGGGCAGCTCTCCCTTGGGGGGGGGGGGCTAAGCGTGCAGAGAGAGAGAGAGAGAGAGGAATCCGCTGTAGTCAACTGCCTTGCGGCCTTGATGCAGGATCGTTTCTGGCCATCTGGCCTCGGACTTCGACGAGCAGCTCTTCAAGCCGTTCCTTGGCCAGTAATCGCTTTCCCTGAAAGGTTATTAGTTATTACTTCCGGATGGAATGACATGACTCGGGAGCTGTTTGGAAATAGTAATAGCAGTTCAACACGGAACCTTGGCTTTGGGTTTGAAGCCAGAGCTTAAAGCAAGGCTTGCGGTGTGCTGAACGGTGTGGTGACTATCTTACAGCGTGCTCACTATAAGCTCGAGTCAAACCCAGACCCTGCACACCAAGCCCAAACCCCTGAACCCTAAACCCAAGGCCCTACCATCCCTTTCGGATCTGGATTTCAACACTTGAGTTCAGCAGGAGGTCTGAACTCTATGCTTTCAAGTTGCCCCAACATTTCTTGTTCATTGTAGTGGGTTTTCGCAATGCCAGTTAAAGTCATGCAATTTCGCGTTTGTCGCCAGCTTGGGTCAGTTACCGATTCGCAAGGTAGGATTTGAGACCTCTCCTTATCCAATCAAGCCAGCAGGGAGCTCTACGAGTTGGAGTCGGAGAATGATGCCCAGGTGTCGCGGCAATAGTATCTCAAAAAGAAATGACTTGATGTCTTAAGGGCATGACGCGCCATGCGGGTGTACGCAGGACAGTTAGTCTTACGACTGTAAACCGAAGCCCAGCCCTAGGCTCAAGGTTCAACATGTTTCAATGGATTTTTAAAGGCTCGTCCCTGCAGGCGCAGCAGCTGCTTCCCTACCCCACCTGGTCGCCGGAAGCACACCGGGTGGGCCGACATGATCATTTGCTATGATCATTTGCTGCAAATCACACACGCATCTGCAATCGCTGAGTTGTAGGAAGAGCCAGCGTGGGGATGAGATTTGCGTCCAGAGTTTCCCAAGCCCCTGCGCATGCGCGCCACGCACCAGGAGGATATGAGGCTGCCGGGCCAGGCCCTCATGGAACCTCGGTACTGGACGTGTTGATCTCTCAGGGAGAGCAGAGTTGCTTGAGAAGAGCCAGGTCCTCTTGGCTTCATTCAATCTGACTGGTTTCTGGTGCTGTACGGAGCTCGGCTGTGTCGTGCATAGCATGTGTGGTTGACTTGTAGCTAATGCCCCACGCGAACACAGTGATTGAACGCTGTCTGAAGTGAGGTCTGGTATGGTGGTTGCATTCAACATCATGTGCCTGTACATCCAGGTTGACAGCGATGGTTTGTGCACGAAGTTTGTAGCAAGTTAGGATTGCTGACCAGCATTCTCCCTACATGTAGTAGCCCCTCATGCGTATGGCACGGACAGAAACGCTAGAAGTCGGCGCTCATTGTTGAAGACCCTGTGGAGCAGGTGGCATGCGATGTTTCAGATGAGGATGCCAAGGCCGAATGTCCTGAGCGTACCTTCTCTTTTATGAGGCCTCGCTGGGCAGTGGCAGTGGCTGACCTTTGAAGGTTCTCGAGAACGTAAACGACACTTGCCTGGTGCTGTACACCATTGAGGCTGGTTGTGGTATGTGGCAGACCAGCCTGAGGGCCATGAATGGAAAGAGTACCGGTTCCAGGTGGTGCTGAGATTGACGCTGGGCTGCATGTCAAAGACTGCTGGCAGCCAGGGCAATTGTGGCCCAAAACCGCATCTGGCTTTGGTAGAATTGAATATGCACGTACGTGCTGAAACTGAGGTTTCATTTTCGATTGCGATTCTGTGCACACGCCGTGGACGGCATGTGGAATCTCTTTGACTTGGTAGCTCGACGCAACTAAACGCAGATTAAACAAGGTTTGTATTGCTGTTATTGGTGAATGTATATAGTTGGGATACTAGTAATGTAAACCCTACTTCATATGCTCGTGCGTTGCCAAGAAGCCCTACTGACTTGGCACCTGGTTCGTTTCATATAGCTTGACAGGTATCAGGCTGACATGCAGATGGCTGATCTGCACGGAGTGCATAAGCGTCCATCCCAACAAGCTGAAAGCTGAGGTCATTGTTTGTGCAGGCGTTTTCGACCGCTGGATATTTCCGTCAATGAATACCCATCTCGGAGTCAAGTCGCAGGCACGCTGGAGTGTTGGCACTTCGTGGTACCTCAAGTGCAATTTCTTTTGCATTTTGTAAAGCGATGGGAAGAACGTTCGAAATGCATGTTCTACGCAGGCATCCAGCTTCTGGTTGCCACTTCTACGCGGAATCCGGGTTCTAAGGCCAGGACATGTGGAAGCTGTTCCCTGCGTGGTGCATCAGAAGACAGGCAGTTCTCTAACTTCGGGACCCTTTTTTTGTCAATATATATATATATATGTATGTGTGTATGTATCTAGTATGGAACCAAGGGGTCCTAATTAGGTCGAATTACCCTACGATGCCTCTCAGACCTGAGACCTTAGGTTCATCCGCGTGGTGAAGCTTGTTGGGGCCCGGGACTCGGTCGTGCTGGGAGCTGGAGCGATATGTACATCCCCGAAGAAGGGTTTAGGGTTTAGGCTTTAGGGGTCAGGTTTTAGGAGTACCGTTGGGCAACACTTAAGGGATGAGACGGTTGCCTTCTTGGTTCAAAGCTAAACTTGGGAGGTGTAGGTTTTGACTCCCTAGTGTTTCTTGGAGAGCCTCTACCCCTCAACATCCCTCGACCCGAAGCTATCCCAGCCTAATCTCATCTAGCCTCTCAACCAAAGCATCGGTGCTTGCAGGTGCTCTTTCGCTCAGATCTTCGGTGGACTGAGCCATGTGCTTACTTGATACCTACTTCCATGTAGTGGGTGGGGCATGACATGACCAGGAATGTTTCATGCCGGTAGTAACCGCCCTGTCACCACCCCACCGCCCGACTCCCGAGCACCACTTCTAAGGGGTGTCGCCTTTGCATCAGCCGCAAACTCAGTCTGAATATACATCTCGACCTGTTTCGGAAGCTTCTGATGCGGAGCATTGACGGGATGGCGCTCGCTTTTCAAGGTGGTCTCTGCAGTGATCATCACAAGCGTGATACTCATGGGCTAGGAGCCCAGGGCGCTCAGTGCATCCCGATTTTGCAGCCACAGACGTTGCAGAATATGTTGTTTACGCAGAGGCCTGGAGACAGACATCCAGTCTCCGCTATGGCAGCCCATTAATGACTTGGCCAGCAACTTTGCATTGCAGAGACTGCTTCATTTGGTCCCGGATAGCGGGGGTGCCGTGCTTCGAGCAGCGCCAACCCTGCTAAGGTTTTGTTGTTCTTCGTTTTTGAGCTGGCCGCTCGCACCTCAGACAGCTGTCGAAAACATTGACTGCCTGGGACAGCCTGTAGTCCGCCCTCCGAAATCTGGGCACATTCTCTCACGCCGTACTTTCTGCATGCCAGCAGTTTATTTCTATCTGGTCTGGCGTGCTGCTTCCTGCTGGTTTTGTGCTACTGTAAGCTATATTACGCTGCCCGGGCTCCTCAATCTTACGCGGGGCGTGCGCTTCTCCGGACCTGATCTGCAGCGGCAAGGAACAAGGTTCGCCATAGGAACAGCGTGTGCATAGTGTACCTGCGGCTGGTATCCGTGAGCATAGCCATAGCCTGGGTGTCCCATAGCGTGCCACACGTGGATGTTGAAACGGGAACCTTCAATTATTCAACCTGCTCGGCTTCCTGTACGGTCCCCGTAGACAGGTAGTGGTGGAAGCCAACTTTGAGCATATGAGCGACCCCCCACGCGGTTGCTTCAAATGTGTCTACAGTGTTGCGCAAAATCTCGGAAATGCTCAGAGACGAGGTGACGCACACACTCACGCGGGAGTCATGGCACGCAGCAATGTGGGAATAGTTGACTGCGAGCCTTCTGTTCCGGAGCGAGTATAAACGCGGAAGCCACATTTACGGTCTGTGAGCGCCTGTCATAAATGGAAAGGAGGCCCGATGAACCCACGCACTTAGCAGACTTAGCTACGGTTTGCACTTGTGTGAAGAACAGACTGCAAGTGCGAAAAGGCAAACGTAGAATCATAGAAGAGCACCGGGGGCCAGAGGTCAATATCCGAAAGCAGGGCTGGCTGCACTTCTTCACCTCCGAGGATTCTCCGTTTTTTGAGTGTTGCAGCAACTTTCGACGCTTGTGGATTTGGTGAAGTGTGCAGGATCACGTCTGGAACTGGCTGGACATGATCATCGTGGTCCTGGGCACCCTCGATCAATGGGCAGCATGGCGCAAGGGCTCCCGGCACTTGGCTTTGCTGTTCTGTTGCCAGCTTCAGGTCATAAAACTTTTTTTCATCGCGGTGTACGGCCGCGATCAGAGTCACGAGCTGGGCAGCTCGCTCATGCTCTTTCGCCTGTTGCGAATGCTCAGGACAGGGATTTCTGAAAGATGCTATCCAAAGTTTCATACCTAACTAGGCGGAGCAAAGGCAGGTGGTGCCACAGCTGGAAAGAAGTTGAACACTTTCTTCTTGAAACTTGGGGTAGCTGGAGGATCTTGCGAGTTCTCAGGCTCGTGAAGGTGCCCGTGCCTTGCGGGGCATCTGTGGATCTGGATGTAGTCTGGTGGCGTAGCCTGGCAGCGTACCCTGGCGGCTATCCTGATCGCAGGCAGTGCAACCACTCTATTTGCTCGCGCTGGGCATTGCTGAGGCCGCTTCAGATATCGTATTTCCCATTGCAGATTCCGCGGGCTGTCGATGTAGTGCAGGGACGCGATATTTGACAGAGTGCCGCAGGGTTTGTAGCAGATGCCGAGGAGAGGGCATGGTGTTCAGAGCCGGGGGGGTCACACATGTCACACCCAATCACCGGACCCTTGAAAGAACTACGGTCGTAGTCACGTGCGTGTGCAGCAAAGCCGTTCGGCTTGCGACGCAGGGTTTCCGGCTGCCGAGGGACCCAAAATTGTCTTTGGGAGCACCCCGGCGAGACAACGCAACGGACCCGTGACCTGCCATGACGATTCCATGAGGGCCCTATCCCGGAACCTCCACTTGAATTCGACCACTTGCCCCACTTGGTCACCTGGAAAAGCCAGTTGATTCCGCCTTGTTCGCCCTACTTGACGCACTGCGAAGTGGCATAACTGGCAGAAATGGTTCAGTTACTCCGCTTGCCTCACTTGCTTCACTTCCGCTTGTCCAACCGACTTGCTGTAACATACTGGGGAGGACTTGGTGGGAGAACTGGGATTGGTGGGGAGTGGTCTGGTGCGTAGGTCAGTAGGTCGGACAGTGTCATACGCAGATCGGGTAACCTGAGCCGGGGATCTCAGCTGTCGGCTGCAGCGTTATCTAGATGGCGAAGCCGGAGCCTGCTTCAGCAGACAGCCCAGTCAAGAGTCAAGAAGCATGTCTTTTGCCCAACTGGGTGCACCTGTCCCACGGCGAGCATCTTTTCAAGGGCGGCCCTTTTGTGGCCGTAGGACTCCTGGGCAGATTGTGATCACTCTTGGCTTGAGCCACGGCATGCTGCTCGTCCTCTTGTCAAGGCAGTCCAGAGCATGTTCTGGGTCTTGCTGCTGACCATGGTGGCGCTCTATGCGCTCGGACCTGAGATCAGCTGAGGCCTCTCCGGAGCGCCGCCGTGAAAAGCTTTTTGTCTTCCCACCCGTGAAGGTCTGCCATCGTGATCACACGCATTGTACGAGAGACGCACATCGAGGCCAAGCGGCTTTTCTGATTCTGATGTTCTGGAAATGATGACGAGTGGCTGCACATTGCCTGCTTCATTCGGAGGATGTGCCTGAAGCTGCCAAAGCAAATTTCCAGAACGTACCTGACTCCATGTTCACGCTCTTTGTCCTCATGAATGGTGAGGAGCTGCTGCTTGACACGCTACCAGTAGTGTTCTTGAGGGTTCATCTCCTGCAGGAGTGGCCTGACGTCATGCCCCTTTTGGATGCGCGAGGTCCTCAATGAAAGAAACCATGGCGGTGCTTAACCTGGTACGAAGAAACAGCGGGAACTCGAGGGCTTCTACTGAGCTCAGGTGTCCAAGTCTCAAGTTCATGTTTGTCCTCTTCATTATCATCTCCACATGGGCCTTACTGTCGGCCGGGAGCCTCGATATCGATTTTTGCTAGTTGGTTGAGTGCCTGAAGGGACTACTAGCCCCGCGGCAATGACCATGACTAGGCCAAACATATTGATGAAAAGTTGAGCTAGCTGCCAAGGTGATGACGGGTGTAAGGGCCTGAGATTGCAGACCACGAGCATCCATGAGCTGCTCAATGCCTGTTGACCATGGAGACAGTTGGAGACTCGGAAATTGGAGATTGCTGGAGGTGGTGAGCGACAACATGATTTATGCGAGGGAGGCGCAGTCTCAAAAGGCACCGGGAGCTTCGGGAGCTTGGCTCAACTTGTGCTGCGCTGGTGTGCACATGTCATGACCGTCACAATGCCACCATTTGCGCATGGGTTGTGCATCTTTGCATCTTTGCCCTGCAACGCAGGACGATGCACTACAGGGGGAGCGTCGAGCCAAGGCGCCTCCCAATCGGCTGGATGAGTGCGTTTGCTGGTTGGCATGTGCTGCGGTGCAGACCTGGCACAAGCTTCGCCAGCAGGTCCAAAAGGCCTTGAACGACGTTTTCTTTGCCTCGCGTGGGCTCTCCTCTGACAAGAGGCCTTGCATGTCTACGCATCTGGCGAATCTGGCATTGGTTTGCAGTCTGGTGGAATGAATACAATCGCCGGCAGAGTGCCATCTTATCCTCAGCTGAAGGCTGGCGGCCAGAGACTGGCAGGACGTCTTGAAGGTTCCGTTTTATGCCAAGAAGATCATGGATGTGGTGTGGGGCTTGGTTTGGCTAGGAGTGCGTGTAAGAGTGACTTGGAGGGCCATCGGCAAAACATCATCGTGCGACAACAACCTCCCTTTTGCGGTGCGACTTGCCGAGGTGCCCTCCGTACCCAAGAAGGCAGTCGTCTCAGCGCCTCTACCAGTAGCTGCCAGCAAACTGCCGGACAAGCCGCAGGATCTCATTGACATGTTCGACTGGCTGGAAGCAGACGAGTCGGATTCCAAAGTCACCTTCCAGGTCCTTCACAGAGATTGCATGAGATGATCCTTCTTCCTCGTAGCTACCGCGCGCTGCGTGTGTTGCGCCGCGCCTTTCCTGGCCCATTTTGCAGGAGGTGCTGCGCGGAGTGATGACGCTGGCCGAGCCCCCGAGCGGGAAAACCCTGCTCCAGGTTGGGTTTTGAGGGCCGTTTAAAGGGTCGTTTGGGGCACTCTGCATATGAGATCTCGGGTGGGAGCTGCGCAGAGGCCCTTGCAACTTGTCACATCCTCTTGGCAGGTTGACTCAGAGGTCAAGCAGCGATTCTCCAGGTTGCAGCAGCAGGCACCTGAAAGCACCAGAGCAAGTTGTAAAGACCACCTCAGGTCTCTGTTGCTTTGCATGAACATTGCAGTTGACTTGCAGCAGCGTCAATGTTGTCCCTCGTTGAGTGATGCGCGCACATGCGGCGCAAACGTACGTAAATCATACTTCACGGGATACTTCCTATTGCATTCACAGGGCACCAATGTGGAGAATTGCATCGCAGAGCTCGACGAGAAAGCAGCTTACCTAGAGATTTGCTGCGCATGTAGTCACTTAGCCGTGGACAGATTTCCTGCAGTGATGGTCGTGCAAAGCTTGGTGCGCTCTAGGTGAGGGCATCCTTTGTCATTGCCCGAGCTTGGCTGCTAGGGATTGAATTGTATACCCAAGTCTACCCTCATGGGCTCATTCTGCTTTTGGTGGCTGCTAGGTGACCATGCAGTCGATGATGGATGAGCTGTATGAGCTCGCAGGGGCACCCTATCTTGGTCCAGCGGGCCTCACTGCAGACAGACAGGAGCTCAGAAAACACTATGGAGTGCACAAAGTCTGGTGTGTGTGTCTCTGTAGGTGTGTGTGAGAGTGTGTGCCCGCTTCTCTTTGCCCTGAGATGTGCAGCTTCTAGGCATGTACCAGAAGACGGCGTCCCCTGACGACCCTCAGCACGAGCCTCTCAGCGGCTCGCAAACTCCTTCGGAGATGACCTGAGGCTTCTGTGTCGTGATTGTCGTGATCGCAATGAAACAACAGATTCAGCTTGAAGAGCCAAGCTTCAGAATGATCAGCGTGGAGAGGGGGAAGAGGGGCAACACAGTGCAACAGCAAGCTTGGAAGCGAGCATCAAACAGGTTCGTGCTGACTATTGCTTACTGCCATACTGCTGACTACTTAGACACTCGCGATATCAAGAAACAGCATGTGTAAAGACGATGACGAAACCTGCCTGCACTAGTTGCAGCTGGCCGATGTATCCTGTAGCTTCCTGTTGTAGACGATTGTGCTAATGTGGATGCTTTGCTGAGCTTGACTCAGCAAGTGTTTTCAACAGTGGGGCATGGGCGTCAAAGGCGCCATGTGCTGCCATGAGTTGTTGTTTCACGCTCGGTCCGGCAAAGACTCTTGCCGGTGAGACGGCCGGTGCAGGCCACAAGAAAGAGTGTCATGGTTTGAAGCTTGAGATGCTCTAGCTGCACACGATGCACTGCCATCTGACGACACCTGTCCACAGTTGTCCACACACAGTAGGATCAATAGACGTAATCTTGACACTGCATCTTGTGCATGGTATTGACGCAGCATTTGCGGCTCCATCGTAGAAGCTAGGCTGACACCCAGCGGGTTATCACATGGCCACAGGTGGCATGAAAACCGCGTGCCCACCATGATTTTGCAGCCAATGTCGGGACCGTCGGGACCATGTCCCATGCACCACAACCACGAGCCCGCGCGGCATGCGCAGATCCATGCAGCTTAACCAAGGCAGGTACTGAATGGAACACGCCGGGGCATCGCCATGAGTGCATCGTGCTATGATGTAATGAGATGCTGGGACACTGAAGAGGACGCTGATGGGTTGACATGATTTGCAAGGTACAGCAAGATTGGACCCTTGCGCAATTGATTTCGTCACAGTATCAAACGGCTAGGCTATGTCACTGTTCTGCAAGACAGAGGTGAGCATGCTGTCAAAAAGGGAGCCCAGCAGGCCCGTGGCCCAATCTAGAATTGCAGACGTCCGCGGATATGGCAAACTGTCCCGCGTGCAAAGCCTGAACACGCCATGAGTCCGCCGACGTGGCAAAATGACGCTTTGGCGATGTGGTGACACTCAAGTTTTCTTGCTTACTGAAACCCAGAGATACAGAAGACACCCCGTCTGGCGTCCACATCCATCCGACAGACAGGTGTGTTCCACGATGTTCCACGCCACCCTAAACAGTCCAAGCAGCGGTGCCGATGTCTTGCGGCGGCATGCCAATGTAGGTGCCATGAGCAGTTGCCGGACAGGGGCCGCAGTTCCAACATTGCCAATGTATTGCAGTTATATCTTCCTAGGCGAGTGGCCCCGAAATGGGATCCACATTTGTTCGGCCTCTCCCTCGTCCCCTCCCTATCCTGCTCATTCTGCAGATGGGATGGCTGCTCCGAGTGGTCTGTGGAACTCTTGCGCTGAGATGACTTTGAAGCCTCTCCAGGAGGCGAGTGGTGGAAATGTGGAGGGCATCGTGTCCGTTGACCCGCTGCCGCCTGCGAGCGTTCCGCAGGCCGCTCATGTCAAGCTTCTGAGGCCATGGCTTCCCGCTTTCTGCTTCAGGATGCGATGGTCGGCTACAAAGGGGGCTCTGAGGAGGAGGAAGAGGATTCTGAGGAGGAATATGATAGGAGGGAGGCAGGGCTAAGAACGTGATATCGTGTGCCCCTGTGCCAGTTGATGCCTTGTTTTTGGGTACACGTTCGTGACACCTTTCCAGGGCCTCTGGCCGCTGGAGAAGTTGAAGGCACAACTTGAGGCAGGGAAGGATACTGCATCAAGTGATATCTCAAGCGCTTCGCGCGTTTCTCTTGCGGGTCTTGTGTTTGCAAGCTCCGGCTGTCGAAGCATGTCGCAACACCACTAGTCGCCCCGAGTGTGCGACAGACAGCGGAAGAGCCCACTGCGCGAAAAAGAGCAAAGCACAGAAGATAATGCAATGCAGCATTGCGGGCACAGCCAAGCACAACATGATGAAGATTACTTAGTGGACGTGCATCACGACGATTCTCTTGTTTTTGATGCTTGTGTTGGGGAGTTTTGCTTGTTTGCGTAAGGCCACGCACATCCTCAAGCACTGATGGCTTTTAAGCGGTGTAGACTTTTTGCTTTTGTTTGATTGAAAGGTTTTGGCCGATGAGAACTAGTTGGGTGTGGGCGCATAGGGCGCCTGGTGGTTTGATGGGCTTCGATTTTGTGCACAGATCTCCTTGTAAGCCACGTAGAACCCACGCGAAACCATTGCGATGACCAAGATGTATGCTATTATCATTGTTGTAGAATCGTCATTATCATCATCATCATCATCATCATCATCATCATCGCCATCACCAATCCGTAGAACTTTTCACCGGAGTATGTTGTACAAAGAGGCCCGCTTGCGAGAGCGCGTCTTGTTGCAGAAGCATCAAACATCCTGTTGTGCAAAGACCCCAAAAAACTGTAAATGCCGGTGTTTGGGCAATGGACGTAACCATCCGAAATGTGCTGGAAGGCGATGAAACCACCAGCCGCCCACGCCCCGAACGAGTCAAGCTCTGCGAACTTTTGCAGAACAACATACCAAAATCGAATCAACCCTCGATCCGCAAATCGATCTGCAAGTCGGTGCGACTGGACAACCCTCTCAGAAATTCAGAAAGCCTGATGGCGCAAGTCGTGTTTAGCCTTCAGGATGTCCCTGGACGTCGGCATTTCATGGCCTGCTGAAGTTTTGTCAGCCATGACTTAAAAACCCCAGAGACACGGTCAGACACGGCGATCTGAGAGTGACAAGAGCCTTGCAGGCACTCTCCGATGACGCTCCGGCCAGCACCTGGGCGTTGAAGAGAAAACGGGACTCGAGATATCCGAATCCGGGTATTCCGGTTGCGTTGACGGAGCAGAGTTTTTCAATTTGTCGCTCGCACGTGCTGGCAACATGTCACGGCCAAGGAAACTGGGCGGTTCTGCTGTACGTGGCTCAGGGAAGCATTCCAGAAATCCAGCCCTTTCCGACAGTGTCCGGTGGAGATGATGGTGTGACTCAGGACAACGGGTGCGATGAATCCTCCACACTTGGGCCACACAGAGCTGCTGCAGAAGGTGTGGTCTCAGGGTTCCTGAGAGCGATGTCCCCACTTCAACCCCTCAGGTTATACGAAGCTACTAGGTATCTTTCGTTGCTACAGCAGCAAGACAATGTCCAACTAGTAGAATTTGGATTGCAGTACAGCCACTATGGAGTGATGGTTGTGTTGTTCAGGGACGGCCGGCCGCATAGAGTCATCATCATGATCGTCATCATCATCATAATCATCACCATCATCACCATCATCACCATCATCACCATCATCACCATCATCACCATCATCACCATCATCACCATCATCATCATCACCATCATCACCATCATCACCATCATCACCATCATCACCATCATCACCATCATCACCATCATCACCATCATTGCAAGGCGGCTGAGCGACTGCGAAGAGAAGGCCCATTTTGCCAGCTTCATGCTCTGTTCACACAATTGGAGACAACGGATGCCTGGGAAGGCTTCGAAGTTGCTGGTGCCTGGATCTCACCGTCCCATGACGGTTACGTGCAGCCGAAGGCGGGGCAGAGTCATACTCGTAGGACAAACTCGCTCGCTCAAATGTGTTTTAAGCAAACGTCAGTAGCATCAGTAGTCAGCACAAATCGTCGTAGAGGCTCGGAAGCTGGGAACGATAGGCCCCGGCTTAAGCTTTTCTGATTTGCAGTGGTGATGGTGCCTTTCACGCAGCATGTCATTAGTTTTGGCATGTTTTGGGTGCTCAGGGCTTTCGTCACCGTTCCGCTTGGAGGCTGCTCGCAGAGCGGTGCGAAGCTGGGTTGCAAAGAGGTTGCCAATAGCTTGCAGATTGCAGTGGCGGACCCTCGCAACCTCTGCCAAGTTGTTTTTTTTCTCCGGATAGTCGCTTCAGAGGGCTCCGAATAAAAGCTGTGAGAAGCAACAGCTTGACCCGGGACTCCCTTGCACTTTTCGGGTACTTACTCTCTCTTCTGAGATGAAGCTAAAGGTCCCTTCTTTGCGCAAAGTAGCTACGTGTACGACAGAACCGTCTGGCATCAGGGCATGAAGCGATGAAGAGGAAGGAAATACTATTGAAGTTACTATTGGTTGCAGAGATCGAACCAATTGCTTGTGGGGAAGGTTGGGGTTCTGAGGAGATGACGTGCTTCTGGAAGTCGGCAGCTGGGAGGCAGCCGTTTTGGGGAACGGCCACCTCGAAATGCAGAGGATTGCGTGAGATAGTACTTAAGATGTTTGTTGCAGGCGGAGAAGCCAGGACGGTGGCCAGACTTTCCAGAGGCTCACTGCACGGAAGGGGTGGGGGTTGATCAACCCCTTTGTGCATACAGACTTGACAATGGCCCCACATCTTAGCTCAACCCCTGCCATGACGTTGCTCTTGACGTTGGCACTGTCATGATGTCGTTGCGCCGTATTTTGAGATGCTGAGCAGGTTGCGGTCGCGTTGCAAAGGAAGCTACAAGATGCCGAGAAGGACCAAAGTTGACCCCCGAAGCAAACGTATCCTTAAGTGCTGGTCTCAAGATGTCTCAAGATGTTTGAAGTGTTTAGGCATGGAATTTGGATCGCAGCTTCAAGGCTGGCAGTCAAGTTGGGGTCAAAGTGAGGAGCAAGATCGTTGATCTGGTGCGACAGGTTTTCTATGCATGTGGCACAGACCACGCCAAGAGCAACGGCCTCTACAGAGGCCTTCTGCCGGAGAGGCGCCGGCCTCGGGTTCATCGGTGGGAATTGCAACATATTGCAGTTGCCGCAATGTCTGATCGTGGTGTCAGAATTCGCGCAGCACTGTCGTGGGTCTGTCATGATTCCAGGCCCTGCCGGGCTATTATTTGTTAAGCTGCAGGGGGCTGGGCGTTGTCGTGGTCCCGCGCGCTGGCGAAGCGGCACAAGCCGAAGTACCGGACAAATCCGTGTACGTGGCGGAGGGCATCTTGGGGGAGGCGACTTGGCAGGTGAAGCTGTGGTGAAGCCTCGCTCACACTTGTGTCTGTCCATGTCCAGGGAGCGTCTTTCAGCTCCACCATGCTGAGAACGGCCTTCAAGTCACGGAAAGCCTCAACGGTTGTGAGGAAGACGGTTTCTGACCAGGCCGTGTACTGCAGCAGTGACTGTGTGCCAGATATTTTTCGCAGACCTTGCGCAACAGAGTCGCTTTGAGGCTGCCAGCTTTCTTCTTCGGCCAACACGTGAGGCTGTCCTCGTATATGGAGGTTGATCTACAGGATTCTACAGGTCCTTGTGGGAAGTTATTTCGGGTTCCTGTGGGTTTACAGGAGAAATACAGGGTCATTTTGGGAACAGGTATGTTGATCAAGAACCATTTCTTGCCCAAGATTGTCAGGAGTTCCTCATGTTTCCAGAGGACTTTGCCAAGCTTGGCATAGCTGGGCTCCGAGAACATAGAACGTTGTTGCTCCTTGCATTGTGTAAAGACTGTGAACATCTGTGAATGCTGAGGAAATGCCGCCAAAATGACAGAGGCAGCCTCGCGCCGTTGCTGAACAAGTCTTGAAAGCGGCCGAATGCGGCCGCGACTCCGTTGTCTTCGTAGGAAGAATTCAGGATGCAGAATGATGGCACAATCCTGGTTGTTAACGCGCAACAGTGTCAGTGTGACGCTGTGCCCATGCATCGACAGCCCTCAAGGGGCTCGACATGATTTTATATGCAGTCCTGCACTTCTATACCAGTTGTCGGCGGGAAAGAGGCTCACGTCCAGAAGACACTAGAATCCTTCATGCATCTGTAAGCAGCAGCATGATGCAGCATGTTGGCGGCGGAGAGCTACGCAAAGTGGCGTGGACTTTGGAGAACAGATTGGAGTCCCTCGCAGGCACCGGCTGGTGGCGGCTTACAGTTCTTTGATGCAGGCGAATCTGTAGAGTGCAGAATGCCGAGATTGCCGGTCACACGCACTCTCAGTCACCATCACGACTACAAGTACGCAGACTAACATTGGAGCTGTGGGCAGTAGTTTCACGCGGTCTCAATTCCAGAAAGACTTGGATAGACAAAGTGTGAACGGTTTCCTCTGCCAGACCTTAAGGCTCCTCAAGCCGCAAGCCCCTGGTGCAGAACTTTAAGTCAAAGTACTTGTGCTGGTGCGGCTTCCCATGAACGCGGAGAGCTTCTGTTCACTTGAGAAAGCCTAGACCTGGGCCTCATAGGCCACAGAACACATAGCACCCCACGTTGATCTCGTTTTATCAGAACAGGTTTTGGAGCCGCACTGCAAGGAGCTCAAACAGCCTCAAAGGTACAGGAGCTACAGTCAAGAGCCGAAAATAGTCAAACAATAGTCAGAAGGAGTCCAAAACATGTGTTGAAAGATCAGCCCATACTCTCTCTTGTCGGGCGCTCCTCAGTTGTTTGAGGAACTCGTGCGGCTTTCTTTGGGTTACCGTTGACATTCTCCCCGCTGTTCACATTGAAAGCTTTTACATGCAGCGATCGTGCTCACGAGTGGCATGCATGACCTGAAGGCGCAGCGCAACCTCAGGCCAGGGATCTGCCCCGCCAACAAATCGAGCTGCTCACCGATGTCGGGCATGGAGAGCACCGAGTGTCCTTGCCAGGGGCCTGGCATGTCCGCTCCCCCGCAGCCTGTTGGAGGCAGGTGTGAGCGTAGAACTTCTTTTCTGGGGCTTGGGCTGGGATTTGGGGTGCATGTGCAGGTCAAGTGCGGCCACCTTTTGGCGGGCAGATGGGAGAGATGAGTGGCCAGATGGGCCCGGGGCAGATGGGTCCTGGGCCGATGGGCCCCGGCGCGATGGGCCCTGGGCCTGGCCAGATGGGTGGACAGATAGGCGGCCACATGGCGCCAGGAAGCTTTCCGCAGCTCGGCAAAAAGCAGTGCTTCTTCGCAGGGTTTCAAGCCGCACCTGCTTTCTTGCCTGCCCGGGGCTTTGGAAGCAAGCAACTAAAGGCAAAGTAAGAGCAGCAGAAACCCAAGAATCCAACCACAAACCACGGATTCCCTACTTGGGTTCCCTTCACACTTGGGCTTCCTTACTCTCCTAAAAAAAGCCTAAAGTTCCTACCTCTGAAGCTTGGAGCCCTCCAAACTTGCCCTGTTCTGTTTGGAACTCCACGCGCCCCAAAAAGGACCAGGCGGTACTCACATGAAGCAAGGGGAAGCTTGTGGTTGCAGCATCATCACACGCGCGAACTACCCCAAACTACCGTGGATCCCAGTGTGTTGGGGAAGGATCTCACAGGGTTGGCCTGTTGGCACTTTTCCTGCCCATGGTGTCTGAGGCCACCCGTCGTAAACAATTACGACGATGACATCGAGAATGAGCCACCCCTGTTAGAGGATGGCAGAAGTGCTTAAAGTGCACATGCCACATCATGCAGCACACAAGTTCATGGCAGTTCATCCATCGCTATCTGAACCCAACGCGCAGGAGCTCGGCATTAACGTTGAGCACATCCTTCTTAGAATGCAGGGTGTGGCGTTCTTCAAAAAGCTAGACGAGGCAGGTGGCTGCATGTTGGCCTGAACGTGAGTTCCCGTTCATTCTCACGAGGCTTCTCTCAGGTTCTTGGAAGCCTTTGCTCAGGAAGTCCTCAAGGATGCCGACCTTAGTGGGCCCCTGCTCATCTGCCTAACGCTGGGTGGGCGACTGAGACAACGCTGACTGTGCTGGAGCTGCGAATCTTCTGCTGCAGATGGGGAGAAGTCGTGTATGTATGTATCTATGTACCTATCTGTGTGTGTATATATATATATATCATAACGTACTATAATTGAACGTGTTTTAGTAGAATACCAATACTATGGGCTAGGAAGTACACCATAATGCCCCAATAATAGTATTCACACGGCCCATTAATATAATTCACGCGTTAACTTATAAAAAAAATGATATGTCAATCTTCAGGCATGGCGCTGCTGCTTGTCGGAAAGCTGCAGTTTGGGTGTGCTGGCATGATTTTTGATCTGCGGACTTCTCCAGTTTGAGCGGGTGTTTCACGTCCCTGTCAGCACCTTTCTTTGCTTGAGCTGGGGTACTTGCGATGGAGATTAAGATGCTTGGTGAGTGATTTTTTGAACGTCGCGATCCTTCTTCCCACAGGTATGTATATGGCTTGATTGCCGGCGGTTCCTTCGGCATCTGCTGCCTCATAAATGTGATGAGCCAAAAGGAAGGCGGGTTGTGGGTTTGTTGGGAGTTGAAAGCTGGAGAATTCTGTTAGAGACGTGGGTAGCAGTAGCGGCACTTGCACTCCGTGATTGCAGCGGCTTCAGACAGAGCAGAACTCGTCTACTGGTATGCCTGAGGATCCTGGCATGAGCAAGAGATTGCAGCATGCTAGTGCACTTCGCAGGCATCGACCTCTACAGAACAATTAGCATCCTTGGATATGGGCAGCTCGGCTCGATGCTTCTGCTCTGGTAAGATGGGGATTCGTGCAAAGCTGTAAATTGAGCTCCTGTGAGGCTGATACCGATCGTCTTCCTCGCCCTCTTCGGAATCATTGTTTCGCTGAAGTGCCCGCCTGAGCCCCCCCCACCGAGAGTGGACCTCCACCCGGATGCTTGAGTGAGATCATGGGACATCCATAAATCTCCGTGGTCAAGGTCCACCTTCGGCTCCATCATGGCTGCCATCTGCATAGGCCAAGCATGCGGACATCATTCCATGCTGGGCCAGTGGTGAATCTGCTTGATCCGGTTAGTACAGTATATTGCAGAAGAGTGAGTGCCAAATTGAAACCTGCACTTTGCCAGCCTGGGCAACTGCATCGTCCTCGAGATTCTTCGCGATTGCGATACACATGCAGGACCAAAGGCAGGGTGCTTTCTATGCAGCCTTCCCTCCCAACCAGTGAAGCCCAAGACGCTGCCCTGGAGGTGGCTGGTTGCTTATCCTGTTGGTTTGGCACCGATCTTACTTCTAAGCTCGACATGCGATGCTACAGTTACAAGACTGTTACAAGTTATAGCATTTGCAGTTGCTCCCCCCCTCCCCGCCCTCCCCCTTCCCTCCCCTCTCCCCTCCCCCCCGTCTCCCCTCCTCTCCCCACCCCCGCATTGCCTCAAGTTTAAACAATTTAGGACAACACCGAGGTAGGTAAGAATCTGAAGGGCAACAGGCACGCATTCCATAAATCGAAGTGGGGGCCGCGAACTTCTGCGAACCCGAGTAAAAGTCACGAAGTCCAAGCCATAGAGAGCAGTTGCTTTGTGCGAACTCAGGGAAGGTTATAGGAAAGTTAGCAGCCTAGTACGAAGGGGTGGGGGGCTTACACGAACTTACTCGTAGTTTTTGAGTTCCTCCTTGCTTGGTCAAAGTCGAAGCCTTGCCAGCGTTGTCCAAAACAACGGGCCTGGAGAGTTTCAAGCGCAACGTGATGTGCAATGGTTCGGCACTGCCAAGGTGTATACGTTCTTCACGCTGATCACCATTTTTTGATGTCAGGGTAGGCTAGGCCTTTGCGACCGCAGCACACGGCTGCAGTGCATGTGCCCGGTTCCTCATGGCCCACCAGCCTGTCAAGCTGCACTAAGACCATCTAAGACCCAGTTCCACATGGTGGAATGATGACCAGATTGGCCGCCATGCGGGGGGAGCTGTCCTTGAAGCTTATCTTGCGACACTCACCTTGCATGTTGATAATGTGACGCTCAGTCGGCGTGATGAGAATCATGCTGCGCTCCAGCGCTGTCTACAAACGGCATGGCGCAATCGCGCGGAAAGCCTTCAGAAAAGACGCCTTCCCATGGTCTACAGCTGCTGAGATGTTCTGAGTGATGGTACGGCCTGGTACGGTCAAGCACGATGATTTAATTTTAACGCTACGCGACCCGCCTCGGCCCGGCCCAGCGCATCCGCATGAGCATGGTGATTCCGCAGCGCCCAAGTCGCTGGACCCCAAGCAATAAGGGTTGGGTTGAGGGTTGAGGGTTCCGGGTTTATGGTTTATGGTTTGGGGTTTGGGGTTGAGGGTTAGTTTAGGGCTCAAGGTTCACGCTTTGGGGTTGAGGGTTTTTTTGGGTTTAGGGTTGGGCTTGGAGTGATCGCAGTTGAGCCAGGCCTCTTAAGGTTTAAGGCGACTCTTGGGGGGGGAGGGGGGGTGGGGGGGTGGGGGGTGGGGGGGGGGGGGGGGGTGGGGGGGGGGGGGGGGGTGGGGGGTGGGGGGGTGGGGGGGGGGGGGGGGTGGGGGGGGGGGGGGGTGGGGTGGGGGGGTGGGGGGGGTGGGGGGGGTGGCTGGCGAACCGTCCGCTTGCGGACCCCGGTTTCCCAGGGGGGTACCCATTTGAGGCCAAAAAAAGGGGTCCAAAAAAGCGCTTGGGTATGGGGGAGGATTTGGAGGGGGGTGCCTGTTCTGACAACCTAGACACCTCCGGCCCGAGGCCTCGGCGGATCGAAGGCTACGTTCGTTACGCGCTTGTGCTCTTTGTTGGCTTGCTTGCTTGCCCGCTTTCTCTTTCTCTCTCTATTTGTCTTGCTTTCCTTCTCCAGTTGCGTTGTGTGCAACATAGGCAAGACGCAATCATCAGCAACTGGCACTCCCAACTACACCTTTTCTTACAGTGTCTTCATGGTATGACGACACATGAAGTCAGTGCTTTCTCACAAGCTTGCGGGACGTTCTTTTTGTTGGGGATGGAGTGGGTCGACTAGCTGCCTTGAGACTAGTTCAAAGTTTAGCTGGGGTTGGGAGGGTTGTCCTTGAAACTGCAAGCGCTCTACAATATGTCCTCATGATTACTGGAGATGGCGTTGTCTCCAGCCCCTGTCGCATCAGCTGCCGTGGGACGGGTTGATCACAAGGCCCGCACCGCGTTTCTACTCTGTTATGAGTGGTGTGAGTTTCGCACCCATGTGCGCTTGCAAACTCCTCCGATGCCGAAAGCCTTAAACTCTTAAACTCCAGAACCAAGACTCTAGCTGAATCCTAAACCTGGTACCAGGCGGCAAAGTCTGGGACCTCCGGACCCTGGGCTCTGAGAAAGCCAGACAGCAGGCGGGGCAACAACAAGTGGTGCGCTTGTCGCAGGTTCACGTAGATTCACAGATCCAGGTCAGGGACTGGCACAAACTGTGGTGATTGCCAGCCTAAGAAAGAGGATTCCGAGCTCGCAGCCTACTGTTTGACATGAGGCCTTGTGAAAGGGCTTCCTCCACCGCGTGCGTGCAGATGGACTTGCGAGATTGCATGGCCTGGCTGTGGCATGCTGCTGGCACGAAACAAGTGGTCGGCCCAAACAGCACCTCCAGCTGAGGTGGTGACCACCGAAGTAGCGGATCACAATGTGGACATGACCCAGCTCTCGGTGGACTAGGGTCCAGACGCTGCATATGAAGAGGGAGCTCCAGATGAGGACCCTGATCTCTTGGCATGTTGTCCGCATGCGGGTCATGCGCCAGCATCACATGCCCGCAAACTGCCTCGACGACGAGAATCTCAAGTCTAGATGGACAGTCCGACGAGTTGGTTGAACTTGGCCCTGGCGGGGTGTGTGAAGCTGCAGGAAGTAGCGCGCTCGCTTCGGTGGGTAGCAGCTAGCAGCGGTGAAGCCCTTTAGAGTCTTTGAGCATATCGGCCGGAGACTGTCCGTGAGCACTGAGCTTGCACTCGATCTCTAAGTTATGGGTCCCAGTACGTCCCTTGTGTTGGGTTACCCTACATACAAAGGGCTATTGTAACAGGGTAACCAAAACCCCTACAGGTAGTTCAGAAAACTGAACCTCTGATGCCATACCCATCGAAAGAATGTTTGCATGGGTCTATGCCGTTGCAAGAGAGTCTGTGATGCTGAACGTAAATCTGGGCACGAGCACATCCGGCTCGCCAAGATCTGTTCTCTGGGGGCCATGTTTCGTTCTCACACAGGTGTGGCGATGGGTGGCGCCGGCCGGCTTTTGCACGAGGCACACTTGTGAGGAGGGCGACTTGTCTTGTGCTGTTGTGCTGTGTTTGATTGTGGTGTAGTACCCTTTCACATACTTGCAATATATTTTGTTGGTACGCGCAATACAGTAATACATGATTTCCATGTGAGCTTGTTGTCATGAATTGCGTAAAGAGCTGCCCCTGTAAATCTTCCATCTTCACGAAGGCACCCCTTCTTTATGTCTGTTCAATTTCTATCGGTATTGCAAAACCTACTGCTGCGAAGATCCCCTGTCTACAAGTCCTAGCACTTTACGCGGGTATTCTTGACAATGCTATCCACCTATATACAGATCCCCCTACAGATGGTATGTACTGGTGCGTTCGCAGTTGCGAGGCTAGGTCTATTTTCCTTTTTGTTCTCTTCAGTTTAGGGTTAGGGTTAGGGCTGAGCATGGTTTCTCGTATCGGGTTTCAGGGCTCGGGCTAGGCTAGGGATTTAGGTTTCTGGTTTGGATGTTGGGTTTCAGGCAGGCCCATAGAGTTTAGGGTGTTTAAGATTCAGGTTTTAGGGTGAACCCCCCCCCCCCCCCTCATACCCCGACCCTCCCTCACCACCCGAGATCCCTCGCGCCGCCCCCCCGACCCCGACCCCCCCCCGACCCCTCCCTCATGTCATGTCTTCGTGTCGTATCGTGTTTTTGTCCCCGTGTCGTGTCCTCGTGTCGTGTCTTTGTGCCGTGTCATGTCATTCTGCGGTATATCCGTTACATGGTGGTTCGCAGGGAAATTGGTATTCTAAATAGAACCTGCTTGTGCTATTCTTTTCGGAGAGCCCCCACCACCCCGACAAGCCCTACCAATGATCATAGGAAAGTTCTTCTATGAAAGCCAGATGCAAGTCCCATCATGAGTTCTAGCTTCTTGTGCGAAAATACAACAATATAGATTCCGAGGGGTTTTCATTACGTGGCGATGCCCCTTTCGCGTTTTATTGCTTGCCCGTGGTCGTCCAGGACCTACCGCCGGAATATTCGTACTGCGAATTATAACTCCAATTCGAGGCCAAAGCCTGGTGCCCGCTGCGGCGGCCATTTGGACGCTGCCTTAAGGTGAGCACAGCATGGGTGATGCGTCGTAGACAATGCAGGGATCGCCACCCAAGCTCCGGAAATGCCTCTGTTGTGCTCACGCTTGCTCTCGGCCAGATCTTACCTCCTGCTTAAGGGCACGCTCCTGCAATGCCAACATGGGCTATGGGCTATACTCTTGGCGCTTGCATTCCATTTTCCTCCTAGGACTGCACGTGGCTCGCTTCGCCGTGAGCATTTGAGGTGCCGTGCCACATCATGTTAGGTTGACGAACGCACAATCACATGAAGTCGTGTAGATGGTGCGACATGTCATCGCCGAAGGCATGTCAAGGCAGCACCCAAAAGCGTAGTTCCCCAAAGCCGGAAAGAGCTTTCGAGAAGTGGCTATAGGCTGTGGGGGCCATGACGGTGGCAGCTTCAGTCATAGCGATGTACAGTTGAGGATCCGAACCCCTCCAAAGTCCGAGCATGCTTCAAGGCGCTCTCGACGTCGCAGCTTGCCAGACGAGTCAGCGGAGGCCGAGGCCGAGGAGGAGGAGGAGGAGGCCATGGGATGCGACATGCCATGGAAAGATGGAAAGGCGACTTGTGCAGACAGCAAGCCCAGCTTTCGCCTTCGTCCAGTTTAGGATGCAGCATCGTGTCCCGAAATCCCATGCCTTACTGTGCCTGCAAAGCTGAGTGGAATTTGCGTGCCGGGTTGCAGGGTATCGCAACTGGCGCCGCACGCCTGCCGCTCGATGAGTGGCTGCAGGAGGCCTGTTTGTTGCTGGTCAAGCCTCAGTGTCTGTTGTTGGCTGCACACAGCTGCCCCTCAGAGGTCCAGCTACATGCAGACTTGGCAAAAGACATTGAGGAGAAGTTTGGCAGCGTTCCCCAGCAGGAGAGGGGCGTCTCGAATGTGTCATGCGTACCTTTTCGACTTATTCGCTTCAATCATCCCCATCCCACAGCTAGCAATGTGGAAGCCATCCGGTCCTTTTCGGGCATGTAATCACCAAGGATGCTTCGCCGCAGGATTCTGTCGCGCCGGCCTCCGGGTTGTTTGTGGGGGCACTCCAGGCATACTCAGCGGGGCTCTCTGCGGGACACTCCGGGGGTGGGCACTCCAGGCGGTGGGACTCTCCGCGGGGATGTTCTCGGGGGTGGCCACTCTAGGTGCTCAGCGGGACACTAGAGGGATGTCTTTGTGTTCCTATGTTTCCTTCCAGGCCGAGAAAGTGGTTCACGACGTTGTGATGCGCATCCAAGAAGGTGCCCAACGATGTGTCGTCGGAGCTCCAGGTGACTGCATTGACCGCACTGCGCGCATGCATGCAAATTTCAGCAATCACAACAACGCATTTTGCAGGGGCTTCTGACGGTCAGCTTCTGAGGCACCTTCTGCCACGGCACATCCGTTCGGCTCTACAGTGAACGGATTCGGTGAGGCCTCCGAAGTCTGCTACTGCACGTGCTGCACTTGCATTCTCAAGCTTGGTACAGTATTTTATGGTAGTGGTACTAGTGCAGACAAAATTTAGTTGGACCTCCGGTTTGAGTTTGGTTGTTTGCCTGGAAGGGGTCTTCAGCCTGCAGCATAGCTTCAGGTTGCTTCCTTGTGCACAGGAATCGTCCGATCTGGATGTGCTTGTAGCGATAGAAGAGGAGGACGGGCTAGTTTTTGCTCCTCCAATGTTTGCTCCTCTGCTGCTCTTCAGGAGCTCACCTACTACATGAGCTACGCCAGCTTTCAGAATCGCTACCAAAGGCCTTGTCGTGGAGCTTTTTGCTGAGCAGAACGCGCCCTAGAGCATGACATGCAGCATGGCATGTGTATGCCCGATCCACTTTCTGCAAGTTCTCAGAGCCTCCTGCTTGCGGTATCTGCAAACTGCAGCAATCTATCCACTGTAGCTACCGGAACTGCAAGGCTTGGCAACCCCTTGCTTCATGATGAAGCCATTTCCGACTTTGCTTCGCCGCCGGGATACCTGTCCGACGGGAATGTAAACCAAACTGGTGACACGTGCCGATCTTCAAGAGGTTCTGTGGGATGTAGCCTCAATCTACAGCTGTAGAACTCTGACCTACGGAGTAGTTTAAGCAAGAACGGCGAGGTCTTTGCTGCTCAAGGCGGTGACGCCGAAGAGCGCGTGGAGCTGAGAGTTCTTTCTGTTGCGAGTACTTTTCCAAGCCGCACAATACCCCCGTGCCGGTGTGCCGACGTGCTTATGCAGTGCTTGCAGGCGATGACGCATGCCGTGCAGCAGCTGGCCGACTTCTTGCCAGAGCTGGGCTTCAAAGTGAACCCCGCAACTGTTGGCATTTGCATGGGCCATCATGTGCCATTCGCCTTCCAGCCTAAGACAGACTTTGTTGGCCCAGTGGCGTGGTGTCGATGACAGGTGAGCCAGCTGATTCCTAGAGCTCGAAAGCCGTTGGTCACTCTGGAAGACACGTGCGCCTGGGTGCATGTAACTGTAAGCATCCTCTAGTGACCCTAGCGGATTTCTGAAGGATGCGCTGTGATGTGGCGTGATTCTGCGCGTTCTCGCAGGCGGAGCACGCTGACCGAGGTTGACGTGTCCATCAACAATAGCCTGGGCCTCTCCGCACCACCTTAAATCTGAGTGGACGGTACGTGTTGTCCAGAAACCTGCGTTCTTTTGCGATCGTACCGAGGCTTGCCGTTGTACAACTCACAACTGCTCCGGGCATACTCCATACTGGATCCGCCCCTTCCTTACGATGCATTTTCTGCCACACTTGACTCATGGCCAATCGGACTTTCGGGACCTGTGGCCGAAGGCGGGTGCGGCCTCTGGTCCTGCTGGCAAAGGTGCAAGTGGGCAGTGCACAAGATACATTAACATAAGTCGCACGATCTACGTCGTTCGAAAAGTTGCCGCGAACCTCGGAGCAGCTTTGTGTTTCCTTGCTCGCGCCATGGCTTGAAGGTTGCTCAATGCTGTTTATGCTGCGAGGTCTGGGCAAAGGGCAAGAAGGTGTGCGGTGCACAAGGGGGCAATCTGTCCTCATACTCGTGGACCATCATGGCTGCGCGCTTAGTTTATTCATCGTTGGGGGAACTAGCTTCAAGCCGCACTCGCTAGTTCTGATGCTGCCAGCTGCAGGTTGTATACTTCCTCCAGTTGGTGGGCCTGCTCCCATCTCTTCAGCTACTCTCCAAAGAAGAGAGGTGGCGCAAAGCTGGACGAATGCAGCAGAATGCAGCATAGCGAGTCCCGCGCTGGGCAGGACTCTGCAGACGAGGGACTACTGGGCCCATGAGCGGCCGTTTGAGGTCGGCTTCCTTACGGCCGAGGCATCGCCAGGACAGAGCATCGGGTCTCTGCCACATGTTCTCATCACTGGAGGAATACCAGAACGACGTGGCTGACGGAAAGATAGCTGCACCCAATGGAGAGGCCATAGTCATACATCGTCAACGCACAGCACAGTGAGCTCGTACTGCAGCGCGGTAGATTCAGCAGAGCTGCTCTCAGGCCAGCCTGTCGCTGGTCCACATCTGAGTGTGTACTGCAGTTTTATCCCACAAAGTCTTACGGGAGGCAGGTTCCATTCGGGCGCTAGGCTGAGCTTTTCTACGGCTTTGTGCGCTTCTACTCCGCGGAGTGCGCGCTTAGCTTCGCATTGCTTCGACATCCGCAAGGGCGCGAACGCCCTGGAAGGTTTGAGGCAAGAGAGACTGCTGGAGAGGCACAAAACGAGCTCAGCGCAGGTACGAGTGGGGCAAAGAGGCAGGTTTCCGCTGAATCAATGACCCAGCTCTGGCTAGATGCCTTCTTTTGGGCATTCGTAGGTGTTATCAGTGTCTTGCGTGCTCCCTGCTGCACCTGCAGCTCGTGTGTCATCGCTTCCTTGTTTCTGTTTCTGATGTAAAAGTGATATAACATGTGTCTTCAATGAGGGTTTGCTAGCATCGTGTGTCTTTGCAGAGGTGGTTTCCATTCAGAAGCCTGATCGGAAAGATCGAGGTCCATGGCAGGATGCCCGGATGCTTGCAAACGGCTTTGTTTCCATTTAGCACTCTTGAAATGCAACCAGCTCGGTGTCCACACGCAATCAACCATTCTGCAATGCAAGCGGCCTTTTGCATTTCTTAGTGTCTTAGACTTAAACGCATTCCTGATTCAAACTAAAGGCTTGAGCTGTTCGTGAGTCACTGCCAAGCGAAGGTTCCTGCTCTTTGGCAAGGCTCATCCAGAGCCGTGCATCCACGTGGAGGCAGAGTGCATAGACTAGCACAATCCAAAACCTCTTCAGTCATAAGTTAGGTTGCCATGATTCTGACGTGCAGGATCCAATTGAGTTCCGCGACCTCAACATTGTGATGATGAGAGAACGGCTCGCTCAGCTCAAGGCAGCTCATCTCCATGTTGTTTTTTTGGGTGTATCTTCGCACACGGGGTCTCTTGAACAGAGAGACTCGAGCACAGGTGGAGTTCGAGCACGCGCTGGAGATGCTCTCAGAGGGCTGCAGCCTTGAAGAGCTGCTCAACCGTCCCAAGCCCGGAGGCACGCCACATGTTACGCTTCGCTTCACCTCTCGAAAGTGCGCTGAGGTGAGCCTCGGCCGGACGTGATGCTCATACCTCGCCGGCGAAAGTTTGGAAGGAGCAGCTGCTTAAGCCACACAACGTACCGTCAAGCGCATTATGTAGACACTGTTGAAGCCGAGAAGGGCACACGCGCGCGCTCACACGCTGCCTTCAAAGCCTTAGAACCCGTTTCTAGGTTTTCATTCACGGAGACCTTCGTTTTTTTTTTTTTTTTTTTTGCCGTTTCTTGTTCTCGTACACCCCCCCATGTCGTTTTTTTTTTTTTTAACCGTCGCCTTCTGCCAGCATTTGCACCTTATCTTTCCTGACGACAGCGAGATACAGCAGATCACAGTACAAGCACGTATCAAATCGCGTTGTGGTTTGATGATGAGTCCACGGAGGACAGCTCGTAGTATCACTCATCAACAAGTCATAAAGGCAGCTACCATCATGTGCCCGAGCTACGGCCCGATGTGCCAACATACCTCTTACCCCCCTCCCACGGGCGCAGCTCACAGCGTGCAGCCCAGAGTGCATTTAGCTTACAGCACAGAGTGGGTGGCATAGTGCTGAGGCACCCCAGACATGAAACCAAAACGAAACGACTTCTTGGTCATAGGCCGAACAACTGAGCACCTTGGGGTTGAATTCGGCACAATCATGCGTCGGAAGCAAGCTTGCCCATTTTGCGCTGTCACCGCATCGGTCGCCAGCGGATTCTTGCCAGCTCAACACCAGTTCATATGCGCATGATTCCCTCTGCCTCGTTCAGGAAGAAGAAGTACAGGTCCATGCCCCTCCCGCGGTTGCCGGATTTCAACTAGAGCTGCGCAGTCGGAAAGACCTGCTTCGCTCATCTTTGCTCATGCTTGCTCACAGGAAATTGCGAGACACTGACCGTGGCTTCTTGGGCTTCTCGTTGTGCGAGCAGTGTATGAGACGATGTCCGCCGGAGTTGCTTTCTGTGCTCAAGTGTGGAGCTGCTTGAGCTGCATACGTTGACAAGTAACAAGTATTGGCCAGCCACTCCTGCAAGCACCAGCAAAAGTTCTGAACCGGTCTGTGTTTGCAGAAACGTCACTGTACTAAGCTGTATTCCACAGAACTTCTCGACGTCCGACGTGGCGAGTGAGCAAGCACTATTGCTATCCATCTCTTGCAGTCGCTGCTTGCGGTTCACTTGGAACTGGCATTTTAGCTTTTGACAATGGCGACTGAGAATGGGCTGGGTCGGCAGCTGTCGCCTCGATCTCAGCAACTTTTAGTATGTGGCGAGCAGTAGCTGAGCTAACCGTTTCGGCAGCGCTGAAGCAAGACGTTGCGTCTGTGTCACCTCCTTTCGTCGGCCAACTGTCGAAAAAACCCCCTTACAATACTAGGAGCATGCCATGGAGGTGTTGGATTGCTGCTGTGCGGACACACTACCTGGTTCTGCTGTTCTTTACCCTGGTCAGGGGCACAGCACAGAACATGTCCCAGAACATGGAAAGCAGAGCAGTTTGGTGTTTTGATCAGGGGAGGACAATACGATTTGTTGAACTACCTGGAAGGTGGTGTACTTTCCGCGCCTGTGCTTGAGCTATGCGGTCTTCTTCTTGGCTCTGCCCCCAGCGCGCCGGCTCTTCAGGTTCCGAGGTGTCAACTCGGTGTCAAAGCGAATCTCACGCCGTCTCACGCACGAGAGTTCGGGTGCATGTCTGAGAAGTAGCCTCGAGACTCCGTTCGATCTCGTGTGTATGTGTTATGGGATGTGTGTACGTGACATGTGCGAGGCCCAGCTGCTTCGACTCATTGCGCGTCTCACCGGAGTGGCAACAGGCACACGGTGCCACGGTGCTCTCGGCAACAGCTCCCAAGTGTTCTTGTCTTTGACAGCGGTTCCGAAGCATAGGACCCAGAGTACGACCGATTGTAACACAGCATGGCGCAAAGTGGAGTGCTCTGGCCCAGTGGTTGCAAGGCCGTCCGGTCGCCAATCGTCGAATCCTGGTGGTCACCGACTACCTTCCACCCCAGACGCATGGCTTCTGCCTGAGAGAGTCCCAGTCAGCCGCCAGCTCATGAAGCTCCATACCAGCTCCAAGATGTTCCAAGATGTTCCACAGCTTCCAACGCAGGCATTGCCATCCGATGCCACGCCTACATCAAAGAGATGCGGGCCAAGGGCCACGAGGTCCGAGTACTTGAGGGATTTAGGGCAGGACGGCAGGACTGGCAGGACTGCATTGGCTGTGAGATGTGTTGAGATGTGCACGCTGTGCAGGTGATCGTGTTCAGTACGGCCTATGAGGCCAACAAGGAAACGTCGTTTGACCATCCCAACATCCCGGCGGTGCACCGGGCCAAATTTCAATTCAGACAGGCTTTGCAAGAAGCCGATTTGGGGCTTGGGGGGCTTGCCGCCGACTTTTGCGTGCCAGGTCGTCAATCCCTTCAACCTCAAGAACAGAATAGGCTACACTCCAGGAGCTCGGGCCACAACACGGAGAGACGAGAGATGGCTCTGAGAATGACTAAAAAAAGAGGCTTGTTGCAGCAAGTGGCAGCTTGCAGCCCGAACTGGGAGGTCAAGCTCGCCTGGTTTCTGGGCGCCCACACGTGGGATGTAGCCCCCCGGCTCAAAGGAACGTGGGGGGAAGAGCTGCCAGGGCACACCATGGCACACTAGAGACCCTCAAATTTGTCCCCAAGCAGACGCCTACAAACATGCTAAGCCCAAGCCTTGCTCACGGTCCCCTTCAGTCCCCGGAGCCCCCACAGTCCCCGGAGTGGCTTTGAGGTTCACCTGGTCTACCCGTCCCTGATTGGCACCTTTGTCTTGTCCACCTGTGCCTGGCGGCGCATCCCTGCCGCCAGCTCGGCGTCAGCAGCGATCGGCAGAATTCGGCAGAGCGTGCCATGGGTTTCGCGAAGTGTTGGTGGCACTGACTTTCTGAAAGGTGTACTGCTCGCACCATGTGGAGATGAACATGTTTGCCTACAAGCTGGTGCCCATCAAGCACCACTGGCGCACTTTTGTCAATTTCTGCACCATGTGCAGAGATGATTGGAGATGCGCGTTCGACGGAGGTTCGTGGCTGAGTTTGGCTTGAGGATGTGCTTGCCTCGGTCAGTAGATCAAGCGCCGCTCGTAATAGGTTGTAGGCCTTCGGTTTCTTTCTCGCTGTCCGTCTCTTTGAGCTTCGTAACAAGCGAAAGGTGATGCTCTGCTGTTGAACGAGCTCAGGTATGACATGCTTGGGCTTTGGCCTGCCATCAAATGGGGCACGCTGAACTCGGCCCCCACTCTCTGCTTCGCCCGGGACCACCTTGGCAAGGACATGCCTCCAGCCAAGCACACGGTAGATCTGCTTAGCACAGCTCGGTAATGCGTGCCCCTGCCTGGCCTAATTGCAGAGTGCCTTACTAGTGGCTCACTCGCATCACCGTAGTGTCCCCAGAGAGTCCTACAGTCGAAGGAGCACGAGGCCAAACTGCGGCGAGTGCCCTCGGGCCCGGCACCCACAGGATCAGGTAGTCTCTCAATATTTGTGAAATAGTAGGAAGATATTTCTCAATATATGTGTTAAAACTTCGCATATGTTTAAAACATATCTCATTAAGTTTACTCGCAACGCGAAGCACCCTGGAATCCGACCCCAGGGTGAGAAGCAGGATTGGCCGACGCACGCTGGAGCTTTCACCCCGCCACGCAACAATGTTGTGACAACGGAGGGTTGGAGGTGCTGGGCACTGCTGAGTTGGCGCCGCGTAGACGTAGTTGCCTGGGTGCTCGGCGGTGCTCGGCATGGAGTGGAAGAACGAGGCGCTTGTCCTAAGCTTGTGGGGGGTTTGTCGACAAGCTGGGCGCCCTCGGATGCCGACGGCCTATGTGGATTTCATTAGTCACTAGTGATTCAATTTAGCCTGCGGCGTGCGCGTGGCTGGCATTGGCCGACATGCCAGTACCGCATACCGAGGAACGCACAACACCTTCACGCCAACTCCTGCCTCGAGCACGGACAACCGGCTTGATTAGGCTGAACATCCAGATGCATCAAGCGCTTAGGCTTAGTAAGCAGGTGGGTGACCTGGTGTACTGTCGCATTGCCAACGCCAGCCGAGGAGCGAAGGGATGTCCGGTTAGCCAAGTTTGGCGTCGACAGTGAAGACGAAAAGGCAGCTTGAGTTTGCTCAGCCAGCCGACATAGTGCACGGATGTGCACGGGGGAGTGGGCAGTTCAGCGGCACGCCGTCGTGTCTCCTGCAGGGAAAGTTCCCGATAGTTCCTCTTGGCAGGTCCTCCTAATGGTGCAGCGACTCTCTGCCGAAAAGGCCCTGGGGACAAGCAGATGAATCAACGGCCGAATGCCTGCTCTTTCATTGCCCTGGCCCTACCATTGCTTCAGGGCACCGAGCGTGTCTTCCAGGCCCTGCTGCCCAAGGAGGCGATCAGAGCTCTAAACTTGGTGGGATGGACTCGGCTAGATCACCTCTGCCACCTCTGCCACCTCTGCAGGAGGGCGGCCAAGGCGTCAAGGGCGTCCTAGCAGTTGCAGGTGATGGGCCGTCCAAGGAGACATTCAGCGCTGTAAAGATCCGTAAGGCAGAAACACGCCCCGGCAACACCTAAGAAACGCTAGTCTGCAGGACTTCCTGGTGCAAGAGGCCACAAGGCTCCGCTTGCGGGTTGTCCACTCCTCAGAGTGGGTTTTAGAGCTTAGAGTGATCAAGATGTGATGTGCTCTGACTTCTTGTCCTTTGCAGGTCTTTCTGGGAAACGTGCCGCACCAGGACTTCTGAAAACTCTGGAGAGGGAACAGCAGAGCGGGGCGATGCCAGAATCGCGAATGCCAGCCACGAATCGGAGCACTGTGAGCCATGGTTCAGGTAGTTCAGAAGTGAACAGGTCAACGTAGTTCAGGCATGGAGGGTTTGGCTCACTCCACTACTCTGGCAAACTCTTGGTGGCCATTCAATTAAAAGGTTTTCCTGCTCTGGAGTTTAGGGGCTGGGTGTTTGGCCTGCCGCGCTCTGCAAAAGGAGCTTCCGCAGCTTTACAGATCGGCGGACTGCTTCGTCACCATGAGCCTCTCAGAGACCTTCGGCCTCACCTGCCTCGAGGCGGGCGGTGCTTGTGTGGTTCCGCGAAAGGGAGTGCCGATTCCCGAGAATTTGAGCTGGCTTGTCGGCTTGTCGCAGTTTGAGCCTTCCGAGTTTGTGCCGAGCTGCTCTGATTCAGGCGATGATGTGCGGATGCCCTGCAGTGATGCCATTCTGCTCGGTCTTCGATGAGATCTGGCTAGACAAAGACAAACCACTGACACCCAAGGCCAGCCGTCCGTAGCCGTCGCGCCTCTTTGCAGGGAGTCGCATTCCATCTATCCTGTGTACGCAATGTTCAGGCTGTAAACCCCGGAGTAGCCTGGGAGGGTCAGGAAAGCCTATGAATGTGTCGAGTCATCGCCACATATTGTAGTTCAATCGGCAAGGCATGCAATCTAGTCGGTGGAGGCAGCTATGTCCTGTGAGCCAAACCAGAACCCAAGCCATTCACAGGCTGCCAGGTATTGGGTGAGCAAAACAGGCTTCAGCTCTTGGTGCTACAGGGCACGAGAAGGTTACGAAAAGCTGAAAAGGCCCTTTGACATGTACCCTTCCAGAAAAGAAAAGCTCGGTACCAAGTCGTATCTGCTGTCGTTTCGTCCGGTCTGACTGAGCTGTATTTAGGGTGAGTTTCTCTGGCAGGAGTGGCATTACAACATCGAATCAACTGAAGAGTTTGCAGCAGCCATGGCAACTGCTCAGAGCAGTGGTCGACTCTTGGCCTCAAGCCCTGCACAGCGGTGACGCGCAATGATCTGTCTGGCCGTAGTGGGAGCTGATGGACCGAGGAAAATATCTTCAGGAGAATCCAGGCAGGCAGTGGCTCTTCCGGGATCGGCATGCGCAATCCATCATGTCGTGAGGCCCAATTAAGAGATCGAAAGCAATCAAGGCATAGACCATGCGAAGATTTTTGTGGAAGTGATTTGCGCAGGGCAAGAAGTTCCATGTCACGAAATGTCAGAGCGATGAGCATGCGAATCACCCCAACGAGTCCCCGCCCCCCCCCCCCCCCCCCCCCCGAGAAAGGAGTAAAACATGACTCAGATGGACTCAGTGACTCACTTTGTGTGGTATTACTACATGAGCAGATATTGTAAGATGTCGATTCTAAGCGATGCCTGGTGCCGGGACCAAGCTTGAAGCGACATGGAATCGAATCCTTAAGCTCGTCCTGACCCAACAACTCATGGCATACTGATGGCACGGCCAAGCTCCGTCTCGTGGGGGGGATTTGCCTCAGTGGCTGTCTCTTCAAGTGCAGATAACACAGGACCCAATGGACTCCAAAAGAAGGATACTTGTAGTGTGAACTGAACTTGTGCTGTTGGAACTCTGGGATAGGCCATGGGCTCTTCACGCCACGCTGGGCTTGAAACGCATGCCTCGCTTGACAATTCTTGCCGCTTCCTTTGCGGCATCTCCGAGAGTACCCCTGCAGTTCGGATGACCTGGAAAGATGCTGCAGAGAATCTTCTCGAGCAGTGCCCAATCCGAGATCTGAGGACGCACAGCACACATGCAAGGTCAATGGATGGACGAGCGTGGATGATGCAGGTCTTTGTCGGCAGGAGTGGTTTGTAGGTATGACTCGCAAGGTACGAGGAGTGCATCAAGCTGAATCAGAAGAAGAGGCCTCGGGGCCGAGACGCCGACACCTTTCACGTTTGTGCTATGCCGCTATGCCCTTTGTGCTTGCTGTTCCAGGGTCTTCCCACTCATGTGTTGAAGCGCGCATGGTGCGTGGTTTTGTTGGCATTATCTTCATCGTTTGTGATGTGAGCAAGGGCCAAGACCTCCAGCCAAACCCTGTAAAGCCACCCCTAAGTTAATGAACCATTGTGGTTTGAACTTTCCCAAAGCAACGCCTGCAGACATCATGCGTGGATAACTGATGCTAAAACCCTGTAAAGCGACACTCGTAGGAGCACTCGAAAAGCAACAGCCCTCCATCGCCAGCTGCACGTGAAGCTTCACAACAGATTTCGGCAACCGCACGCAGTGCCTTCAGAGGCTTCCCTGTTCAATGCATCAGCGAACACGACAAGCAGCCAGGGCTAGCCAAAAAGTCAACCCTAAGCAAGCATCCATGCAGGCAACCCAATAACCGAGAAACTACGGTCTCCTGATAAGTGTGCGTCCCCCTCCCCCCACCACCCCCCCACCACCAAACAATCTAGTGGAACAGTGGGGGGGGGGGGGGGGGTGGAGGTGAAGAGCTCACCGTATCTCAGCAGGGTTTCACAGCTCATGTGAAATTCCGGCTCGGCTTAGAAGCTAAGCTAGGTCAACAAATACATTCGACAGCCTTGGCAACTCTTCGGATGACATTTTGTCACACAAGGATCGCACCAAGCACCAATCAGCATTCAAATCGACAGCCAGAGCCCCGATCCCGAAGACTCGTCACTGGAAAGAACCCGTGCAGCGAACCCATAAAGAGGCTGGTGTTCGTTAGTGTAATGCCGTATGCATGCTGTCTCGTGCAAGCCTGAATGTGCAAAGTGCGCTTGATGCTCAGGGAGACGCTGCGCGAACTGGTACTCTTTCTGGACCATTGCACCTCACTCAGTGTCCGAGCCATTCAGCCCACGTGTTGCTGCAATGCGATGGTGCATTTTGGCGATTGCTGTCGCTTTCAGTATTATTTTCAACACTTCAGTGTGCAGCTGCAGCAGCAGCAGCAGCAGCAGCAGCAGCAGCAGCAGCAGCAGCAGCAGCAGCAGCAGCAGCCGCCGCAGCCGCAGCAGCCGCAGCAGCAGCAGCAGCAGCAGCAGCAGCAGCAGCAGCAGCAGCAGCAGCAGCAGCAGCAGCAGCAGCAGCAGCAGCAGCAGCAGCAGCAGCAGCAGCAGCAGCAGCAGCAGGGCCACGCAACTGTCCTGGCCACCACAGTGCCCCACTGCGAGGGCTCACCCCGCATGATTCTTGGAGCGTTTAACTCAGATGGCCCGTATGCGCAAAGGCTGCTATTTCCGCGGAAAGTCGCTAGTGGCAAGTGTCCACTTCCAGCTGGTCCCTGAATGGTCACCGCCGCCTCTGACGACGACTACGGCGTTTCTTCTTGTCCTTATATAGTCATAATATATCTACTTTCTACGATCGTGCCTTGATGGCTGCTGACTACTGCTGCTTTTGTTGCTTCTCTAAAAGCTGGTTGCTCTTGGATTGTGACTGCATGTTACAGTAGTAGGGTGCTGTTACTTGGCGAAAAGCGTGCTGGCTTTTGGCTGCTGTGGTTGTTTCAGCTACTCCAGCTATGCTCGTCACCTTCGACGGTCGCACTGTGGTTGGTATCAGCAGAAGTCAAAAAGGTGCGGAGAGCAGCATTTCACATGGATTGCAGTGCCAGTTTGTCAGCCAGAAGCCGCTGAAACTGTTTGGACTTAGGTGTGAGGGTCGCCGTTTGCTCCCTTGCAGCGTCCAGCTCTCAGCTGGCAGGGCCATTCAGGGAAAAGAGGAAGATCGGAAGGTTAGGAGGGAGCGCTCGGCCGGGCCAACAGCATCGAACAGCTGCAATCGGAAATGTCAGCTGTAGATTCACGTGGCACTCCTTTGCTTTTTCGATCTGACGGATTGTGCCTCCTGGATCGACATGTCGTCGTCGTTGCCGGGGATAGGACAATATGGGACAGTGGGTCGCTGCACACAGGACTTTCTGGCCCGCACTGGTAGATCAGGCCGAGATGGGCCGACTCGGGGTCCTCCACAATATGACTACTCTCCCTCCGTGTTCAAAACCCCTGGTCTTTGGTATGCCTTGTCCAAAAACGCATCGTCCTCACGTGTTCTCGAATGGGTCTCGTGAAGTTCACACCGCTTGCGCATTTAAGACCTGAACGAAAATCCTCATGAAGGCTTCTTTATGCCGAAGGTTGCCTTAGACGAGGAACGCAAGAAACAAGGCACCCAACTTCGCATTCCTCAGGCGAAAGTCAAGCATCGGATGCAACGGACGCGGGGCGGTGGCTCATAGACTAGTTAGGCTTGGGGCTGTCCAGTTGAAGCACCGAATCATAAAGAGACCACGCGAAGAAGAAACCATGCTTGGGGGTGTCAATCGCATCACTTTTTGCACGTCGGAAAGGCGGCAGCAGATGCTATAACACGCTTTTTTCAGCAAGTGAGAGACTTTGCTTTCAACACGAGAGTCAAGCAGCTCTCAAGGTCTTGGGTGCTTTGCCGGTACTACTGGCCGGTCCGTGCCTGTGAATTTTGGGGAAGACTCGCTTCTTCCTCTCGCTTCTCTTGTCGAAAAACCTGTATGGGGCAGTGTCGACGAGTCCAGACTGAGGTGATCAAGGGCTTAGGCAGACGGCTGGGCCTGGAAGAGTTCATGCGCTGAACCCCCGTCGCACTTGCATTTTGCGGCTTTTGCGCCACCTTTTACAACTCTTGAGCTCGCACAGGGGCGGCGCGCCCACAAGTGCCCGCAAGACTTGTCAAAAGAGAGCCCGGGCTGAAAGCAAGACAGCATGTGTCTGCCGACTTCATCTAAACATATCTAAATTCAATCCATTGAAGTTCCAAGGCGCCTGGCACCTTCATCTGCAGCTTTCGGCCCGGGATTTAGAGTTACAAGTTGAGCCAAGGCAGGTCTGGGTCTTGCCATGGCGTGGGTGCTTCGTTGCGCAGGACTCTTAATGATATGCTGCTTATCTACAGAGGCATCTGAGGGCGGAAAAGACAAGCGCTTCAATCAGTCTGCTCGTGTGAATGGAACGGGCTTTGCGATCGCCGCAGAGTCCAAGCAGCTGCTAAGCAGCAAGGCTTTGAGAGGCACCAAGAAGGACTCAGAGGAGATTCCGGACCCGAATGAGGAGGAACCGATCCCATTACCAAGCATTCACTTCATTGCTGAGTACATTGACATGGCATCCAAGCAAATCAACACGGAGCTAGCTTACATTCCAGCGCGTCCCTACCTCAACATCATCACAAACTCCTCGCCCATACAGCTCCAGATGGCTGGCATTGCGGCATGGGCATATGACCTCGAGTACTTTAAGATGGCATACCCCGACGGCTGGGCAGGTGGGTGGAAGGTGGTGGCCGAGTACATCAACACGACTCAGTCTTTGCTGGTTGATGGCCATGATGTGGTGGCCCTCCTGGCCAAAGGCAAGAACTGTGCCATTACCTTCTCAGGGACCCATGGGCTGGCAGACTGGTCGACCAATCTCAACATCCAGCAGGCAAGCCTCCCACAATGTGGGCTCTTTGGAGTGCACGAGGGGTTCTTGGAGGCATTCTTGCAGTTCATGCTCAATGATGACTGGAGCGATTCCTTCGAACCGTATCTTGCAGAGAACTGCTCGGAAGGAATCCACGTCACTGGTCATTCGCAAGGTGCTGCTGTTGCGGTTGCTTGGCCATTTTTAGAATTTGTGACTTGTTCGAAGTGCCAACATCTGGATGTGCAGCTCTTTCTGCCTCTTCAGAGGGGGATGCCAATAGGGCGAGTGCAGTGTCGTGTTGGGTTGGAGTGGTTGTAGAGGCTGGCAAATGTAAGGCAGTCTTTGCGGCGTGCATGAACGCTGCCGGCACCAACCTGACTCTGCCGGACCTCTGGCGTTTTGGCAAGCTCGTTCATGCTGGGCGCACGGTCCGGACGCGAGTCAACGTGACGGACTTGCATGGCTTGGGCGGTGCGGGCCCTACACGGGTACATGGCTCTACATGGGCCCTTCTGTACGTGTGCAGGCTTCTTTTTTCGTTGGTGCCCATCGGGACCAAGAATTTTTTGATCAAGATTTTTAACCTGGCATCTTATGACGTGATGGGTTTCATGTGGAAGACCCGGTGGCAGTGAGCTTGTGGGCACTGGACATGTTCAGGGCAACACGGAGGTAGGCAAGCAACTGTCTGACGGACAAACAGGCCCCGTGCCATGAACTCAGTGGGCAGAACTGGGCGTTGCGATCTTCTGCGAACCCTTTGCAAGGTTCACGAAGGGCTCAAGGGTTAGATGAGGAAAACGAGGCCATGAAAATCAGATAAAGGTGAGCGAACTCAGGCAAGGTCCAAGGAAGTTAGCAGAAGGCCAGGGGACTACGAAGGGGCGCGGGTTTGGACGAACTTTGTTTTGGGGGCCACCTTCCCCGGTCTCAGTGTTGCCTCCTTTTGTTTTGCCCAAATTAGGTCCTGGCATTTCGACAACGCAGTTGTGGAATTATCAGCGCCCGGATGGGGTATTTCCTGGGTCACGGTTCTTCAACCAGGACTACATGTCCTTTGACCCTGTACCTTGGCTCACCTATGCGTTCAGATATACGCATCCCAGGGCGAGAACGGTCAAGATGTCCGACAGGCCACAAAATTTCGGCGCCATGACAGAGGAATCCATGTTCGAGCCGACCATTGTGTCTTTTGTCCCGGACATAATGTTCCACCTGCCTCCAGAATACCTTCGACGCATCGTGATGGCAATTAGAAGCGTGTCCGTGAAGGTGGTTCAGGCGCGGGGCCTTCCAACCCGTTCCGCCCGCCCGCTGCTCGGCGACAAGCCTAGCATCTACGCCACCATCGAAGCCAGCAACCGGAAATGGCGGACGACTCCTCGCACCTCGAAGAAGAAGAACATGGCATCGCCGGCCTGGGGCGAGACGTTACACCTTGAAGAGTACGAGCCCGGGGATGAGCTTGAGGTCAAAGTGTGGGATGCAGTGTGGCCTTGGGGAGTGGACAAGGCGGTCGGCACGGTGAAGTTGAACAGCAAAGCTTTTGAACCTCATGGTTTCGATGGATGGGTCTCTACGGAGTCTGGAATTCGTCTGAAGGTCAGCGTTGTTATCTCATATCGCGACATGGACGGCATCTGAGGCTTCGGGCGCAGGCTCTTGATGCAACGGCTTTCGGCCGTATGCTAGTTTTGCTGCCTTTCGTCGTTGCAGTGATCGTGGAAGCCCTCCCGCTAGTCACTGAATTACAGGACTTTCGACACAGGCCTTCCATTCCTGCACCGCACAGATGTGCATGGCTGGGTATAGACAGTATAGATGTGCATGGAGCCCGCAAGTTTGAAATTTGGTGGGCTTTTGCCTGCAGCCGTGATGGCTCATGCAAATTCACTGGACCTAAGCAGGGCCGCTCCACCCTGCTGTGGAGAGCCTTCGTGCAATTTCTACAAGAGAAATATTTGCAGCCACAGATGGGCACCGTTGGCTCACCAGAGAAATGAAGCGGCAGATTTCGTACAGAATGCTGTGCACATCTTGAGGTATCTGCGCCTTCACCTGTCGTGAGTTGCTCGCATTGCCCATGCCGCTCGCTGCAGTTTTTTTTGGTTTTTATTGGTGCCTCCTCCCAGACCTCTGCGGCTGACAGTCATGGCTCGCTCTGGACTGCTGTCGAAGGCCAGTGACGAGCTTCACTTGTTTTCCCTCATCCAGTCGCTTCTGTGCAGTAAAATTCGCGCGATCTCCTCATCTTTTGCACACACACACACACACATGCCTGGGACGTTGCCGCATGGCTGGCCGGTGGGCTTGGTGGCCTCGGGTTTGTCCGTTTTTGTCCCAGTCTGTCCCAAAGACAAGATCTACTCAAGGGGAGCCAGCTGAGCTACTTTCCTGGCGTTGTTTTCCGCCGTTTCCATTTGGCATGTGTCGGTGCCGCAGCGGAGCCGGGTCGGTATTGCAAGTGGTCTGAAGCGATAGTCTCGGACCAACTGAGGAGGCTGTTGGTCGAAGTGCAGATGAAGGACCTTCTGGAAAGCCATGAAAGAGCCTCGATTCACTAACTCTGCTACTCGCGTTCCGTCTACCATGGGGTTCTTTGTACTGCGATTCCTTCTAATTTGGCCCGATTCGCTCTACAAGCACTGCCCGGTTCGCTAATGACCCCGCGATTCTTTCTGCGCATATTTGTCCTATTTATTTTACCAGATTTTGCCACACGGTTCATTCTACTGTGACTCATTCTTCCACGGGATTCATCGTACTGCCACTTGGCTCGGTGGCAACGTTGGTTGTCCGTGATTGCGATTCGTTCTGCTACTGTTTTCCGATCGTTTTCCAACGCGGTTCCTGCTACTACTATTGCCCCATTCACTCTGCTCCCCGAATCCCCCCTCCTCTCTCCCCTATCCTCGTCCCAAACAGTGAATCAACCCCATCCCCCCTCCCCTCCCCAACTCCCGCTTCGTTTGCCCAGAGCATCCATGGTCGAGGTGGCCAGTCTGACCACTGCTGCATTTACTCAGAGCATCCATGCTCGAGTGATGACATACTCATGTCGGTGTCGCCCGTGCTTCCCGCGCCTAGATGGTAATTACGACCAGTGTTTCCTGTCACGGCAGCAGCAAAGGTCGTGTTGACCATTCTGACCATTGCTGTTTCAGCCCAGAGCATCCAAGCTCGAGCGATGATGAAGTCAGTGCTTCCTGACCGAGAATTCCGCCCGTGTGACCAGTGCTTCCTGGTGACCATTGTGACGGCTGCACAGCGCTGCTGCGTTTGCCCAAAGCATTCATGCTTGAGCCACATCGAGCGATGATGAAGTCCATGCCAGTTACTTCCCTTGCCCAGAGCAGTGAGCATCCGTGGTCGACCGAAGGTTGCGTCCGTGTCTTCAGTGCTTCTTGTGCCCACGGTATCGAGTAGAATGAATCGGTCTGTTTTAGTCAAATATCAATCTGCACACTGCCCGCAAGCCATACAAGTTTTGATTGTAGAGCAACACGGGTTTTGTGATGGTTTGAGAGTATGGATGCTTGCAGGTGCTGCTGGCCTGCGGCCTCCTCCTTGTGACCCTGAGGCAGTTGTGGGCAAGTTGCGGGCAGTTGAGGGCAGTTGCGGGCAAGGGTGGAGTGCTGTACGGCAAGATGCTGTGCGCGCATGGTCGGCATGTGGGCATCTGTGAGCATTGTTGGCATGCATCGGCATGGGACACTGGTTCGGAGCAGGCTGCTGCCGAGAAGCGAGACCTTCGTGACGCCAAAGCTGCGCGGTGAGGCAGCCGCCACGATGGCAGCCGCCATGGTTGGAGCCCGAGAAAGACGCGTTGTATGCTAGCCCGACAACGGTTGCTGGTCGGTATGTGTGTGTGTGTGTGTGCCAACCCTGTTGCCAAGGGAGCAAGTGTGAAGAGCTGTTACCGTTAGAGCATGCAGGGGGATGTGGCGTGAGATCAGGGACCACATCCAATGAAGCTACCTGATCTCATGGGATGCAGAACTTGGCCAGTTCTGTGTACCTGCGATTTCTTCAGTCTCACGAATCATTTTAGCAAGTTGGGAACTTCAGGATTGTGAGGTGTAGACCAGGTAAACAGGACCCCAAGACTTGGTGTGGAGATTGCACAAGTGTGTGTGTGTGTGTGTGTGTGTGTGGGTGGGGCAGCCGTGCGTGTTGCTGTCTGGCTGGCTGGCTGGCTGCGGGGGGTGGGGGTGTGGGTGTGCCGTGTGCGGGTGTGCGTGTATGTGCATGTTGCATGTTCGTGTGCCGCTGTTGTGTGTGTCCTCTCTTCAGCGTGTGGCTGGTGCGTGAGGTCGCGGCGAGCGTTGCGGCCCCAAACCCTGCTGTGGCAGAGGTCCCGAAGCAGCGGCCCCAGTGGCTGCGCACAGTTGACGAGGTTTGACAGCTTGACGAGTCGGTGACGGGGGTCCCATGCGTTCAGGTTTTCCTTCTTTGGCCTGGGTGGCGGCATTCAGTCCGACATCTACAACCAGAACGACAACCCCATCAACCCATACTCGCAGTTCAGCGAGATCGGCTCGGACAACGTTTACCAGGCCCGGAAACCCGATGAGGTCGACCGAAGGAAGAAGGACCTCGCCGCTGCCCTCACCCGCTTCGAGAACACCGATGTGTACATCAAGACCAAGCAGGCGCAGCAGCTGAAGTCCAACCTGCTGGAGGCCGCCAACATGAGGCAGGACCTGCGCCTCGCTTGCATTGGCCAAGGATTCCCAGAAAAGGGCACAAACTGGCTGCTTTCCACAGGTCTGCTCTAGACTTTGCATGCCCGAGCTTGAGCATTGCCCATCCGGCGTACTTGGTACCTGAGGATCTACTTCTCCGGTGCGGAGGGCTCCCCCGCTTACCAGAAGGCCCGCGACTTCTCCCAAAAGATCGCCACCCTGGGCGTTGATGGCGAGCAGAAGCAGTGGGGCCTGGCGGCTCAGGACGGGGTGACGGTGCCGTGCTGCCTGCATAGCTTGGAGGTTCATGAGTACCCTAAATAAGGGAATTGCCATAATTGCCCTACTTCTAACCCTATTGATAAGTAGCCATGAACCTCCAAGTAGGATGCCGCAGAGGCCTTCAGGGTTTGCCTGCGTTTGCCTGCGTTTGAGTGCGTTTGCTTGCGTTTGCCTTTTTTTGTTTAAACAGCCGCTTTCTGTCTGCCACACGCTGTCATCGGAGAGAGGACTTCGCAGCAGCGACCAAGATCCTGAAAGAGCGGACTCGGCTGCACAGTTGTGTTTTTTTTCTCGATGTTCTTCGTGCAACTCATGCGACTCAATGTGCCGTTGGCTGCCGTTGACAGTTGTCTGCGAGCCTGCAATTCAAGCTAGACACCGCTCGAATCGGCTGTGACATCTTGTTAGCCTTGACCCCCAAGCATGCAACGTTCAAGCTTCACGCCCGATGTTCAGCTCATGTTCAACCATGTTCATCCTCAATACGCAGGTGGAAGGATGTGGCCAAGTTCTGAGAGATCTGGTTGTAAAAGGCTTGCATGAGCAAGCCTTTTTTAAGGCCTGACCAGATAAAAGATGTTCGTGTGCAACGATCTACTGGAATCTATCGTGGGCAAAGGCAATACACAACAAGCAAACACGAGGCTGAGGTGACTCAGCGGCGACTCGCTGCAGTTTTTGGCTACCTTTGCGCACCCTCCCAGACCTCTTCGGCTCTGTGACAGCCATGGCTCGCGGTGCACTGTTGTCAAAGGCCGATGAGAAGCAAACTCCACTGCTTTCTCGCCTAGTCCCTCTATTCCAATCGCGCTTCTGTGCATGATGTGTGCATGCTTGAGCTTGTCCACTCAGAAGCCTTTGCGGCTTGGCGTTCGTCCATGTTTGTCCCAATTGTCCCATGCAAAGACAAAATCATACAGGAGGCTGTTGGTCGCACTGAAGCGCATATGAAGGACCTTGTCGAAAACCATCCCGATGTCGTTTGACTCCGGAGCGACACGGGCTTGCGATGGTCTGAGAGTATGGATGTTCACCAGGTGCTGCTGGCCAGCGGCCTCCTTATTACCCTGAGGCAGTTGCGGGCAGTTGCGGGCAAGGGTGGAGTGCTGTACGGCAAGATGCTGTGTGCGCATGGCCGGCATGTGGGCATCTGTGAGCATTGTTGGCATGCATCGGCATGGGACACTGGTTCGGAGCAGGCTGCTGCCGAGAAGCGAGACCTTCGTGACGCCAAAGCTGCGCGGTGAGGCAGCCGCCACGATGGCAGCCGCCATGGTTGGAGCCCGAGAAAGAAGCGTTGTATGCTAGCCCGACAACGGTTGCCGGTCGGTATGTGTGTGTGTGTGTTGGTGGAGGCAGCCGTGCGTGTTGCTGTCTGGCTGGCTGGCTGGCTGGCTGCGGGGGGTGGGGGTGTGGGTGTGCCGTGTGCGGGTGTGCGTGTATGTGCATGTTGCATGTGTGCCGCTGTTGTGTGTGTGTGTGTGTGTCGTCTCTTCAGCGTGCGGCTGGTGCGTGAGGTCGCGGCGAGCGTTGCGGCCCCAAACCCTGCTGTGGCAGAGGTCCCGAAGCAGCGGCCCCAGTGGCTGCGCACAGTTGACGAGGTTTGACAGCTTGACGAGTCGGTGACGGGGTCCCATGCGTTCAGGTTTTCCTTCTTTGGCCTGGGTGGCGGCATTCAGTCCGACATCTACAACCAGAACGACAACCCCATCAACCCATACTCGCAGTTCAGCGAGATCGGCTCGGACAACGTTTACCAGGCCCGGAAACCCGATGAGGTCGACCGAAGGAAGAAGGACCTCGCCGCTGCCCTCACCCGCTTCGAGAACACCGATGTGTACATCAAGACCAAGCAGGCGCAGCAGCTGAAGTCCAACCTGCTGGAGGCCGCCAACATGAGGCAGGACCTGCGCCTCGCTTGCATTGGCCAAGGATTCCCAGAAAAGGGCACAAACTGGCTGCTTTCCACAGGTCTGCTCTAGACTTTGCATGCCCGAGCTTGAGCATTGCCCATCCGGCGTACTTGGTACCTGAGGATCTACTTCTCCGGTGCGGAGGGCTCCCCCGCTTACCAGAAGGCCCGCGACTTCTCCCAAAAGATCGCCACCCTGGGCGTTGATGGCGAGCAGAAGCAGTGGGGCCTGGCGGCTCAGGACGGGGTGACGGTGCCGTGCTGCCTGCATAACTTGGAGGTTCATGAGTACCCTAAATAAGGGTATTGCCATAATTACCCTGCTTCTAACACTATTCATAAGTAGCCATGAACCTCCAAGTAGGATGCCGCAGCCTTTTTGCTTAAACAGCCGAGCTTTCTAGCTTTCTGTCTGCCACACGCTGTCATCGGAGAGAGGACTTCGCAGCAGCGACCAAGATCCTGAAAGAGCGGACTCGGCTGCACAGTTGTGTTTTTTTTTTCTCGATGTTCTTCGTGCAACTCATGCGACTCAATGTGCCGTTGGCTGCCGTTGACAGTTGTCTGCGAGCCTGCAATTCAAGCTAGACACCGCTCGAATCGGCTGTGACATCTTGTGAGCCTTGACCCCCAAGCATGCAACGTTCAAGCTTCACGTCCGATGTTCAGCTCATGTTCAACCATGTTCATCCTCAATACGCAGGTGGAAGGATGTGGCCAAGTTCTGAGAGATCTGGTTGTAAAAGGCTTGCATGAGCAAGCCTTTTTTAAGGCCTGACCAGATAAAAGATGTTCGTGTGCAACGATCTACTGGAATCTATCGTGGGCAAAGGCAATACACAACAAGCAAACACGAGGCTGAGGTGACTCAGCGGCGACTCGCTGCAGTTTTTGGCTACCTTTGCGCACCCTCCCAGACCTCTGCGGCTCTGTGACAGCCATGGCTCGCGGTGCACTGTTGTCAAAGGCCGATGAGAAGCAAACTCCACTGCTTTCTCGCCTAGTCCCTCTATTCCAATCGCGCTTCTGTGCATGATGTGTGCATGCTTGAGCTTGTCCACTCAGAAGCCTTTGCGGCTTGGCGTTCGTCCATTTTTGTCCCAATTGTCCCATGCAAAGACAAAATCATACAGGAGGCTGTTGGTCGCACTGAAGCGCATATGAAGGACCTTGTCGAAAACCATCCCGATGTCGTTTGACTCCGGAGCGACACGGGCTTGCGATGGTCTGAGAGTATGGATGTTCACCAGGTGCTGCTGGCCAGCGGCCTCCTTATTTCCCTGAGGCAGTTGTGGACAAGTTGCAGCAGTTGCGGGCAGTTGCGGGCAGTTGCGGGCAGTTGCGGGCAGTTGCGGGCAGTTGCGGGCAAGGGTGGAGTGCTGTACGGCAAGATGCTGTGTGCGCATGGCCGGCATGTGGGCATCTGTGAGCATTGTTGGCATGCATCGGCATGGGACACTGGTTCGGAGCAGGCTGCTGCCGAGAAGCGAGACCTTCGTGACGCCAAAGCTGCGCGGTGAGGCAGCCGCCACGATGGCAGCCGCCATGGTTGGAGCCCGAGAAAGAAGCGTTGTATGCTAGCCCGACAACGGTTGCCGGTCGGTATGTGTGTGTGTGTGTGTGTGTGTGGGTGTGTGGGTGTGGGTGTGGGTGTGGGTGTGGGTGTGTGGGTGGGGCAGCCTTGCGCGTGGCTGGCTGGCTGCGGGGGGTGGGGGTGTGGGTGTGCCGTGTGCGGGTGTGCGTGTATGTGCATGTTGCATGTTCGAGTGCCGCTGTTGTGTGTGTCCTCTCTTCAGCGTGTGGCTGGTGCGTGAGGTCGCGGCGAGCGTTGCGGCCCCAAACCCTGCTGTGGCAGAGGTCCCGAAGCAGCGGCCCCAGTGGCTGCGCACAGTTGACGAGGTTTGACAGCTTGACGAGTCGGTGACGGGGGTCCCATGCGTTCAGGTTTTCCTTCTTTGGCCTGGGTGGCGGCATTCAGTCCGACATCTACAACCAGAACGACAACCCCATCAACCCATACTCGCAGTTCAGCGAGATCGGCTCGGACAACGTTTACCAGGCCCGGAAACCCGATGAGGTCGACCGAAGGAAGAAGGACCTCGCCGCTGCCCTCACCCGCTTCGAGAACACCGATGTGTACATCAAGACCAAGCAGGCGCAGCAGCTGAAGTCCAACCTGCTGGAGGCCGCCAACATGAGGCAGGACCTGCGCCTCGCTTGCATTGGCCAAGGATCCCAGAAAAGGGCACAAACTGGCTGCTTTCCACAGGTCTGCTCTAGACTTTGCATGCCCGAGCTTGAGCATTGCCCATCCGGCGTACTTGGTACCTGAGGATCTACTTCTCCGGTGCGGAGGGCTCCCCCGCTTACCAGAAGGCCCGCGACTTCTCCCAAAAGATCGCCACCCTGGGCGTTGATGGCGAGCAGAAGCAGTGGGGCCTGGCGGCTCAGGACGCGGTGACGGTGCCGTGCTGCCTGCATAGCTTGGAGGTTCACGAGTACCCTTATTGCCATAATTACCCTACTTCAAACCCTTATTCATAAGTAGCCATGAACCTCCAAGTAGGATGCCGCAGGGGCCTTCAGGGTTTGCCTGCGTTTGCCTGCGTTTGCTTGCGTTTGCTTGCCTGCTTAAACAGCCGAGCTTTCTGTCTGCCACACGCTGTCATCGGAGAGAGGACTTCGCAGCAGCGACCAAGATCCTGAAAGAGCGGACTCGGCTGCACAGTTGTGTTTTGTTTTTTCTCGATGTTCTTTGTGCAACTCATGCCGCTGGATGCCGTTGACAACTGTCTGCGAGCGTACGCAGTCAAGAACGTAACATCGACACTGCTCGAATCGGCTGTGACATCTTGTGGGCCTTTCTCAATGCGATTCAATGCGCAAGTAAAAGGTGGAAGGATGTGGCCAAGTTCTGAGAGATCTGGTTGTAAAAGGCTTGCACGAGCAAGCCTTTTTTAAGGCTGACAGAGACGTTTGGAGAGCGCAGAAGGGAAAACAACTGTCGACTCCTCCTCAGCTGTAGCCCACTGTAGCCCACTCTTGCCCACTCTTGCCACCAGGTCTTTAAGGCTCGCGTGGATTCTGTTTTCTGAGCGGCTCTGCAGCAGCCCAGCAGGTGCGATGGTAAATGTAGCTTCGTTCGACGCAGGCAACCGGTTCTCAAAACACAATTTGTCGGACACCGATGTACTTCAGAGTGGATGGGAAGGATACGTGCAAGCAGACTTAACTTGAAATGGCCGCTTTGTGAAGCTGGCCTCATCAGATGTGATGTCCTCCTGGCTGGCTGGAAATGGCTGCAGCTTCACCCTACGCCATCGCCCACTATCATGCTCTGCGAAAGGCAAAGTTCCTCTCGTGACCTTGCGGCAAGAGTGGAGGCAAACATCAGCTGCTTGAGACTGACATGCTCGTGCCACTTCATACCTCTACTGTGCATCGTACTGCGCATCAAGGCGACATGTGCTGCAGGGCATCAATGATGCCGAAAAAGCCATTGTAGCCGATGCCGACAAAGGCAGAGCGGCTGAGGCGTCGGAACGCGAGGCGCGAGAAGACACCAAATAGCCTTAGTTCACTAACCCTGAATTCAGTTTCACCAGCCTTGACCCCCAAGCAGCAAGAACGTAGAGAATCGTAATCATGCAGGATCGTAAGCTAGAAGAGGGTCGCAACACTCGATTTCAGGCTCGAAAACTTGTGAAGTCTTCATCTTTGTCTCAAGCCCTTCATGGGGAAGAGCGTCCAGAGCTCGAGCTTCAGGGTATATCCATGTGGGTTTGTGTTTTTTGGGGGGGCTCAGGTTTAAGAAGGGCACACGGGTTGCACACCCGCGAAACATACCCCGTAACATACCCCGAAACATACCCTCGAAACATACCCCGTCACATACCCCCGAAATTGCAGGCAAAGTAGCTCATGATGCCGCGAAACAGACCCGAAACATACCCCCGAAACATACCCCGAAACATACCTCGAAACATACCCCCGCGAAACATACCCCGACCCCAACACGTGTCGCGCGCGTCCCCATTAAAATACCAACCCATGTATGTCCCCACGGACAATAAACAGCTAGGCCTGAAGCTTGGTTTCGTCGAGGACCGGCATCTGGCAGAATGTTGTCGGTCTAGCTTCGGTTGCAGCGCTTGGTAGCAGCTTTACGCCCCCTCCATGGACATTCGCAGAGCCAAGGCTTCATGATGTGTTGCAAACTCTGCGTGCAACGGTGTTTTGACACGAGACCTTGATGTTGGTTCTTGGGGTCAAGGGACGGCCGGGCTTTAAAAAAATACTGTAGGGTTCGGTCTCTTTTAGGGTGATCCCTCCTGCCTTTCCGGTCCCGTGGCCCGTGCTGGGAGGCACTTCCTGCGGACAGAACCGGGGGGGGGGGGGGGGGGGGCGCGACAACGGAGATCCCAGAAAAGGAGACAAGAAGGGCGACCGCAAGAACTCAAATTCGTGGAGGTCGAGGAAGAAGACGAGAGGCACGAACAAATAGAATCGCGAAGGGGGACAAAATGCGCTGTCATCTGGGACGCGTCTCAGACTCACTTGTCAACAGGAGGAAGTTCGACCCCTTGCAATCCGTTTTCTGGGTTTGAAGTCTACAGCTTTAGGGTCTGACTTTGTTGCCCTGGCCAGGTGCAAGCTGCAGCACTGAAAGTAAGAGCTGACACATGTGCTGCGCTGAGAACTGGGCTCGCACGCTAGCAATGCCATGCGATGCGTATTTTGCAAGACATGGCGGACCGGTGGTTAGTTCCATGTCTGTTTGCCTTCATGTATGGGCTGTTTGTGGCGCAGCGCGAAGGCATGGAAGTCGTCAAGATGTGTGAGAAGTGCAACGTCCAGGTGGATGATATGCTCCGGCAGATCGGCCAGTGTCTTCGACGACTGCAGCATGCCAGACTCTTCGCAAGCATTTGGCAAGCAGCCCACAGCACACGTGGCTGTACGGTACCTGCATGGGTTTTCGTCTTTGGGGGCCCAGGATATGCTCAGTTTGCAGATCTCAAGGCTGGCTTCAAGATCAATTGGGCCAAGCTCGCAGTTTGACGGTTCAGCCACTCAGCCCCTGCCTGTGTGGAGGTCTGCCACCAGCGTCTATATTTGCGATCAGATGCTCCTCCCGAGGACGGCTGTTCTGCTTCGGTAGGTGTGCCAGTTGAGAAAGCTGTGAGAATTAAGAGGGTCTACCGGCCCCATACACAGCCAGCACTTCACTAACCTCGGAGATCTCGGAGGAGATGGCAGGTGATGCTGCGCAGAAGGCTTTGGAAGATCAGCGTGTGTGCATCAGCGACTTGTCCCGAGAAGTTCTTAGCAAGCTTCTTTGAGCAGTTGACCTTGGTGGTCAGGATTGGTATCTCATCGGGTTTTGCCACAGACATCCGAGGTGAGGCGAGGAACGAGCTCCTAAACCTGGAGGGCGAATGCCGACGAGCCTTAGAGATGATTGGACAGCCACGAACCCAGAGGGATCTTGGGATCATTCGAGATGCAAGATGCCTTGAGCGCTTCGCTGTGCCGAGGCTGAGACTCGAGCTCTCCAAGGCCGAGAGTAGTCTGTAAACTCAACCCCAACCCACGCGGGTGCCAGACCGGGCAACAGCCGCAAAGATCCCCAAAGGAGAGAGAGAGAGAGAGAGATATATATATATATATATACACATGTACATACATATATGCATATATGTATATATGCACATATATATATATGGTAACCCCCCAGAATAGGGTTTGACATATATATATATATAGGTATAGCATTTTTCAAGATTGTAACAAGCCACTCCAACACGCACATGAACCCTATGCCATGCAGTTGGGCCAGAAATCAGTTCTCTACTGTTCACAGGAGGGTGCTTCTCAGCGACATGCTTCAGAGCGCTGTCGTGCAGTAGTGGCTGTTCTTCTGTCAGTCTCTGCGGAGCCTGGTGAAGGCCGCATGGGACATGTTTACCTTCATGTGCTTCATAAAATGGCAGTTTTAGAGCCATAGAGGCCGTGTGCACAGCGTTTCGTAGCCTTGTGCCAGATGTCGATGTTCCAGAGCCGCGGAATGCGGAGCTGGGGCAGCGTGCGGAAATGCTACTTGCCGCTGCAGCCGAGCTTGCCACTCGCTGTGCGCAACTTGGGACAAGTTCCCCAACAGCCCATGTATGTAACATGGACGCAACATCGTGGGCTGAGGCGGTGTAGCTGTGCAGACCACAGAGGAGCGGTGCCGGCGAGCTAGACAGCGGTCAGAGCTACTTCTTGAGCGAAGGCAAGGCAGTACGAGTTTACAGGTGCTCAACTGCAGTTGTGCGTTGTAGTGGAAGGCTCATGGACACCGAAAAGGCCGCGAAGCAGTTGCGAGAACAAGCTTCGGAGGTGGTTCCAATGCACAACTCGCCCAGCAACAGTGAGTGTGCCTGCGCTGCAGGTGGACATCACCATAGCAGTGGCAGAGAGATCTTTGGCAAGGAGTGCGAAGCGCTGTATCGGCAAAGAGAATCTGGCCAAGGCCAGATTTCCTGCCTTTTTAGCCTCAAAATTATGTCGGTCTTCTACCCTCGACTCCGAAACCCGCAACCTGGAAACCTTAGCCCTCTTTGAGTTTTGGCAGGTGGCAAGGATCGATGACACAAGGATGGCTGAGTTTCTTTAGGCGATTAGAGGTTTTAATCAACTGGCAGCAAGGAGTGCGTTGGAAAACCTGCGGCAGACACGGCAGGCTCGCCAAGATTGCTACGGTAGCTGAGGATGGTTTGTTGGAGTCCATTCCTTTCTACTCAGAGCTGTTTGCAGGAAAGGAAGTATGGAGCAAAGAGTCAATTTTGAAGCGTTTGCATGCTGTCACAGGCTCTAAAAATGCACATTCAGAACAAGTTTAAGATGCAGAACATCGACGCGCCCTGTCCTCGATGGCACGCGCAATCGGGCCTGGTGCAGTCGCATCAGTGTGGCGTAGCATGGCATTTTGCTTGGCTGAGGTCTTGTCGAAAGGCCCTGGCCTGATCTGATTTGATGAGAGGAAAGTAACATGCAATGACAGCATGACATCTTCTCTTTTCTCAATGTAAGGGGGTTGTCGCCCCAATAACAAGAAGATAAACGAGACAACGAAAATTCGACCTAGAGGATCAATCACAAGTACGAAGAAATACGAAACACCATTTTTTCTAAGTGGAGGCCAAGTCCAGTTGGGCGCATGTGCGCGGGTGTGAGCCTCGGAAAGTTCCCCAACCCGCACCCCCCCACCCGTCCTAGACGCTGATGCAGAATGAGCTTGGGAACGCTCATACTGCGCCCCTCCACAAGAAAAAGTCGGAGTCCGTTTCTTTTTTTAACGGGGCTGATGTGCGCCGGTAGGGTGTCCCCCCCACCCCGCAAAATCTACCCAGGAGCGAGAATTCGGTCGGGGAGCTCAAAAAAGACTCCTTCCGGAGGGCGTGTCTGGACTCGGATCTTGGCTTCGGGAGGGTCGGCAAGGAACTTTTGTGTTTTTCTCGCCCACTGCGTTCACCCTGTTTTTTTCCGCATATTCTTGCTCTTTATCCTTCTTTTGGGGTAGCAAAAAAGTTAACTCAACTCGCATTTTTCAATTTCCGGCTTTATTATGTTCTTCACGTGACTCCCCTAATGGATAGTATTCACCAAATCAAACTAAATCAAACTGTACCTTTAATCTTCACAGCAAACATGATCAATGATGCCAATATACTGTACGGTTAACTTACGGCTAGGGGCTTGTTTTCGGAGCCCCCGGATCAGGTCCCGACTGGCAGATGTTTTCTGGAAAAAGCAGAAACCCATGGTGGTGTTAGGGAGGATGGTGTTGGGGACAGTTCAATGTTCTTGGGAGGTGTACGCAAACATCCAACACGCCGCCCCAGGGCCGGCAGACACTATTTCAAGACCAATTTGAGGTCACCTCCCAGTCGGCCAGCTCCGTGGAGACCCGCCCCGCGTCCGCCTGCCAGCGGTCCATGTCCGCAGGCGCAGGCGGGAGAGGATGAGGGATTACGAGGGGGACAGCTGCCAAGCGCCAGGGGACTTCTGAAGGCCGTGAGCAGTGATTCGACACTTGGCTCGTCGTGCAGAGCTGTCGAGCCCTGTCGAAGGTCCGAGGAGACCAGTGGATGATGGCTTCGAGAAAGGAAGGCGGCGGCGTGTTTTGCTCTTGCAGCTGCATTGGACGAACATGCTGCGACTGGTGGCTTGCAGGGGTTTGCCCCGGCTGTCCTCTACAGACTCGGCATGTGGCCTTGCGACGGAAGCTGACTCCATGCCGGCTGCCACCAGGCTGGCTGTCAGAAATTTACTCGCACATGAGATTCTAAGATAGAAGTCTTGGACAAGCTTCAAGAACCATGCAGGCTTAACCGCCCAAAGTCCGCGGCAACCTACAAAGTGAGAGCAGATCAGTACTGATGTGCACACCACCTCAGATGGTGTAGTCTGTAACGTAGCTGCACAGTGACATCACAGAGACAATGAAACACATCAGACCTCTCCAATATCTGCGCGACTTCGCTGCACGCGGCTGCAGCTGTATCATTTTGTTCCCATACCTCAAGCTCAACCGGAGCTGTCAAGAGGTTGTCTGTGCCACTGCATCATCGTTCCCTCGGCCTTGAGATTGAATATTTCTTCCAGGTGCAGGACATGGCAACGGCGCCATGCAGGACATGGCAACAGCACCATGCAAACCGCCAGAAGGAGAGATAGAGGAAAGCATTTGAAAGCATACGTCTCTCGCATCGGAGTGCGTGAAGTCGAGAGGGAAGATGTCTGGTGACAAGCAGTGTCTCACCTCCACCACAATCTCCTGGAATTTGGCTTCCATCCAATCCTCCCCCCCCCCCCCCCCAAAAAATCAAAAGCAAAACGAAAAGACGAGTTTTTATCGAATACTTTTAGTCCGTCGCCTCTGCCGAATCCAGGCTAGGATGGGCGCTTCAAGCCAGGATCTGCGATGGTCAAACCATGGCAGAGTTTGGCCCAAAGGCCCGGAGTCCAAAGGACACGGAGAGCAAAACGACTTCTCGAGTGTAGGAGCCGAGTTCGCTAAGCGGCGCCTCATCTTCGCTAAGCTCCCTTTTATTAGTGTGATTTTTTATAGTTATATATTAATATGCGTTATACCCTAGATATTGTTAAAGCTATTATGTTATTATTATTATTATCATTATTTTTGTCCTGTGCAGTCTCGCAGCCATTTGATGGTTTCGAGAGCACTCAGAAACTCCTCGAGCTTCCCGGTTTGCAGAATCGTGGGCATGGGAAGGGGCACGACCTCCTTCGGGGGCTGACTGGCCCTCGGCAGCGATTGTGAGGCAGAGCTGGATGCGGCATACCCTGTGGCCAAGCATGCGGGACTGGAATGCAGAGTTATGGCAGTTATGTCCAAACTGGCCGATGCCGGTCTAGAAAGCGCGCAGCCAGTGGACGCTTCGTTGAGGACTTGAACGTCTGCCATGTGAATGCTCCGAGCCAGGTCGCGCAGTCGCGCGGCAACCTCGCCTCTGGCCGTGCCACTAGACGCTGGGAGCGGAGTCTCACATCCCTGACTCAGCTGGAATCGAATGACTCCCGAGAGACTCACCTCCTGAAGTTGAAGCGCTACAGCACTGCCATCACATCATGCGGTGCAGCATGGAGTCACGCAGCACAACTGTTCAGGAGAATCCTTTTGCGTCACCTTCAGCTGGACATTATGGCATGTAGCCAAATCGCCACTTGCTGCCAAAGAGCCTTCGTGTGGCGCCGAGCCTTGGTTTGCTTGAGGCTAATAGCTTTAGCAGGCTTGCGGGAAGACATCGTGGCCTACAACTCTGCGCTGGGTCGAAGTGTACAGTGGCAGGTTTCGATGGCCCTCTTCACAGAGACTGAGCGCCGCCGGCTGCGGCAAGATGCTTATTCCCTCAGTGCTGCTCTTAGAAGTCTTAGTTCCAACTTTCCAGAGTGGCGCTTGGCCTCCAGTCTTCAGGAGCATGCAAGAGCAGCGTCATTGAGAGCCAACACTGTTTGCAAGAACTCAGCACTACATGCGATGGCCGAGTCCTCGCAATGGCGATGGTGCTCTCAAGTCTTGCATGACTCGGTTGACCAACGCTATGTCGTCGACGCCGTGTCGTTGACCTCAGCCGTTCAAGCTTGTGGCAAGGCAGCTGTTTGGAAGCAAGCTTTAAACATTTTGCAATCTGCTGTGGGCCAGCTTGGCCAGATTTGTCGAGATGTGATTATGTACAACGCCAGCATCAGCAGTCTTGCAGCTGGCGGGCACTGGCACGCGGCTTTGTCCCTGTTCCTTGAGATCAAGGCCGGGCGGATGCAGCCAGATGCAACCACATGCACGTCAGTCGTCACCAGCTGCAAGCAGGCAAAGCAGGCAGGCGTGTGGGTGCAGGCGATTTTCACATACGCGAATGCTCGATCGCGCGCGGTTTGTGCAACGAATTTAGCGAAAGCAAAGGCTTCCGAGGCCGGCTCGGCCAGCTCGGCCAGCTCCGCAGTGACGGCAGTCCTTGCGGTTTGTGAGCAGGCCAAGCAATGGCAACAGGCCGTGGTGTTGTTGACGGAGGCGGCGCTCATGAGGGCCTCTCTTGACGTTCTCTTCGTCAACGTGGCGATCAGCACTTGTGACAGGGTGTCAATGTTTCATCGAGCCTTACTATTGCTGGATGCCTGTGGTGATTGGCTTGTGCAGCCAGACGTTGTCAGCTACAACACAGCAATCTCGTCTTTAGGCAAGGCAGCTCGCTGGCAGCAAGTGGTACAACGGCTTGGCATCATGTTTTCAAAGCAGCTCCTGCCAGATGCCATCACCTGCGCTTCGCTGATCAGTGCATCTGAACCAGCCCGTTGGCAGCACGCTCTGGCCATGACACAGCTGGGGTGCCTCAATGTACAAGCTGACATCATACTCTTCAACTCAGCCATGAGTGCCGTTGAAAAGATGCGTGAGTGGTGCAATGCCTTAGGGCTACAAGAGGAGGCGTTCAGAGTTGGCATCCGATGTGATGAATTTACATACTCGGCTGCCACAAGTGCCTGTGCTGTTGCCGCAGTTTGGACGCGTGCGCTCGCGATGGTAGGTGACAGCATGTCCGTGCACGCCGTACATGCTTGCAACGCAGCAATCACTTCCTGTGAGCCGACATCGAGATGGCAGCTTGGTGCTGGCATTCTACAAGACGCCGCTGCGCACAATCTGGCAGCAGACTGCGTCACCTTCAACAGCGCTGTGAGATGCTATCGATGGGCTGGAATGTGGCAGTGGGCCTGTCACTTGTTGATGGATGGTGCTCGCATGCGAGTCTCCACGGTTGCAACGTGCAGCGATGCGGTCGAATCGTGCGAGGTAGCCCAAAGCTTGGAGGCGGCTCGCTCGGCTCGCAGCACGCTGAGAAGGATTGAGACTTTTGGATTGAGACTGCTGAGACCTCTGGCCTTCTCATGCTCCGCCGTGAGTCAAAAAGCCAGCCGTCGGAATTCTGCCCCCCCCCCCCCCCCCCCCCCCCCCCCCGAAGAACAGTGCTATGCTCATTGCATTTGCATTGCGTTCACATGAAGAAAATGTCTGCATTAGTTTCGGTTTGCATCCTGCGTCAAGTTTCTGTCGACGTTAGTGTTGATTTGCAGGGCCATGTGACTCAGGAACTCAGCAAGATCCTGCAGCTTTATGAGATAGTCGCACAGATGTGAAACTTTGCCTGCGACCACTCGCTGCCAGTCTGATGTTGAGCGACCTCCCTCGCTGTGGATGAGGTTTGTACTATTTTGTACTTGTAGGGGTCACAGTCCTGAGCGTATCGAGAAGAAAGGGACCACGGGAGCCCTTCGCTTCAGCTCGAGGAACAACTGAATACTGAACATTACTGAACCTTACTGAACACATGGGAAAAAAGGCATGTCACACAGTCTTACTCCAGCTAACGTTGGCACTCAGCTCTGCAGCGATGCAGTCCTTCATGCACACAGCTGCGCGCCAATGCGGTTGTCGCGACTTCTGACTCGCTGCAGTCTTTGGCTTCTTTTCGCCTCGTGGACCTCTGTGGATAGCTGGCACCCATGGCTCGTTCTGCGCTGCTGTCGAAGGCTGATCTCCTTTCGATTCTAGAGTGTTGCAGTCATCCGGCTCTGCATATGCTTTTGTTTCTAGCACCTCGCGCGTGCTTTCGTCTCTTGTTTCCTGATCGGCAATGGCTTGCGACGTGACAGGAAACTGAAAAGGCACATCTTCATTTGCCGTGGAGTTCGAACACGGAGTCAAGTGGGTTGTGCAAGCTTTGTCGCCAGATCTTCACGGCGTCTTGGGAACACACAAAAGCTCTGCAGAGCGTGCGAGCAACTTAAACCATACAACGTCAGCAGATGACATCAGCAACAGCGCTTGAATCGGTTGCTTGCGGGACTCTCGTGAGTTGGGGTCGAACCTCAAACTGTCCCCATGTATCCCGATGGAGTTTGAAAGAGCACCGCGGACTGGGAAAATCTCCATCAGACTTAGGCTGAGATGTTTCGTGGCTATTCGGCAGGTGCTGCTGGCCAGCGGCCTGCTTCTGGCCTTGAGGCTGGCAGTGGTTGTGGACAAGCGATGGGCTTTGGTCAAGATGGTAAACCGCTGCACTGCAACATGCCCTACACGTGAGCAGCATGCACTGGCATACATGGTACAGAGCAGGTTGCTGCCGAGAAGCGAGACCTTCGTGACGCCAAAGATGCGTGGTGAGGCAGCCGCCACGATGGCAGCCGCAATGGTCAGGACCCGACTTTTTTCAATGTGCATGATGTATTCGAGTAACCCCGACAGATTGAGTGGCTCGCTAAGCTCGAGTGTGCGCACGTGTTGATACTGGATATCCTTCCAGAAGAGTGTCCTTGCCCCCAAAGGGTGGTTCAAGTGTGTGTTGCCGATGCTGTTTGTGCTGAGAAGCATCCAAAAAACGAAGTGCGAAGATACTAGTAAATTTGCTCAGAGCAAATTACAAAAGAAACCCCGAAGGCGCCCATGGATTCGAACCTCCAGATTTTCAAACATCTACAATGTGTGCTTCCGGCAACTTGCTGAGGTCGCAGCCAGCGTTGCGGCCCCAAACCCTGCTGCGGCAGAGGTTCCGAAGCAGCGGCCCCAGTGGCTGACGACAGCTGACGAGTCGGTGACGGTCCCATGCGTTCAGGTTTTCCTTCTTCGGCTTGGGTGGCGGCATTCAGTCCGATATCTACAACCAGAACGACAACCCCATCAACCCATACTCGCAGTTCAGCGAGATCGGCGCGGACAACGTGTACCAGGCTCGGAAGCCCGATGAGGTGGACCGAAGGAAGAAGGACCTCGCTGCTGCCCTCATCCGCTTCGAGAAGACCGACGAGTACATCAAGACCAAGCAGGCGCAGCAGCTGAAGTCCAACCTGCTGGAGGCCGCCAACATGAGGCAGGACCTGCGCCTCGCTGGCATTGGTCCGCTCTAGACTCAGTAGGCCTGAGCTTGAGCACTCGCCATCGGTCTCGTGCACGTTTGGACACATCAGAGATGCTCCGAGGGTTTCAGAAGCCTTCCAGCCAGGGGTGCATGCCCGTCCGCCGTACTTGGTAGCTGAGGATCTACTTCTCTGGTGGGGAGGGCTCTCCCGCTTACCAGAAGGCCCGCGACTTCTCCCAAAAGATCGCCACCCTGGGCGTTGATGGCGAGCAGAAGCAGTGGGGCCTGGCGGCTCAGGACGTGGTGATTAGGAGGCCTTCAGTGTTTGCTTGCATTTGGCTTGCGTTTGCGCGTAGGCTGGAAAGCTCAAGTCGTAGAGCGGCTGTCCAAGTTCGTCCACTGCCATGCAGTGTCATCAGAGAGAGGACTACGCAGCTGCGACCAAGATCCTGAAAGAGTGGACTCGGCTGCACAGTTGTTTTCTTTGCAGCCACGAATTTGCGTAGGGCAACCTATGGAATCGGCTGTGAAATCTTGTGACATTGACCCATGCTTCATTTTGTGTTCAAGCATGTTCAGCCACGCTCAATCTGCTGCAGGTGGAAGGACATGGCCAAGTTCTGAGAGGTGCAAGTTGAAGCCGATCCTTTTTGCACGGCCGTTACGGCCTCACAGCACGTCTTTGGGGCGTGAGCGTGGAAAAAAGTTGCCAGCAATGAGTGCGGTCGGTTCCTGTGATGTTCCTCAGTTACATGTTCCGTCTCTGAAGTTGGCTGCCATCGGCACGGTGCATGGCTTTGACAGACAAGTTCGAGAGGCAGAACATATCTGCGTGCATGGTTGCACTTGCATAGGCTTGCTATCTGTTGACAGCCTAATCAACTGCCTGCTCACTCAGACGGTCAGAAGGTGACTCCTAATATAAAGAGGACCCCAAAACCCGCACCGTTGGCGTGTTTTGGTGTATTTGCGGGGGTCGGGGGGGAACCCTTGGGGGGGTCTAGGGCCCGGGCTGGCAGATTCCGGGGACCCCCCCTGCCGGGGCCGGTCCAGGGGGGGCTCCTGCACGATTTTGACCGCTGTACAGACATCAGCCATCCAGACCTGCCGAAATCTTGCTGGAAGGTTAGACTACCTGGGACCTTGAAAGTCCTTCGGCATCCCCTGATCCTTTGACATTCACCTGCCGCAGTTTTTTGGCTTCCATTCGCCGCCTCCTGCAGACCTTCGTGTCTGTGTACACCCATGGCTCGATCTGCAGTGCTGTCGAAGGCCCACACCATGTCACCTCTGTTCCCTATTACTTCTTTCTTTCGTCCGTTACCGGGCATTGACGACCCCCTCAAAGGAGAGGTGCCATACACCCAAGCCAGACTGTTCATGGTCATGGCTGCGTCCAACGCCTAAACCCTGAAAGGAAATGTCCTCAACCTCAAAGGAGATGTTGGAGACATGGAGAGCCCCTTTAGTGGGGCGTGAGTTTTGTTCGATTCTGCATGGCTGTTCATCCTGTTCGCCAGGTGCTGCTGGCCAGCGGCCTCCTGATGGTCCTGAGGCTGGCAGTTGCGGGATTGTTGCGGGCTCAAGGGTGGCGGAGCGTGTACTAGTTACTAGTACTGCAAGATGCTGCGTGCACGTGAGCGGCATGTGAGCATTGGAATAAGCTGGCACGGAATGCTGGGGTACGGAGCAGGCTGCTGCCGAGAAGCGAGACCTTCGTGACGCCAAAGTTGCGTGGTGAGGCAGCCGCCACCATGGCAGCCGCCATGGTCCGAACCCGGGAAAGATGCATTTCACATTTCCGAGTCAGCTCGACAACGGTTGCCGGTGTCGGCGTGTCTATATCCGTGTCTCCGTCTCTTTCTCTGTGCCTGTGCGTGCGAGTGTGCATGTGCGCGTGCGTGCGCGGCGCGTGCTGTGTGGCTGTCTGTAGGGGTGTGCAGGGGTGTGTGTAGGCGTGCATCAGGTTGTGTGTGTGTGTGTGTGTTCGTTCTTTCTCTCTCTCTCTCTCTGTCTCTGTCTCTGTCTCTGTCTCTGTCTCTGTCTCTGTCTCTGTCTCTGTCTCTGTCTCTGTCTCTGTCTCTGTCTCTGTGTGTGTCTCTGTCTCTGTCTGTGTCTGTGTCTGTGTCTGTGTCTGTGTCTCTGTGTGTGTCTCTGTGTGTGTCTCTGTGTCTCTGTGTGTGTGTGTGTGTGTGTGTGTGTGTGTGTGTTTGTTCGCGCCCCCGCCTCTTCGCTGCGTGAGGTCGCAGCCAGCGTTGCGGCCCCAAACCCTGCTGCGGCAGAGGTTCCGAAGCAGCGGCCCCAGTGGCTGACGACAGCTGACGAGTCGGTGACGGTCCCATGCGTGGAGGTTTTCCTTCTTCGGCCTGGGTGGCGGCATTCAGTCCGATATCTACAACCAGAACGACAACCCCATCAACCCGTACTCGCAGTTCAGCGAGATCGGCGCGGACAACGTGTACCAGGCTCGGAAGCCCGATGAGGTGGACCGAAGGAAGAAGGACCTCGCCGCTGCCCTCACCCGCTTCGAGAACACCGATGTGTACATCAAGACCAAGCAGGCGCAGCAGCTGAAGTCCAACCTGCTGGAGGCCGCCAACATGAGGCAGGACCTGCGCCTAATTTGCATTGGCCAAAGGAGTTCCTGGAAGGAGCTTTGGCCCTGAATCCCCCGAAATTCCCGCACCCACATGGCCACTGTAGAGGCCCAAGCCATGTGCTACAGGTCCACTCTAGACTCTCTAGACTCTGTAGGCCCGAGCTTGACTGACCATTCGGTGCTTTGCGGTGGGACGCCTTAGAAATCCAGAAGATTTCAGAAGCCTTCCAGCCAGGGGTGCATGCCCGTCCGCCGTACTTGGTAGCTGAGGATCTACTTCTCTGGTGGGGAGGGCTCCCCCGCTTACCAGAAGGCCCGCGACTTCTCCCAAAAGATCGCCACCCTGGGCGTTGATGGCGAGCAGAAGCAGTGGGGCCTGGCGGCTCAGGACGTGGTGATTAGGAGGCCTTGAGAGTTTGCTTGCATTTGGCTTAAGTTTGTGCGTAGGCTGGAAAGCTCAAGTCCTAGAGCGGCTGTCCAAGTTCGTCCACTGCCATGCAGTGTCATCAGAGAGAGGACTACGCAGCTGCGACCAAGATCCTGAAAGAGCGGACTCGGCTGCACAGTTGTTTTCTTTGCAGCCAAGAATTCACGTTGGACATGCTCAATGTGCTGCAGGTGGAAGGACGTGGCCAAATTCTGAGAGGTGCAAGTTGAAGCAGACTTGCCCTGGCAAGCCTTTTTATACGGCCTGCACGGCCTCACAGCACGTCTTCGGGGCGTGTGGAAAAAGTTGCCAGCAGTTGGTGCGGTCGGTTCCTCTGATATTCCCCTGTTGCAGGTTTCGTCTATGAAGCCAGATATGCGCAATGGCAGATTCGACAAGTGCATTCAATGCATTTTGTAGCAGGGATTCCAGCACAGCGAATAGCCACATGCACACGCGCATGCACACTACCATGCAGCCATGCTCATGCAACCATACAATCATGGAGTCAACCATATCGTACCATAAACTCAATCATGCATAGTTTCAACCATGAATGGTTGTGGTGACCCTTTGTGTATCATGTGATCCATCGTATTTTTGTTTGCATTCAATCGAACTTTTCAGGCTTACTGTTGTGATATAAATACCTTACTAGAGAATTAGCTGCCAAACTCGACAAAATCGGCTGGCATTCCGGGGGGGGGGGGAAAAAGAATAAATCAGAAAGATAAGAAAGCAAGAAAAGCTGGAATGCACGCGGGCTCCAAAATGAATACGCTGGAATGTGAAAAGCATCACAAGTAGGTCATGTCGGATATCATACATATATACTCCATATATATATATATGGCATATTCTTATTTACGTTTTATGTATCAATACGATGTACCAATATCAAGCACGTATAACACAATATTCTGCATAATGAAACATGTAGATTTGTTTTGGATCTGTTCTTGACCTAATTCCCGACTTTTCATGTTTCAGTTTGTTTTGATTTTGCGTTGTGCACACATTCACTCCCAACATTCTTTTAATTATACTTCTATTGTGTTTTCATTTTCCTCTTTTTTGTTGAGAAATTAACTTCTTTGATTGAGACTACTTTAACAGAAATCTAAAAGCAACTGTGTTATAAAGAACAACTGTGTCACAAAGGAGAATGATTTCATAGGCTTATTGGAAGTTTCGGCGAACATCGCAGTAGTGAAGATTCTTGGAACTCCGGCCGAAGACGACAGTCCGAGCATCCAATTTTGGATTTGTCCTTGAGTGTAGGCCCTAGTTTTGATATTCAGGATTCAAGGAATTGAAGGACCTGTGTGAAAGGAAATGAACTGAGTCGGCACGACCCTGAAACAGCAATGGAACGACGGTGCAGAGATGCCACTATGTGTTGCTTATGTGGAATCTGGGACAATCTTCCTCGATCACCCTGGCTCAAGTTTTCAGGATTTTCAGCCCTGCGAAGTGTCAAAGCCGACCGGCCCGCCCCACCTTCCAAGTGTAACTGAGCAGGATTCCCAATGTTTTTTCCTCGCGATTTTGAGTTTTCAATTGGTCCAGCAGGACCTTGGATGTTATCGCAAAGGCTTTCCAGGATAGGCTGGCAATGCTGCGGCGTTGGCAGAAAGACTTCCGGCGCTTTGCGTGCTAGCAGGTGCCCTTTGGGGAACGGGCTTGTTCATGCAGCATCAGTTCCAGGGCATCAATGGCAGTGCTTTTGCTGCGCACCCGTGATTGAGGCATTCTGGGGATGACGGGAAGAGCTGGGTGACTTGCCTTGAATGTTGTGGTGTTGCATTCGGTTTATTCGTTTCTTCGGCATTCATGTGAAAAGCATTGATGCGATTGGCCACTTTGTCCATATGTTACCATAGAGTGTCAGAGCTGTCCCCTGCCTGTCCTCAGGTACCGGGCCCAGGTTGCTGCAAGGCCACCAGCAGCCCCTGCGCAGGCGCGCGATGTAGGAACACAGCGGCGAGGTCTCCCAGCGATGTCGTGTCTTTGCATACGCCTTGGTGGTATGCTTCATTGCTTTGCGACTCCTCATGCACCGCTCTTGTCAAGGATGAGACGCTGTCTGAGCTGCAGCTACATCCAAACTTAGCCAGTCAGTGGAAATATGGCCGGCGCATGGCCACTTGTTTGCAATGCTGCAGCGTCAGTGACGAGCCTCAGCACGATTTTGGGCACAGGCGAGGTGGCTGTGAGGCACAGTAGCGCAGTTGACTTAAGAGCTTGCAGAGCGACCGCGGTCGTGTCCGATGGCTGATCTGACTGCTGCTGGACAGCACAGCAAAAAGCTGAGGTAAGTGTAAAGAGAGAAGCGACTGTCACGCTCGCACCAGAGAATGGTGAGCCTGTCCCACTGGAGGGTGGCTTGAAGGCAGGAGCAGGAGAGAACATGACTCATGACGGTCGCATCGCTGCAATCGTTGCGCTAGCTTACATCCAAGTTCCAGAAATGGAGGTCACCCGAGCTTCCTGCTTAGAGTTCTTGAGCAACTTCGAGGGCTCCAACGGAGAAATCTTCAGCGAAACATCAGGCCAGCATGGGCATGTGCCAGCCATGCATAAAGGTACTAGAACTTTCACTAGCTCGGCCCCAGTGAGTTGCCACGCAAGCCGTCTAGGCTTTTACGAAAGCCAAGCCTCTCCGCAGATCAACAACATCGCAAGCACGTGCTCATACAATATCACTTCTAGACTACTATTTGATGAAGAACTCCAAAAGAATGAAGATCATATTTTCCTTTAATAAGGAATATTGCTTTTTGCATTTTCCGGTGTTCTTAAGCAAGTGGTAGTAAAGGTTTGAGCCCCCGCCATGGCAATGTCTATGGAGGGCTATGTATGGGCGGCCCCATTGAAGCGGATGATGGTACAACGAGCCGGCGCCCCGACCTATGCTTGGGGCTGGAAGCCAGCACCTGTCGTAGTGACTCGCCGCACCTATCGTGTGGTGGCAAGGCCGGTGCAAGCACCTGGCTTGGTGACTCGGCGCACCATTCGTGTGGTAGTGAAGCCTGCCAGTGTGGTGGTGAAGGCAGCTGCGCCAATGCAGCTGCCTCACCTTCTCGGGCCGCCGAGGGCACCGGCTGTGGCGCACCCCAAGAAGGGGTTGCTTCAAGCTGGAGCAGGCGAGCCTGCCCAGGAGGCTCCAGTCGACCTTGAGGCATGTGAGACAAAGGAAGCAACGAACGCGGTTGCCGAAGCCTTTGCCCCGGCTCCCGAGCTGGTCTACCCAAAGGGTAGGCCTGTCTCGTATGGCCCGGGGAGGCCTTTCATGGAACTTGAAGATGAAACAGCTTGCCAAGCAGACGCCGACGTTCCCGAGGCCGCTCCGAAGCCGGCTTCGGAGCCGGCTCCAGAGCCTGCAGAAGACGCTAGCCCACCGCCGGAACCTCCACAGGAACTACCGGGCCAGGCCGAGGCCTTGGAAGCGCTGAAGGCGCTGATGGCGGAGCTCGGCGGAATGGGCTTCAAGGTCCCCCAGAAACCGACGGGCGAACCAGAGGCGGGGAGGGCACAAGGTAAGCTGATCAAGACTGCCTTTGAGGTCCTTGATGCACAGCGCTTCTTCAGATAAGTTAAACAAAATCCTTCAATATAGACTGTGCATGCTGCATGGAAGCCCTACCAGAACGTATCGGATCGTGTTCTTCGTATCGCCCTGAGGTTTTCGTTTGAAATGTGCCAAGGTGGGAGACCTTGTGGTCCTCAGCGATACGATCCTGCCGAAGAGTCTGCGGCTGCGGTACGCTGTTATCATGCAGGCTACAGCCAGACGTAATTCCAACGCTTACTTGCTACTTGTAGCTGATTGGAGGTGGTGACATGTGCCACGGGCTGAAAAGATTAAAGATGAGCAGTTCCAGCGCAGGTGCACGAGAAGCACTATACAGCGAGAACGTTGGCAGAAGACAAGGCGACCTCGCTCGAAGAATGCTGGCCTTTCAAGGAGGATGCCGTGCTCGAGAGCACAGTCGGCCGACTGGGAAGCAGAGTGCGCGTTGCGGAGGGGCGCCACGGCTGCGTGTGGTTTGCAGGGACATTTGACGCAGGTTTCTAGAATTTTGGGCTTTGTCCAAAGACCCGGGGTTTTTTGCACCCACGCCAAGGTCCTATGCTGGCTGCAGTGGCAAGGTGGCCAAGGCGCCCGGCCACCCGATATTCCCCGTCTTTCGACAGTTCAGGCGGGCATGCCGGGCTGTGCTGCGGTGGGGTCGGTATTTTCACCGTTCTTGTTGTCGGCGTTTTAGTTCTTTGTCTTTTGTTTCCTTCTTTCGTATGGCAGGACAGCAAGCAAGCAAGCACAACCTATCAACCCTAGACCCCAATCTCCTAACACGCACAAACAAAGGACTGAGACCCTGAAAACACACAACCTGTATCCTTAAGCACCTTAAACCTTGAAAACACTAAAATTTTAAAGCCTGGAAGCCCTAGAAAGGCAGAACCGACATGCCGTCGCGCGTGAAATTCTTCATGTATTTCATGCAGGAACGGCAAACTGCAGTACGTCATCAATGTGAGCTTGGATGACGGCAGGCGCCGGTGTTCTGCTTGAGTGGGTTTTCGTCGGGTTTTAGGACTTTAGGCGAGTGCTAGCCACTGTGTAACCATGGCTTGCTATCCTGGATGGCAGGGACGCGCTGTTCCTGTTCTCGGAGCTCCGGGCAGATTGAGCACGATAGACAAGAGAGAAAAAGAAGTCCCATCGCGCGGAGGGGTCGATATGGTTGCTGTTCAGTGTTGTTGTCGTTCTAGGGCCAAGCAAGCAAACAATCGTCGGACAAGCAAGCACGCAAGCAAGCTAGGAAGCAAGCAGTCGGTCCACTTTGTTGCGTGTCAACATGCGCAGCCCAACAGTGACACACTCTCACGCAATGGCTCTGTTGCAAATGTGGGGGGTTGCCGCATCCCAAGTCATAAGAAAAAGGAGGTACATGGGTTGTGGCTTGTGGCTGTGGCCTCCTAGCCTCCTAGCACCTCAAGTCGGGCGTTGATGACTACAGGACGCTGGCAAAGACCCCTGTGAGCACTTCATTTTCCGCCCTGTTTAAGTAAACGTGGACGGCCGCTCACACGAACATTGGAAGCTGTCGCAAACCAGCTCATGCACTTGCAAGGTGCGGTGTTCAGCATAAATGTATCTGCAGCAGAAGTTAAACAAGAGCAGTCCAACATAAGTAGAACAATTACACAGGCAGTTCTTACTTTGTCGAAGGGGTTGCACTTAAGTGACTGCTGCTGCTACGGCGGTTGCAGCAAGACTTACAGCAAACACCATCCTGATGTGGTGGCATGGCAGCACTCCACACGGCACGCTAAATTGATATGGTGCTCCGACGAAGACAAAAGGATGCCATCACAAGCCATCACTCACACCAGACAGACTTTTATATCTCCTTTGAGCTCCTGTCACGTCAGCTACCTTTGATCTTGTCCCGAAAGTTTTTTTCATCCTCATCTCCCTGTTTTATTGTTCCTCTCCACGTCTTCATATGTCGCCTTTTTCCTCTCCATGTCTTCTTTGCAACTAAATTTTGCTTTCCATGTCTTCTTTTCCAGTTATATTGATCCTCTTGAACTCGGCGGGCCAGGGAGAGATCTTCAGAAAGGTGGCCGTTGAGGGTTTTTGCCTGCACTTCGCGTGTTTCGGGATCTCGTTGTCATAGTCGCCATTTTCGTGAAAGTCACTACCCTCGCAGCGATAGCGCGGCGCCAGAGTGGAGGCTGAACTCTGAGTGGAAATTGCGATCGACCAACAACCCTGTGCTCGGACGTCTCAGAACAAAATCGACTACCCCAATTGAGGAAACGCCGCGTCACCGTGCCAAGCCCTGCGTTTGGAGCACATTTGAAAACGCAAACCTTGCCAATTTCGCATGCTTCGGTCGGCCTGGATCGAAGAGAAACCTCCCAAATCATGTGGTATCTCATCATGTTGCATCCTTATGTCGGCCTGGAACGAACCAAAACCTCGCAAATCAAGTAGTATCGCCGGTATTGCAATGAATGGCTTTCGTCGGCCAACACCTCACAAATTATGTAGGGAGGTTGTGTTGTCGTTTCTTGCCGATCGAAAACGTCGCAGATCACATTGTTTCGGCTTCGATTTCGCAACATGAAGCGTGCGAAATCGTCGCAAGTCACAACAGGAAAGGTGGTGTTGCGATGTCCAGACTGTCGGCCCTCCGCGGCATATGTGTGTGTGTGTGTGTGTGTGTGTGTCGCATGTATTGCGTTGTGTTTTTTGATTCACAGTGATGCTTCCAGCACGGAAGTGGCTGAGACTTCAGGCGCGCGGAGCGCAACAGCGCCCGCCGAGCGGCCTGAGGAGGAGGGGCCAGAGCTGTTTCACGTGGTCCTTCGGGCCGACCCTTCTGACGGCAGCTGGGAGGCTTCAGGTGACACTAGATTCACTAGATGGTTACGTATATTGTATCGTTATCTTTTATATACTGCAATACTGTATGCGACAAGGCTTGCGCGATTCAGTCTACAGTAAATTCCGAATAGGGAGGTGGGCCCCTTATTGTCGTGCGACAAGGGCTTGAAACAAAGCTGGCGCAAGGGCTTGTGACAAGGTCCCCCCCCCCTCCCCCCCCGCGCCAAATTGGTGATTTTGAGCCATACCCATAATATGACCTACTACTTCAATATGTCACTATAGTGTTTTAGCACTTTGCTGCTATGTTATTCTGTTATTCCATTCTTATGATGGTACTATGCTGTTATGTTGTTCTGCGATGTCTGGTTGTTGTATTGTTTTGTTTTGTCGTTTTTTTTGACTTCGGTTTTCGGTTATCGTTTTTCTGCCTGGTCGCATGTTTGGGTCGTGTTTGTGTGGTTTGGTCTGGGCCGGGACGAAGGCACCGAATCTACTGGCCGCCGCCGCTGGTTCTACTTCGGCGTGCGCTTGGTCCAGAGTTCTCCGCAAAAGGTGCGTTTTGTTGCGACTTGATGGCACTCAGTGACTCAGGCCTCTGCCATCCGCGAGCCCTGACCGTTGACTGGCCCAGGTGAACAACATGAGCAATATGCTCGACCTCTACAACTTGGACGGCCATCGTCCTTTCTATTGCCAATTGCCTTCTTCGCGGGCTTGGCGGCGCTTAGCAGATGACAACTGCAATTTCTCTTGTCAGGAGGCGGGGTGCTTCCAAATTCAGGATCGGGGCCGCTGCGGTCATGAACTATGGGCGAACGCATCGCCCCTCAACCAGAAAAGGCACAGATTGTCAAGCAGCGGTCAGGAAATGAGAAGGAAAGCACACCAGCAGCGAACTCACCGAGAACAGGGGTGCTGGATTGCACGCGCAAACATACTCGTTAAGCTGCATTCGCGTTTCGACGCAAGGTTCTGAGATCAGCGTCTGACCTTTTCCTCTTTTGGATAGCACCAACGTGCCACAACCTCGAGAACCTATGAAGAAAGCCTTTCGATGTTTCATTTCGAGTTGTGGCAAGTCCCGGACAAGGAGGTTTAAACAGTTTAAACAATGCTGTATTCAGGACAGGCGACTGCAAAGAAAAACACATGTATCCCACTGCCATTCTCCACCGAACTTCCCGATTTGTTACCTTCTCCTGCTTTTGCCGTAGGAGCCAGGCTTGCCGGGCTCATCGGATGACTCCAAGCCTGCTTGGACCTGAGTGATGCCCAGGGCCATGCAGGGGACAGCTTGCGCCAGCTTTGTGTTACTCTAAGGTGGATGCGAGGAGCGAGCGATGCTACAAAGACGAGAGGCTCCTGCCGAGGATCCGTGCGATGTTGGACAGTGGGAACGAAACGCCAAAGAAGCGCGGCAAAAGCTTCTACATCGCCTGGGACTATGTCGTGGAGCCCGCGACAACGACGTATTTTGCATTTTCGCCACCGTATACATATACAGACTTGCAAGGCTATTTGAATCGCCTGGAGCAATTTTTCACGCAGTAGCAGACGCAAGGGAAGAGTCTGCCAGCATACATGGAGTCCATCGAGATTCATGGTGGCGGTTCTGGTGCACTGGCTGTCCGGTCCTCCTCGCCAGTGAAGCCCAAGAAGGTGAAGATCACCATCGAACATGGGGCAGTGTCAGACAGGAAAATGACCCTCTGGGTGCGAAAGGACTCCACGATGCTACAAGTAAGGCAGAGCATCGTTGAGGTTCTGGGGCTGGGGAAGCTTTCCCAAGTGAAGCTGGTAAAGCGTATGACCAATTCCGACCGTCTCATGACACCTTTTGGTGATACGGAACGGCTGAATCAGAGGACCCATTTACTGATGGTGGGCTATGAGTTTCCAGATGGCTTTGCAGGCCCGGAACCCCCAGAGCCCGAAGCTCCCCAAGCTCCCCCAGAGCCCGAAGCCCTGCCGGTGCTGAACGGGAGCGACGACTCCTGGAACCCGGTTTGTGGTGAGAACATCTACCTCCACAGGCAACGCCTCTGCCTCACAAGGGAGGGGCGGAGGGTGGACTTGATCACACTCTCTGAGATGTCCGAGCCTCCCAACGCCAAAGTCTGCGTTGAGACATCCCCAGCCAGCTGCTTGGGGGAAGATTCAGTTTAGGCTGAAAGGTCATTGCATTTGTATCCCACTGCCTGCACACTTGTCATATACACACCAACCCCAGCCACGAAGTGCGAAGGTTTCTTGAGCAGCTCTGTTGCGGTGGACGGCGAGAGCCCCGCCGAGCTGTTCCCCTCCAGGCTAAGATCATTAGTGCCACATTGGACCTATCTTGCAGAGCAGTTGATGCTGTTGCAACATGTTGTAACCAGGGCAGCACTGTGGTCTATGTCGAATTGTGCAATGCTTGTGCCAGACCCATCGTCTTTGTGTCTGCCCGTGTCCATCCCGGAGAAACGCCAGGCACGACACAGCAACCACTCAAGACGCCATGCAACATGAGCTCGTTGCCTTGAGGCCAGTTCGCTTTTTTCGGACTTCTTCGGTTCTTGCTCTCTGACGACCCCCGCGCGGAGCTGCTGCGGCGGCAGTTCGTCTTCAAGCTGGTCCCCATGCTGAACCCAGACGGGGTGGCCAGGCCCTACATTGCGGGCGAAACGTGCTGTGCAAGATGGCTCGCTGCATGTCGCTTCATTACCCCGATCCAGACACGGTAACTTTCAGCCCCTGTCACAGTTTTTCCATGCAAGTCTGTCCTCGTTTAGAAGGGACCATGGCTTTAATGGCTAAGTGACCTTGGCACCCCATCGCATATATATATACACACAGAGCTTTGGTTCATATGTCCATGTAGCCTTTTTCTGGGTGGTATTCGTTTACCTGCATGTACAATATGTCTAAGAATGCGAGCTGTGCATTGCTAATGCGCGTCTTAAACGCAACTCATGCAATACACAGTATCGTTGCACGTATCCTGTCGTGCCTTAACCAAGGGGCTCACCAGAGACCTGTCCAGCTTTTTCATGGACTTACGGACCCTGAAAAGCTGCAAGCCGGAAGGGTTAAGTCTCCTGTGAAGGGCCGTCGCACGAAATGGTTTCAAGAGCACTGCTCCTTTCCTCGTCCTCGTCCTCGTCCTCGTCGTTGTTGTCGGCTTGCCCCTCAAGTGTGAACAATCTCAGTTGAATTCAAATCCATGACACAGGGGCCACACCAGGGCCAATGCTGGAGGGCTCGACTTGAACCGCTGCTACGGCGATGCAAATCCCAGGGAGCACGAAGGCTCGGCCTTGCCAAACTTGGCTCCTTTCGGAATTGGAGCTGAGCCTTGGAGCTGAGCCTGCAGTACTTTGCATTTAGGGGCCGCATGAGTTCACAAACATGATCTCACCCCTTCAGCTCGAAAAGACAGGTGTTTTCTGGGCGCTCGAATGGCTCAAGCACTGGGCAGGTGAAGGCACTGGAGAGACATGTCGAGCTGAAACTGCAGCAAGATGACTTTGCACGTCGAGCCAGGTCGGCTGCTCTTCTACTTGGACATGCATGCTCACGCCCATACGCGTGGTTGCATCTTGTATGGCAACCGTTTGTCGGGTGCCTCGCAGGCAGGCCACGTCATCCGTTTTCACGAGATTGTTCCTGACAGCAGAGCGCTGTCTTCAGCAGACTGTGGAAACGCGGGCTCAATCCTGTGCCAGGTATGGAATGTTGCTTTTGCACGTATTTGTGAGCTGAACGGTCCGCATTTCGACTTCGAGGGCTGCGAGTTTCCTCCAACGTCTGACAAGGACCCCAGCCCTGGCAGTGCCGGATTGTTCGCTGCCAGCATGTTTTTAAGCATTGACTACTATGCTATGCTGTACGGTACGATACTCATACTATGCTAATACTAAACGAATACTATACAAGCGAATATGACATTAACACTTAAGGTGTACAGCTTGTGCCTTGCTTTGCATTGCTCTCGCGGTACCGCGGAAGGAGCACGGGCACGACAGCAATGAGAACTGCGGGCGAGCATCGGTGGCTGCCATTTGCAATGTAAGCTCCTTGCTCGGCAGCTGGCGGTGGGCAATGAACAGACGTCGTAGTCCTGTAGTCCGCGAAAAGAGGCCAGTTCGTACCGTACACGCAGAGGCGCGTAGAGGTGGCACTCGGCGGAAACGGGCCTTGGCGGGCTCGCGTCTTGCGCAGCTTAGGTCATGCTTACACGCCGCTTGGCTGGTCTGTGTTTCCGCACGCGAAAGGTCACAATGGCGTATGTAAGCCGCCAACATGCAGAGTCATTCTTATGCCAGTTCTTGATGACACGGGGCACTAGACATACAACACAGCACAGGTTGGAGTGCCACTACAGCATTGGACGACAGGCAGGACCTGATCGTTTGTCTGGCAGATGCCGTTGACACTGAAGTTCTGCCTTTGCGAACATTTCTCATAAATGAAATGAAATAAAGTATGGGGAACATAGCTATCGTGGCTCGTTCCAGGCCCATCCAGTGGAAGAGCTTGGCTGCTTGCAAGGCAGGCCGGTTCATCCTGGAATGGCAGTCCCGCCGCCTTGCTGCGCTCAGATGCAACATGTGCTGCCACATGACATCAAGACCTCTTGACCCCTCTGGAGTGAACTTAGGTTTGTTTGCCAGGCTGGGTGGGTCGAGCATGTTGCTTGAGTGTACAAGGACGTGCCAGTTGCAGCTTTGTGTGCTTCGGCAGGTGCCATATGGCATTTATGAATGGGAGAGTGTCGGAGAGGCTTCTCATCATTATTAGGTTTGCCGTGTTTGAGATTCACAGTGGGAGTCCTGTGCTGCATGAGTCGTCAACTTGAGCATGTAGGAAAATTGCCACAGAATTGGGGATTGCGTTTCGAACTTAGCTGAGAACGGTGCGCAAATTGGACAGAATAAAGAGAGAGGTGGGCTGCGACTGGGAGGGCGGGGAAGGGGGGGGGCAGCGGGGGGGGGCACGGCGGGCTTGAAATGCCCGTGGTCCTGGCAAAAGCTATTTCTTTATGCCAGTGCAAACGCCTCTGGCTACCGGGCCTGGGCGGATACTTGCGGTCCTCATTCTGCACTCTGCTTGTCACTGATGTTCACCTGGTATTTCTGCTGACATGCGTGTGTTTGCTAAACATGGCAGGATTGCTCTATGTGCTCTGCTGGTAGCTTGCGAGTTCCCCTAGTCAGCCATGATTCGAGTCGTTCCGAACTCAGGCTTTGGCCTGTGCCATGCTTGACTTGCATGGCGTCACCACTTTGAATCGTCCCGCTGCGCAAGCCCTCGATGTCCTGGGAGAGGCGAGCCTGGAGAAGTTAAACAGCTCTGTTTTTCTGACTCAGCAAAACTGGATGTGTTGAGTGGAGGTCGCGGCACGACTGGCAGTGTCTGGAGGCAAAGCAACATCTCCAGAGAGCCTTCTGGCCGCGAACCCTCGGCAGGCATGGCAACGGACTGCACGGGATTAGTGTAAGCGCTTCGCCCGTCAGCCGCCTCGGCCCCATCGGGCGCTGACTCCGAGTTCCAGCGGAAGGTGAAAGGAAGAGGAGGCAAAAGTCGAGTTTTAGCACGACCATATAGGCAACACGATCTCTGCCAATGGGTGTTAAACCTGTGAAGGAGTCGGGAAGCTGAGAGAAGGGGTGGGACCTCGTATGTACACGTATGTGCGCTGGTCGCCTTCCCGCAGCCCTAAGCGCTAGACTCTGAGCAAAAAGCCCTTAATTAAACAAATCTCTGAACCCTCAAACCCTTGACCCTGAGCCAACTTTCCCTAACATAAACCCTAAGCTTGAAAGCCCAGAGCCCTAAACCCTAAGTCCTGCAGCCCGAGCCCTGAGCGCCCTAAAGCCGAATTCTAAACCCAAAACGAGGCCCCCAAAACGAGGACCCCGTTGCATGCGCGGATGTGAGGCCCGAGGGTGAAGGCCTACAAACCACACTGCTGTTCACGGGTGGCGAAAAGTGTTTCAAGAGCAAGACATTCAAAAAGCCGACGAGGTGTTTTTCCAATACCTCCTGCGTCAATGACGTGTTCAGATTGTGAGAGGTGCTGAAACTGCCAATGATCGATGCAGATCTGGAGGACTGCCCGTGCACGCATGAACGGCAGCGCCAAACACAATCAGCAGAAAAGGAGCGTCACATTAACAGCCCGTGTGGCAGTCTTGGAACTGCACGATCAGGCATGCTGAGGCAAAAGGACAGGCGACAGCCAGAAAATGCGCGACAGTCTAAGAGGCGTTTAGTATTGCATGCCCCGCTGCATTATCCAGCAACAAAAACGCAAGGAGGAGATCTGCCAAGTGCAGCTCTGGCGAGTTCTGCATTCTGTGGTGGTGGCACGAGAGCGTCCAGCTCTTGATGCTCAGGTCCTAGAGGCGCGACCACCTAAAAATGTGTCCGAAGCAGTCCCTTGCAGCCACTCTTGCAGTCCGCCTCAAGGTGTTTGGCCAGGGCCAGATGCTAGCAGTCGTGGAGGAGGACCTGGTAGACATCGACATTGCATTTGTACTGGCAATGTCTGCCGAGCTTCTGCCAGGTTCCGAGCAGCCCTTGGGTCAAACTTGCAGCCCCACATGGCCTTCTCGGTGGCAAGCTGAATACCGAGCTCAACAAGGCACAGAGAACGCAAACTCACCGAGGAGGCATCAGCCACATGAGTCGCATGTTGGTCAGGTTGGACGCACAGCAGCATACATGCTCACAGACGGCTCAGCCACAAGATTGCAACTTGTTCATGAGCCACCCTTGCTTCAGAAATGCTGCTCTTCATGATCTTCATGACATTTGATGTCGTCCCAACGCTCTGTGGTAAGGCCAAAGGCCTGGGGCAGCTGCTGCAGAAAACCAACCTTTGGATGCGTATGCGCCGTAGAGACTTGCCGACGGTACAAGAAGAACAAAAGTGGAGTCAATCCCTTCAATGCCGTCTTGCTGCAACGGCGCACCAGAACCTGTTCATTTGTGCAAGCTTTGTGCATGGAAAACCAGGGCAGATCATGACATGGTGAGCAGATGTCCGTGATTCGAAAATTGCCGTTGGCTTTGGGAAAGTTGGGCCTTCTTGCCCATGCGATTAGTTGGATGAATACCTTAGCAAGCCAAGTTGTGAGAAGTTGTGGGTTACTTCGTTGTCGTCGTCAAGTCCTGAGCGCCAAGTGGCGGGGCCATGGTCCTTCACACTGGGTCTTACGCCTTAAGGTGTTACAAGTCGCAGGTGCACCTAACCGGAGGCAGCAATACGAAAAGGCCAGTCAGCTAGTCAACCACAACTGCACAACCTTCTGCGCTGCCCTCCCGTGAAACACCTCCGGTGTCATGGCGGGACCGAGCCTGCGAAAGGTGTGTTCTCTGAGGCAGGGTGATGGCAATGTCGGCAGGATGTCGGTGAGACTGTTCGGAACTAGACTTGCTGGTCTATGGTTAGGCCCCCTGTTTGGTAAGTTGACTTGCAGGGGGCATGACGAGCGAGCCTGGTATGTGGCATGGAGGCCTAACTCATCCACGCCTGCAGCTCGAAGATCTGACATGACAGCAGCTTCGTCTACGTTTCACAGCTCTTTCGCAGTTGATCCGCCATGTTTACAGCCTTCGAGGCCGATGTTGGCCTCGTCAGGCCCACGGGCGAAAGTTGAGCACAAGTTTGTAGTTTGTGCGCTTCCAGCGGTCGAAGCGCATTCGCTGCTTGCCTAAGCAATGGCATCGGAAGTCGCGAATCACGTTGTGGCACGTGGTTGACAACAGTTGCACATGTTGATGACAGTTGTGCCTGTGCCTTCAGGGTCCGATCTGGCAATTCGTATATGGACATGCGGTACCAGAGATCCCGGACTGGAAGCCAGATGCTTAAGATTTGAGCTTGACAAGATTTGACAAGCACCGCCTGGAGAGCCTGGAGAGACCTGCGTGAGACAACTACTATCGACTTTTGAGTAGGCATCACCAAGCTGATACATTGTTCGCAAGCTCTTTTCACGATCTGCTGCACATGGCTTAACAGGATCATGCTTGTCGGATAGCCTCCTAATTGGCCACGATGCAGCAGGGAGTTTGTTTTTGATAGATCCCCTCAGCAGGCTCCATGCCCTCGCAGCTCAGGATTCCTGGGTCCTCACTCAGGAGATCGACGTCTCCGAGCGGCACTCTCGAACGCTGCGCTCCCTTGCGGTGCGCCGCCGGTATGAGTGATAGGAGTTCCCCCGCAGCAGCAATGAGGCAATGATAGCTGCAATGCAAACTGCAACAGAGTAATAAGCCGGAGTCGGGTTCGTACACGCCTATGTTCTCCCATGTGGTTGTCTCCGCAACTCCCTGTGAGCTTGTCGCAGTGGAGCCCGTGTGGCAAGCTCCTGGCAGCAGCTTCGTTTGATGCTGGGGCCTTGAGCACGCTTCAGCTTGTGGTGTGCGAGCAAAGTAGTGCATGACTTACTTGCTCTGGCTGTACGTCATGAGGCCAGCATTTCGGTCTGGAAAGTCGTTCCAGGGACCGACACAAGAGGCATCGACTGGTGTAAGGCAAACGGCACCGTGTGCTTTCTGGACATTTGCAAGTGGAGGCAAGCTTGGGCTTGACTGCATGACCGTGCTGAGCGGTCATGAAAACGAAGTCAAGCCAGCGACTTGGTGCTACAGCACATTTCGAAAAATTTCTCGCAATTTCGTAGCATGGTGTGCGCAGAATGGAAGCCAACCCGCTCGGTTTAAGTATCGTCTTCTGAGGTCCGTCGCCTTCAGCCCCTCCGGCAATTTGTTTGCCTCTTGTAGCCGCTCCTGCCTCAGAAGCTCTGTTTTATTCAATCTCTCGGCATTCAGATGCGATGAGGGTTTTAGCATTTTTCAGCCGACTTGCCTCCTCCCCCCAAACAGATGAGGGGAACTTCTGCAGAACGGATGCATTTTTACTTCTCGGGTTCAGTGAGTTGCCATGCAGGCCGTCTCGGCTTCACGAAAGCCAAGCCTCTCCGCAGATCAACAACATCCCAAGCATGTGACCCTCAACCTTAAACCCTAAACCCTGAACTTCTGGAGGCTGTCGTTTTTGGCCCCGCCATGGCAATGTCTATGGAGGGCTATGTGTGGGCAGCCCCATTGAAGCGGCAGATGCTGGTACAACCAGCCGGCGCCCCGACCTACGCTTGGGGATGGCAGCCAGCACCTGTCGTAGTGACTCGCCGCACCTATCGTGTGGTGGCAAGGCCAGTGCAAGCACCTGGCTTGGTGACTCGGCGCACCATTCGTGTGGTAGTGAAGCCTGCCAGTGCGGTGGTGAAGGCAGCTGCGCCAATGCAGCTGCCTCACCTTCTCGGACCGCCGAGGGCACCGGCTGTGGCGCACCCCAAGAAGGGGTTGCCTCAAGCTGGAGCAGGCGAGCCTGCCCCAGACGACTCAGTCGACTTGACTGAGGAGGCTCCAGTCGACCTTGAGGCATGTGAGACAATGGAAGCAACGAACGCGGTTGCCGAAGCCTTTGCCCCGGCTCCCGAGCTGGTCTACCCAAAGGGTAGGCCTGTCTCGTATGGCCCGGGGAGGCCTTTCATGGAACTTGAAGATGAAACAGCTTGCCAAGCAGACGCCGACGTTCCCGAGGCCGCTCCGAAGCCGGCTTCGGAGCCGGCTCCAGAGCCTGCAGAAGACGCTAGCCCACCGCCGGAACCTCCACAGGAACTACCGGGCCAGGCTGAGGCCTTGGAAGCGCTGAAGGCGCTGATGGCGGAGCTCGGCGGAATGGGCTTCAAGGTCCCCCAGAAACCGACGGGCGAACCAGAGGCGGGGAGGGCACAAGGTAAGCTGATCAAGACTGCCTTTGAGGTCCTTGATGCACAGCGCTTCTTCAGATAAGTTGAACATAGTTAAACAAAATCCTTCAATATAGACTGTGCATGCTGCATGGAAGCCCTACCAGAACGTATCGGATCGTGTTCTTAGTATCGCGCTGAGGTTTTCGTTTGAAATGCGCCAAGGTGGGAGACCTTGTGGTCCTCAGCGATACGATCCTGCCGAAGAGTCTGCGGCTGCGGTACGCTGTTATCATGCAGGCTACAGCCAGACGTAATTCCAACGCTTACTTGCTACTTGTAGCTCATTGGAGGTGGTGACATGTGCCACGGGCTGAATAAAAAGATGAGTAGTTCCAGCGCAGGTGCACGAGAAGCACTACACAGCGAGAACGTTGGCAGAAGACAAGGCGACATCGCTCGAGGAATGCTGGCCATTCAAGGAGGATGCCGTGCTCGAGAGCACGGTTGGCCGACTGGGAAGCCGAGTGCGCGTTGCGGAGGGGCGCCACGGCTGCGTGTGGTTTGCAGGGACGTTTGACGCAGGTTTTCTAGAATTTTGGGCTTTGTCCAAAGACCCTGGTTTTTTTGCACCCACGCCAAGGTCCTATGCTGGCTGCAGTGGCAAGGTGGCCATGGCGCCCGGCCACCCGATATTCCCAGTCTTCCGACAGTTCAGGCGCGCATGCCGGGCTGTGCTGTGGAGGGGTCGGTATTTTCACCGTTCTTCTTTTTTGTTTCCTTCCTTCGTAAGGCAGGACAGCAAGCAAACAAGCACAACCTATCAACCCTAGAAACCCCAAGCTCCTAACACGGACAAATACAAGGACCGAGACCCTGAAAACAAACAGCCTGAAGCCTTAAACACCTTAAACCTTGAAAACACTAAAGTCTTAAAGCCTGGAAGCCCTAGAAAGCCAGAACCGACATGCCGTCGCGCGTGAAATTCTTCATGCATTTCATGCAGGAACAACAAACTGCAGTACGTCGTCAATGTGCGCTTGGATGACGGCAGGCGCCGGTGTTCTGCTGGAGTGGGGTTTGAGGATGTTTTAGGCGAGTGCTAGCCACTGTGTAACAATGGCTTGCTATCCTGGATGGCAGGGACGCGCTGTTCCTGTTCTCGGAGCTCCGGGCAGATTGAGCACGATAGACAAGAGAGAAAAAAAGTCCCATCGCGCGGAGGGGTCGATATGATTGCTGTTCAGTGTTGTTGTCTTTCTAGGGCAAAGCAAGCAAACAATCGTCGGACAAGCAAGCACGCAATCAAGCTAGGAAGCAAGCAGTCGGTCCACTTTGTTGCGTGTCAACATGCGCAGCCTAGCAGTGACACACTCTCACGCATTTGCACTGTTGCAAACGTGGGGAGCTGCTACCAGGTGATCGCTCTGTGGGCCTGGCCAAGTCTTGAAGCCAATGGCTACTTTTGTGCTTACAATTTGCGGCGTCGCGCCAGGTTTGGGTGTATGACGCGGAAGAGACGGATGAATACGAATGCGTGGCATTGCTTCAGTCCCATAGCCAGGACACTTCCGGTGCTTGCCTCTATCATTCTAAGTACACACGCAGCAGGAGGCTGAAACAGAGAGGATGTTCGGTCTCCTTGTACACTGGCATGGCCTTACATCCCTGCAGGCAGAAGCACCTCCCCGAAATCAGGGTCGATGTCTCACTAGTGCCGTCAGTCCTGAAGCCGTTAGTAAGCTTGGGTGTGTTTCGTTCCTGGATGCGTTCGCAGGGAAGCCTGTTACTTACCATATCCGCCCTGAGATCACGGGCGAACGGTTGGACTCGCAACGCAAGCAGACCGTGCATTGCACATGCATTTTGCAAAGAGCACGCCGTTAACATAGCAAGGCTTAAAGTATTAGCCTATCAACATCAATCAACCAGTCATGGTGCAATCACAGCACAATTTTCTCTCCCCGACTGCAGGACGTCAAGGCTGTGAGATGGCATCCTCAACAAGAGGTGCTGTTCTCCTGCTCCTATGACGACACCATCAAGGCTGGACGCAGTATTCTTTTCTTATGGCAGCTCATGGCGACAGCCCTTGTGTTTGCCGCCGTGTAAGGTCTGGGGTCCCGATGGGGACGATTGGTGCTGCAAAGAGACCTTGGAGGGCCACAGCAGCACGGTGCCTTCGGCGAGTTGCAGCTGTCAGTTGAGATGCAGATGTCATCGTTGGACCAGACTTCAGCGCCAAAGCACAGCGGTTGGTGGCCAACATGTCAACATGTTGCAGCATGCCTGTCTTGTGGTGGGATGCCCTGTCTTAAGCCCCGGACCCACGTCCACCGACAGAATCGCGCAGCGCATAGCAGAGGGACCTTTGTTTGACAGCTCGCCTGAAGAGCTGTGTTCTCATTCGTTCTGCTTGTAGATTTATCTATCTGTCTCTGTCTGCGGATGTATCTCTGTCTCTGTCTGTGTTTGCGCTGCAACGTCTCAAATGCAAGGTATTGTAGTTCTAGAATGTGGCTTTGAAGAACTCTAGCAGCCCCAAGTCTCGTCTAGTGCTCGACGAAGCAGACAGCGCAGCTTCCCCATAGATCTCAGCCAATGCCGCCACGAGTGGTCCATATAGACTGCGAGCAAGTTGCGGTTCCCAATTCAGCGCTGCTCCGTGGGAAGCTCGCAAACTGAGTTGAGCTGGGTTGCATGGGGTTTCTGGCCTACTTGTCACGGACGGCGCAGAAAGGGCAACGCTGGGCTGATGATTTTGCGAGCCTGCGTTCTTCCGTCGGATCTTGGCAGATCATGTTCGGCCGAGTTGAGCTAGGTCACGCTTCGAGCAGGCCTTCCACAAAGTTGCCAGAAAGAATGAAGTGATGTGAAGAGATCATGCTATCGAGGCAAAAAAGTGCTCAGGAATTTGGCCTCTCAAGGCCTGAAATTATTGCTTGCAACAAGGCCATCAGTCAATGCGGAAGACGTTGGCAGCAGGCCATACAAAGCCTGAATGCTATGAAAGCCCGACATCTGGAGCCTGATGTGGTGACGTACTGCTCTGTGGTGAGCGTGTGTGGAAAAGCTTTCCAATGGCGGTGGGCTCTGCATTTACTGAAGCAAGCTGGCATCGGTGGCGTGTGTGTAAATGAATTTCTGCGCAATGCCATTGTCACCAGCTGTGAAAAGGCAACGTGTTGGCAGCAGTCACTCCACCTGGTGGCTGACTCTGGAAAGAAGCAGCTTAGTGCCGATGTCGTATCCTACAGCTCCACGATTTCTGCTTGTGGGTCAGCTGTACAATGGCAACTTGGGTTGGCTCAGATCCGCACCATGGCCTGTGAGAGGGTGCAGGCCAACATCGTTGTCTGCAACACGGCAGTTAGTGCTTGTCGGGAATCGCTGTGGCCACGGGCGTTTTTATTTATGAATGCGTCGATCTTGATGACCGTGCAAGCAGACACTGTAACTTACAATGCCAGTCTCGGCGCCGTTGCGAATGAATCACACGAACACTGGGCGTATGCGCTTACACTCCTTTCCATGCTCCACCACCAGCACCTCAGACCCAATGATGTTGCTTACAACACCACCCTAAGTGCGTGCGAGCAGGTGCATGCATGGCAGCGCTCGTTATCGCTAATGCTGCGAATGGCACAGAGTCGGCTCCAGCCCCCCGATGTTATCGCGTACAATTCTGCAATCAGTAGCTGCGAGAAAGCCAAGCAGTGGCAGCAAGCGCTGGTTCTTTTCGCCGAGCTTCTGGAGCAGCACGTTGATCCAAGCATTGTAACATACAGTTCGGTAGTTTGTGCTTATGCACACTCCTCGATGTGGCAGTGTGCGCTGGTCCTGTTACACGCTTCTCGAGATCACGAGCTGCAGCCAGACATCATTCTGTACAACGCGGCTATCACTTGCTGCGAGAAAGCAGCCAAGTGGACACTCGCCCTGGCTCTCGTCGCATCGCTGGGGCAACTGAGTCTGCAAGGCGATGTCATATCCTACAGTAGCCTCATAAGTGCTTGCGAGAAATCATCACAGTGGCAACAAGCCTTAATCCTGCTCAGTAGCCTACCCGAAAGCAGCATTCGAGCATCACCGATCACCTTCAACGCAGCGATCAGCGCGTGTGAGAAGGCGGCAGAGTGGAAATCGGCCCTGAGCCTGCTGGCAAAACTCATTGAATGCAAGATGGAGGCCAGCGTCGTCTCTTACAGCTCTGCTATCGGTGCCTGTGAGAGAGCACAGCTGAAGTTGCAGCGACAAAGCGGCGTGCCCGCGCAGTGGTCCGCGGTCTTCTCTGGAGAGTTCGCCATCCAGAGCTCGGGAGATTTGTAGGTTTAGCAGGTTTGAACAATGCTTGGCTTAGCAATGGAGTTGGATGCGTTTGGATGTGCCATCTGGCCAGGTCTGGGCCATGAGCTTCGACGCCACAGGCTCACATTTCGTGACCTGCCCTTACCTCAATTGGGAGTCGTCGCGAATCGCTTCCAGCACTTGCATTAGGAGGCATTAGGAGATGCTGCCCAAAAGGCATGCAAAGTCCGTCCAACGAGCACGGGTGGTATGCGGCACACCAGCAGATCACAGCAGTAATTATCTCTAGCTTGGCGGTTCCTGTCGGTTGCAACCTGTCTGGCTGGGGGTGCTCAGGGCTTAGGGTTGTAGTGTAGCTCTCGCAAGGGGAATCTTGATCACTTTGGATGACACAGTTTGTTAGCAAGTTGCAGGAAGGGCACTGCTTGAGGTTCCGACGATGGGACATTGCGCATTTGGGCGCCCTCGCAAACATTGCCGGCTGATTTCAGGCGGACAGCACTCCATGCCACCACGATGCCCGCGCGTCGTGTTTTACGTGCAAAGAGTCCGTTCTTGGTTCTGGAGGCCTGTGGAAAGCCAGAGCAGCAAGGAGCCTGCAAAGCAGGCGACGCAGCGTCAAGTCTCTGAAAAGATGTGCATGAAAAGCACGAGATGGTACTGATAGTAGCCGCATGCAGGAGTGCTGGCACGTCTGACCCTGTCTGATCGCTTGAGAGAAGCTGTGATGATTTTTGCTCGTGCCAACACCCCCCCCCTTCCCCCCCAAAAAAACTCTGCGGGGGCCTATCTTTCGTCCCACAAAGAAATCTGAAACCAAACCAAACTTCAAAAAAAGGTCTCCCTCTGCCCTTTTTCAGTGCAAACAAGAGCTCCTGGGATCGTACCGACCCAACAGGTTGAACCAGCAAAGACGAGCCTGGAACTCGGTGGGCAGTTCGAGATGTTCGAGTCAGTTTGATGCTCTCCGACTTTTCCCACGACGAGGTGCTGAAGACTTGCTCTTCGCTGGCACTGTGTTGCCGCTTTTCCGAGGTCACCGCTTGGGTGTTCTTGCCCACACGAGGGTCTTCCTGTTTACACAGTATGGATGGCATGCGGCAGGGACTCTGGTCACGCCTGCGAAGCAGTCGGGAAGCTCAGTGCATCTTGCCGCTGCATGGATGGGTGAGGCGGAGCTGTTGGGCGAAGCTGCTTGTTGGTCAGATTGCATAAGATTGAATGAGTGCCTCCGGCAAGCACAGAAGTTGCAGCTGTCACTACGACACTACGAGGCCAGCGGTCGCTCAGACAACTGCCAATGGCAGAAGTGAAGTCATGGCCTTGTCTCTCCAGTGTGACCTGGCCCTCCATTGTTCGCTATGCTCCATGCAGCATCTTGGTATTTGCTGAATTCTGAACGTTACTCGGCAACATTACTACTGTACTGATCCACCGGCTTCTGTACCTGCAAACATCCACTGGTTCTGGAGGCCCGCGTGACGTCAAGCTACAAGGCATGCAGGCCCAGCACCACAGTGCCTGTCTCTGTTCACTGCACCAACTGTTTAAAGAATCTCCGCAGCAAGCATCCATGAATGCTTGTCTCCCCCTTTGAACTGAAGCTGCTTGACGGACCTCGAATCTCACTGCCAGTACAGGCCCATGCTCGCCCTGAATGATTAAACGCGGTGCCATTTTACAAGTCGGCGGAATCCTAGAAGGGGGCCGAGTGGGTGCTCATGGGAGGGGCATGAGGCCTCAGAATGGTGGGAGAACGGGAAAACCTCGAGTATGTCAGCATCGTGACAGCCAGTGGAAGCCTAGGGAGAACCATCAGGCCAGGTCGACAAGATTCCATAAACAAGGCGGCCAGCACAGAGAGTGCACGCTGAAGAACTGCATCCCTGGGTTGTCCCTTCCGGCAACGGGGCAACAGCAAAGCGGACCTCGCGAGCTACCCGTGCTACTGTACCCAACTGTCCAGATCCGCGCCGACTGATGCCTCCTGCGGCTGGGCGTGTGCCGGGCCCTCAGAAAAGGTGCAACAAAGTCGGGTACGTGGTTTACAAAAGCTACAGTAGTTGATGCCTTTGGGCCCACAATGCCTCTGGCCCACAATGCCACATTGGAGACAGAACCTGGATGATTCTGGACGGAAGCTGTCCGGCCGTGCGCCTCGCATTCTTGCAGACAATCAGAGAGGCCGAAGCTGAGACCTCAACCGATCCTCAACCGGGTGCTTTGAGTGTGCAGCCCAGGTCAGCGTCATCAGCGACCAGCATCCACGTCCCGTCTGGGACCTTAGACATCCAGAGCCTAGGCAGAGAAAGCCTAAAGCTGGTTCCCAGCATCGAGAATACTGTGTGCTTGTTGCCTTGCTCGCCTGGAGCAAGGCTGAAAGAACCAAATTGGATTTGAAGAACTGACCCCAAGGACTTGCCCTGCATCCTGAAACCCACCCATGTCCCTGAACAGCGAATTAGGCCTGCAGAGTGTAGTTAAAGCATGTGGGGCCATGGCCTGAGCAGCACCAACAGCAGCAGTTCTGCAGACTAACACCACGTGTTCTTACACGACTATTGTGCTGGTTCTGAGGGGCCCATCTCAGGCTCCTGAAGAGCACACGGTCACATGGGCTCCCATACCTCGCCCAACTTGCCGCTGGAAAAACCAGGCCAAAACTGAAAGAGACGATGGACAACAGCACATGGTGGTTACGCGTATTCCAGATCCCCCAAAGGAACTTCCAGGCGGCCCTCATGAGGGAGTTGACCACACGACAAGAAAATGTGTGTTTCTGGATGCCTCTGGCTGAAATGTTAAAGTTCAAGTGTTTCTTTGACCGTTGAATGCTGCCGTCTCGCAACAACAGGATAGTGCGCGGGCGGAGAGACAAGTTTAAATGCCATGTTTGAGGGCCGCCAAGATTGTCAAAATGCAAGGGCTCGCAATAAATGGTGGAGACTCTCCGGATGTGCCACGTGCTGTAGATGCACAGGACATTACAGGGCAACCCTACCGGTGCAAATCAATCTGTTTTGCCATGCAGGTCTATTGCGCAGACTGGTCAAATGCTGACTTCCTGGCCTCCGCTTGCGGAGACAACCGACTCCGCATCTTCCGCCCCGAGGAGTGCCGCCCCAGGGCTATCTGCAGCAGGATACTTGAGGTGGTGGAAGGGGGTGGTTGGCCGGCAGTCCTTCCAGGCATCGGATTTGTAGTATACAGGAGGCACGTGGGGATTTGTGGACTTGTTTCATGCATGTTACAGAATCATCGACACGGCTTTGGCTGGCGCAGCGCGCAAGCTCCAGTCTGTGTGGCCAAAGCCATGTTCTCGGCGAAATCTTTCAGTCAAGTTCGTTGAATTCACGGCGTCCCTTTTTGATGCATTCATATCCTTGGTACGAGTCATCCGTGTATTGCTTCTGAGTCGTCAGATGGGGTCAGGGCCTTCAGCATGCATACATGCCACAGCAAGATCAGCAAATGCGGCAACTGGGAGCAGGCCACGACAGCAGTGCAGCTCGACTTGACCTGAAAAGTTGCACGATATCGGTTCGCAAACGCTGCAAGGCCAAGGGCACCTTCCTGTAAAATGACCACGGCCTCCTTTGCCAAAGAATCCCCACGAAGCTCAGCCTGCGGGTCCGGTGGCCGGCATGGTTCCTTTTGTCGGGGACTTGCAGGCTGCAAGTTCGTCTGAATGACGTGTTTTCGGGGCCACATGGCAGCACTGCACCATGAGGAGCACGGTGCTTGGAAAAGGGCGGTACGTACGTTTGCTGCCTGGGGGAAGTTAAGCTTGTGGGTCGGGCGATGCACAACGCAGCTACAAGCAGTTCTGCAGTGGAGGGCCAGTGCCGAGTGGCCGTTTGCTTTGGAGAACTTCAGCGGGGCAGCTGCTAGAGCGTGCATGGAAGCAACACTCAAAACCAGTGGTACCCTCAGTGTCTGCGAGAGCTCGGCGGAGTGGCGACATGCTCTGCGGAGTGCGTTGTGGCATGGCTTTCTGTTTTTTTGGACCAGCTTGAATTCGTTAATTGGCCTGCAGGGACTCCGATCACCTTTGATTTTAACGCGACGCGGCCCGCCTTGGCCCGGCCCAGCGCAGCGTGAGCATGGTGATTCCGCAGACGGGGGGGGGGGGGCACGGGGCGGGGGGGGGTTGCTGGGCGGGGCTTCGACTGCCCTGGTACTGGCGAACCGTCCGCTTTCTCGCCTACGGGGGGGTACCATTCCAGGCAACAAAAACAAAAGGGGATTGACGTGTGGCTGGGCTTGGGGGAGGATTAGGAGGGGGGTGCCTGTTCTCACAACCTGTACACCTTCGGCCCGAGGCCTCGGCGGATTCGGTGATTTCAGTTGAAGCGGAATGGCAGCAGGCCCTGTCACTGACTGGTTCGGCTGCGGGCTTTGCGATCACATTACTTGATATTCCGCCACATGAGCTCGTGGCGGGCCAGTGGGGTAGCCAAAGCGAGGTGTCTGGCACGTCTATATATATATACATATATATGTTATATATATAATATATATATATATTTTTTTTTGTCTACTGCCGTATCCGGGAGACCTCGACGTCAAAACGCCTCGTGGCAATGAAAGAAAGATTCCTGACGTCGACTAGCTAGCGAATGCTAACGGATCATGACCAGTGCAACCTTGCAGGATGCATCAACCCTGCTGGAATGGACCTGTATATCAAATGCGGTCCTGGCATGCCTTGAGCAGCTGTTTTTTTTTTGCCCTTGGTCTCAGAGCCTCTTGGTACTGACTACTACTGAGTTGTGACTCCCTTTTGATCCAGGAAGTGGCACACGACGGAGACGTCAATTGCGTAGCTTGGTGCCCTGCGGCATCCCAGCTTCATCCTCGGTCGGGCACCATTCACCACATACTTGGCACGATGATATCTTTCCGCTTGGGGAACGAATCACTGATCACTCTGACGACATGGTTGCTCCATGGCCCCCTCTATCACTCTCTGTGTCTCGCCCCCTCTCTCAATCTCTATCTCTTTCGCTCTCTCTCTCTCTCTCTCTCTCTCTCTCTCTCGTTCTCGCTCTTGCTCCCGCTCGGACGCACAGACAGACACGGACCACACACGGACACACACGCACACGACGCAAACGCACGCGCGCGCATCCACACCCGCATGCGCGTACACACACAAGCACACACATCCACACCCGCACGAAGGATTTGCTTGTTCGGAAAAACCGCATCCATCCTGGAATGTATTGGCGTATATCGAAGCATCAGGGTTGTAATGTGATGCTTTCCAAGATCTTGGATGCTTCAAGTGACAACGATCATCTCAGAAAAGCTCTGACCTGCACAGCTCAACTTTCTGAGCTGTCTTGAATCCACGACTCTGGCATGTGAGCTACTAAGTGTTGGCGAATGCTCGCTCGCGACGCAGCGCTTACAAAGGACATGACAGGATGACAAGATTCGGGTGGGTTGCAAGCTGCCCTGAACTGGAGAGGTCAGGGTGGGTTGTAGGCTTTCCTGAACTAGAGGTCTGGCCCTGTGGCGCGAGGGTGCAGGAGGGCGTGCGTTTCTTCTTGATCTATGCTTCCTCCTCTTGTTCTTGATATTTCGGCTGTCGTCATGGTTATGACGGGAATCATAAAACCCAGATGGCAATCACCAGAGCAGAAAAGAAGAAAAATGAGAAAACGGTATCGGATCCAGAAACCTCAAACGAGTGCTGGCGCACACACACACACACACACTTACACACTTGTTGAAACCACGAGGGTTAATCATTGGTGAGTTTCTGGTCTAACAGCGGACTCAAACGCCAAGCCGGAGCGGAACAGACTCGGATAGTAGCAGCGGAACGGCCGCCAACGAAACATAAACAAACTCACCCCATCGAACGCCGCAATCGCACTTGCATACAGTTCGCACATGGTCTAAGGTCCGCGCTTCAAAACTGTTATTGGAGTTTCGTCGGAGGTTCACTGCCAGGTTGTTTAAAAGTCATACTCTTCAGATGCCAGCTCTCAAACCTTGACACGAACACTCCGGGCTGGCATGACTCCAGATTCGTTTTTCCACATGCGTGCTCTCACCATTGCAGTCAAAATTTGGATACTGCCCTTCGATACAGGGTTGCACCACACACATACCCTCCCCCCCCCCCCCCCCCCCCCCCCCCCCCGGCACACTCGCGCCCACACACCCGCGCGCCCCCTCGCCCCTGCTTTACGTGACTGACATGCCCGCAAGACCGCATGCATCCCACGCGTGCATTTGATCACGTACGTGCGCACGACTGACCAGCAAGCAAGTGCAAGCCGAACTGTCAGGTCTGCTGGCCGGACCTTCCTCGCAACTGTATGGCGCTTATTACAGTACTGTTCTTCTCAATTGTGCAAGACTGTTGTTCGTGGTTGCGGATTGAAAGTGTCGTGCGGAGTTGCGATAGGCATCTCATGCTCCTTTCAGGCTGGCGACGACGCAGAGGTTGCAGTATGGGAATTTTCCAACTAAGTTTTCATGCGCGCGGTTGCATGGCCAGCTTGGCGAGGTATGATATTGTAAACCCAACAATTTTGCACTGATTTGTGTTTCCAATGCCGGAATTCTTGATGATAGGCCTCATGCAAACCTGCGGCGACTGGTAGGGTAGGTAAACGGTGGTTTCCGAAATTAGGGGTACCTCTTTTTGGGGTTCTTATTGTAAGGGGATCCTATGATCCTATTATTTTGGGATATGTTAGGGGTCCCCTATTTTCGGAAACCCCCAAATGAGGTGGGACTTGTCGTTTGCTTGGGAACCCAGACTCGTCTCCAGACAGCGACACCGTGCTTTCGGGTGCGAAAGGATGTGCGCGGTGCTTGGAGTGCAAGCTGTTGTAGATACATAGCATCAACTACTTGGAGGTTCATGGTACTTACTAACCAATGACATATAACTGTACTCATCACTGTACTTCTAACCACATGTGCTGTGTTATCATTGTGACACCAGAAGGGACGAGCCCTGTGGCGAGCTATTCGTGGAACTGCCAATGCACGTTGATGGCAAAGAGTTGCCGAACAACTGGGTTGTTACGGTTCAGACCTGATGATCATGACAGCCAACTCAAGCATTGCTGTGCCATGCTTTTGCTAGCAGCGTGGTGAATAGTCTAAACTAGAAGAAGCCTTGGATCCCAGCAGTTTTCTCGACCTTGATCCCCAGATCCTGAGCAGATACCTTACCCGCCCTTCGCATTGACGCCATGTTGCTTATTTTCCTCCTGCCGGCTGTTGCGAATGCATGGTGGGATAATGGGCACTTGCTAGTTGTGCCTCGGTACAAAATGTCCAGACCGGCCAGTCCTCGGACGCTTAGACACTGGCTTACTGCTGGTTACCACCTTGCTTAGCCAACATCAATGCTATGCCCTTCCCTTTCCAGGCTGAAGTTGCCAGACAGCAGCTGACGCCGCAGCAGGTGGCCCACATCAACGATATTTTGAAGGCAGGGTAGTACAGCATTGCCATCCTCAGTAAGCATCGAAAGTATCGGTCCGAAGAGCAAGCATGCCGAGAAATTTGAGGGGAAAGTATCATGTTGGTGGAGACTGCCTGGGAACTCTACCAGGACTTTGCGGATGACTATCCTGGCACGTCTGATCTGGTCACCGCTGCGGTTTGGCCCGATATGCTCAAGTGCTCTAGCCAGAGCACAATCTGCCCCAGGGTGGGCTGTTGAAGAGCAAAAACTGCGTGTAATAGTGCTCTGTAACATGCTGGGCATTGTTGTGTAGGGAATGCTGTAAATGTTGCAGGAGGTGCTGGACAACATCCACATCTTCGACTCGTGGCACTACAACGACGCTCGAAGGGTAGGCTTCGCATGTCTTGACAATCATGTACAGTATGTCGGTACTCACACTTGTTGTTAACCATAGTTTGGTCGGCATCAGAGTTTTTGTAGAAGAGCTTCTATACAACAAGCACCATGAACCAGTTCTAATTCTGCGTTCAGCTAGAGGTCGGTGCCCAGATATGAGTAGACCTGTAAGGAGAAGCCGTACAACCCCGATGGTGTGAAGCTTCCAATTTGCAGCGACAAGTGGCAGAACAACCCATCTGCTCTGTACACTATGACGTCCGCGATGCTCTCTCTTGGCTGCCTGCCAATATGGGTAACTGGAAATTTTTTAACTACTGAGATCATTCTCTGATCTTGGCTTAACGATATTGAAAGTTTTGCCTTCTTGGGTTAGGTATGTGCTTGCCTTGCCTTCTATGTAATTGTCTTGAGTTGCTTGTGCTGAAGAGCTGTCGGATCTTGCGGGTGATTTGTTGACAAGCTTCAGGCAGCAATTCCCGCTTCACACATAACTTTTTCCTGCGATGGATGCTTCACGTTGTGGGCGACATCCATCAGCCGCTGCACACGGTCTCCGGTTTCTTTGACAACCCTCAGCTCGGCAAATTGACCTATGGTGACCTCGGTGGCAACAGGAGGGACGTGCCCTGAGACATAAAGATCTCCGAATCTGGGAATGTGGGAATGCAGGAATGCATAGTATCGCCTGAGGGATGCTTCCCCTCAGGATCCCGGTGCAGAGCCCATGCGGGACCTCCAACCTGCACGCCTACTGGGACTCTGCAGCCTGTACCTACTTGATCAATTGGTCGCCGGATCTGGACTGCTGCAACTGTGGTCATACTGGGGCAACACATGGTTTCGTTGTGGTATACTGCTACGCTACTGTAGTAGTATCATGAGTGTGATACTATACAATAGCGACATGATTACTCTGTTATTTACTGTATTGTTACTACATTTAGAAGGCATCATTACTATATTATTGCTACATCACTGCGATATCACTAGATGACAGCTATGTTGCCGTCGTACTACATTCTTATATCACAATATTGCTATATTAGCATGTTCCTTGTTTACTTTCTTACTATGCTGCCTTGTTACCATGATACTACGTTATATACCTAGCTACTCCATGACTTTATTACTCCGTTACATGTTGTTACTGTATTCCCGTGCTGTTGCATGGTACTGTCTTATACTGTTTTATGCGGTATTGCACTGTCTCATACGGTATCATACTGTATGATGCTGTGTCATATTGCTGTATTACACTGTAACAATACCATTTGTTCTAGTGTGTTTTAGTCTTTTGTGTATGTGTGTATTGTTTGCTGGGTTCCTGCTCCATCTTGTCTCGCGGTTCTCATGCTTATTCCCTCTTTCTTGAGAGCGTCTCCTATTGCTTTTCATGTCCTTTCCTTGTTGTTGCTTTTCGTTTTTTGTGCCTTGCCCGTCTGAGGCGCCCAACCCGTAAGAATCATGTCCTGCTGAAAACTCCCTGGAATATCCTGGGGGCCAGGGGTGATTTATCTAGGTAAAAGCTGGAAAGAAAGAACGAACAAAAAGAAGTGAGATCAATAAATCAGGACATGAACGAGGACAGACGGAGCAAGACAATGAAATAGTTAGATAGAGAAGGACTGAACAAAAGAAACGAAGAAAGAAAGCAAGTAATACATACAGGACAGAACGAGAGATAAACGAGCATTGGTTGCGTTTACATGTGGGTCGGAGGGCTGCTTCACCCCCTGCTATAAGTCGCGCGAGCTTTCTTTACGGGACATCTCGCCATCAAGATGAGTTGATATGAGTTGCTGCAAGAAACACGAAACCTTTCCAAGCCTGTCATGCAGGCAGTGTGTTTGCAACCCCCCCAATCCCCCTGCAGTTTGAAGTCTTGAGGTTTTTTCGAGGAGATCATGCCAACAAGGGAATTGGCTCAAAACATATCCAAGCCCGCCATGTGAACGCTCAGAGACATACTGCATGCAAAAGGTGCCAGGTCAATTGTATTCCTTCCATCGAAGCATATCAGTTTTTGTTGAGGACCGCAGAGAGCTCTCAGCTAACGCAACTGCGTTGACGTCGAAGTATCCGAAAACGTCATCGGTTTTCGCTGGCCGCTACATTGAGGATGACCTACAGGACTGTTGGACAGCTGTGCCGCTTGGCAAGGATTTGCACTGTAGGATGCCGGCCTAACGTGGCTTCTTACAGGCGTGTAGGGTGTGTCATGTATGGCACCTTGGCTTCTCCAAGGCTGGCAGGAAGGGCGGCCAAGCCTTTTGACGTTTGCCAGGAGGTATTCCTCTCGTGGACCGACGACACATACGATTCTGGGGTTGCGAAAGCCTACACTGGCATCACGTCCAACTCGTCAGTGCCGGCCGACTATGCAGCTTGGGCAAAGGCGCATCTGCCGCATCTGCATAGCGGATGAAACGAAGACCTTGACTGCTCAGCGAATTTGACATGCCTGATGTTGCACCGCAGAGGGGCCATGTGTCCTAGCAGGAGTTTTCCGAGCAGCAGATCGTTCTTGGAGGATATCGTCTTGGAGGCCAGCATGTCCAGAGCCCAGCCATCTCGCAGCATATCTCAGCATCTGAAGCTGCAGGCCTCCTTCGGCTGGTTGCATCACGCGTGGTGCTACCCAGTCCAGGAGAGAAGAACAAAAAGCCGCCGCAGCTTGACTCTCATTACAGCCTTAAGAACTAAGCGACTTAATACTTACACCGGGCAAAAGAAATGACGGAGTTGCCAAGCCCAAGGCCAGAATGGACACTCACAGCAAAGCTTTTCGCGGCGCTCTCCCTCATCCTGGTTATACTTCTGGCCTGCCTGCTTAACTCGACCCTCAAGCTGCGCCGCAAGCTCGTCAACCTGGCCATGACAGAGGGCCTGTCGCCTCGGGCTATTGATCCACAGGCCTGATCTTTGCAGCTTTGCAGCCAACACGGGAAGCCGGCAGTTTCTGTAAGCAGTACCGTGCTTGTTTCAGCACAGATTCGGAGCTACAAAGTGTTTGGCTTTGACCGCTTCGCAAATTGCCATCTCTGGCTTGTTTGGAGTTAAGATGCGCGCGAAAAAACGAGCCTTTCACGGGTACCTTTCGTGGCATGTGACCTGTAGGTCAGCTAGTGAGCTGCAGTGGGTGGCCGATCAGTTTGCTTTGGCCATATGTCGCGGCTGATGTGTGGTTACCAGATTTACGTAGAACCATATGCACCGGCAGCATTGAGCTGGAGCACATCGGCTCTCACTCAACAATGGATCTGAGCCAGACCCGTCGTTCAGCCAAAAAAGATTAGCGAAAAGTTTTGCCAAGCCCCTTGTGAAAGTCAGGCGTCCGCCCACAGGGCCTCAGCCCATCCGCTGCCGCTCGGGGGCTTTGCATTTAGGAGTGAAATTGAAGAGTGTTGCGTGCGTCAAACATCTTTGCACCTCGCATTGGATCTAGATCACAATGACGTTTGAGACTTTCGGCTGATGTGTGAACATTGTAACCGTCTGAATGAGATTGATTGAGTGACCAGATTGGGGTGATGTGCATTTAAATGGTCTGATGGGTGTTAATACCCTCAGTAAGCCCCAAGGAACCACTTCGCCGCTGGCCAAGGCTGTGTTGGATGGCTGAACCCTCAAGCCTAATCTCAGTCCTATCTCAAGCCTACAATAAACTCCCGCGACCCTCGACCCAGACTCGACATTCCCTCAAATTTGGAGAAGATGGCGTTTCTACAAACAACAAACCAGAAAATGGACTTTGCTCAAGTGCCCAGATCAATGACTAGATAGGTTCGAGCTTTCTGATCCACCAGTCAGTGAGCCAGACTGATCCATGGGTTTTTGCTCTTCTGCCTGGCCGAGCCCAAATGTTATTGAACACAACAAAGCAATCCATAGATGCAGAGAACAGTGGGCAGATGCTCTCCAGCTTCTCCAGGAAACCGAAATCAGATGCTTCCAGCGCGACTTGGTCACGTGCAACTCCGCACTGGGTGCGCTGGAGAAAGCTGGCCGGTGGAAGCATGCTGTACATGCTGCATGTGACATAAAAAAGCGCCACATGGAAGGTGACGTAATCACTGTTTCGACCATAGCCAGCTCTTACCGTGCGAGTGGATCTTGGCGAGAGGCTTTGGCGCTCCTGAGGGAGAGTGGGAACCGTAAACTGCAGGTGAACACGTTGACGTGCAATGCAGTTCTCGCTGGGTTAGAGAGGGCAGCTCAGTGGTCACAGGCTTGCGGCCTATTGCATACAATGCAAAATGCATCGACACAGGCCACCATTCTGACATTCAACTCGTTCATAAGCTCTTGCGGACGGGGTGCAGAAACGTCGAGAGCCCTGCTACTGGCACGGAGCATAAGCGAGCTTCACTTGCAGCCCACCATTGTCACGTATAGCGCTGCAATAAGTGCCTGTGAAAGTGCATCAGACTGGGAGGCTGGCCTCGAGATGCTCAACGCAGTTCGATGTGAGCAGATTCAAACGAATGTCACCACGTGCAGTGTCACCATCAGTGCATGTGGAAAGTGCGCCATGTGGCTGCGAGCTTTGCAGCTTCTGAGGGAGATGGGAGTGTTAAATGTGGAGCCAAACACGATAACATACAGCTCGGCCATTACGGCTTGCGAAAGAGCTGCTCAATGGCGATGTGCTCTGCTACTGCTCGAGGAGATGGATCAGATGCAAGTTGTACCAGACGTTATTACGTATAATTCAACAGTCAGTGCATGTGAGAAGGCTGGGAAATGGCAAACGGCCCTCCACCTGATGTGCAATTTGTATGGGCGGGCGAGTCTCTTGCCAAACACCGTCACGCACAATGCAGTTCTCTCGGCGTGTGAGAAATCAAGTGAGTGGCAGGTGGCCGTCTGGCTTTTGAAAGAAATGAAGCAGAATGAGTTCCGACAGGACGTCGTTACGTCGAACGCCGTTCTCTCGGCTTGCGAAAAGAGAGCGGAGTGGGAACACGCACTGTCCATATTGCGAGAGCTTGGCATCTCGCGTCTCGAGGCATCTCTCGTCACCTACAACTCCTGCATCAGTGCATGTGAGAAGGGCGAGCAATGGCAGCTTGCTTTGCTGCTTCTTTTCGAAATGAACATGAGGTTCATGCAAGGCGACATCATTACCTACAACTCGACCATTAGCGCATGTCAGAAAGCTGGGAAGTGGCAACAAGCCTTGTGGCTGCTGGAGGGGCTTGAATGGCTCCATGTTGAGAAGGATGTTATTACCTATAATTCAACAGCCAGTGCCTGCGAAAGAGCTGCCCGGTGGGAGCATTCCATGGCCTTGCTGAGCAACGTGTTGCGTCGGGGGGATCCGATTGATGAGATTTCCTTCAATGTTGCCATCACTGCGTGTTGGACTGCCATAAAGTCTGTGCAAAGGTTGGCAAAAGCATGCAAAGTCAATTTGTGCCCAAGAAAGCAACCATTCCTCACATAGTCCGTGCATGATGGGGTCAGTATGGGGATCTGACACATTCAGTGTAAAGGGTTCCGGTTGCGTCGTGTCCTGCGCGATCCGGTGCTGTAGTTCAATTCACTTGCTTCAAAGATTTTGGCGCGCTTGGTGCTGAGTGCAATGAGATGTGGGCTAATAGGCGTGCAGCGTAAGGCAACCGGGGTCAGGATCAGCGAAAGCAACGCAACAGGGGACAGGACCGGGATCACCAAAGTCTCGTCATTGTACTTTGAGCAGCCATGCCAAAAACGGATTTAGTGACGGCACGTGGCAAAATGAGCTCGTTTCTTCGCCGAACGCTGTAGGGCATTTGACCCGGGTTAGGGTGCCAAGAGGGGATATGCCCATCATGCCTTCTGGTGCACTGACGTGAGTAGAGTTGTGTGGTGGTGACAGTGGGAGGGGCTCAGACTCGTAGTCAGCAGCCTTGCAAACCCCATGCGGAGCCAGCCAGCAGACCATTCTCTGCGGCTTCGGAGGGTCCATGTACCGAGACCGATGGCTGAAACTGGAGTGTGATGGCATCAAGACTGCAGAAAAGGTGCCGAGAGACCCCGTGGACAAAGAGAAGACTGAGAATACCTTCAAAGTGACGGTCAACCTGTTTCGGATAAATTGGAAGGCAAGCATCCATCAGTACCACTATGACCTTCCCGATACGAACACTACGCTAGAGCGCGAGCGAAAGCTGCTTGAGAAGGGATGGGCTCTCTTCAAGCGGGAACTGGGCACATTTGTGATTTTGTGGCCCGGTCGGGTGTTTTCTCCCACTTCCGTAAAGGATTTCAAGATTGTGGTCGAGGATGGCCAGGGGAGCGTGGAAATAAAGGTTAGCCACGTGCGTGAGATCACGGCAGCGGAGATAAACTCTGGCAGCATGGGTTCAGCCTCCGTGGTTGGGCAGTACATTGCAAGCCAACTAGCTTCTCCACTGCGGAGCCAGCGAGTTGGCAAGCGCTTCTACGAGGACTACTGCCCGCATGTAATGGGACATCAGGTCATCAGCGGCTTTTGTATAAACTGGGCAAGCAGATTTTTGCCCTGGCTTGGTGTCGCAGAACCTCTTTTGCAGGTGGATGTCATGTACAGGCCGGCCAGCTCCAAGAGCATCGTGGAGGTTCTGAAATCCAACCTGGAAGGTACAGACATCTTCCAGCAAGTGCCGCAAATAAAGGCCGAGTGGCTGCGCCTCTGCGTGTCCTCAACGGTCGTCACATCATACAACTTTCGTGTCTATCGCATCAAAAAAGTGCACTTTGACATGAGGCCCTCGAGCATTCTGAAAATGCGCGAGAAGGGCAACACGGAGAAGGTTGAGACCACCTTCGCACAGTATTTGGAGACCTTCTACGGAAAATCCGTGACCTTCAAGAACCAGCCGCTCTTGGAAGCTCACCCGGAGAAGTCCGACGAGAAGGTCTATCTGCTGCCAGAGTTTTGCTGCCCCACAGGTGTGACCGCCGAGATGCGAAAGGAGAAGAGCACAATCACGGAGGTCCTTAAGCAGATCAAGGTGTCCCCACAGGAGAGGCACAACGCTATAGTGAACCAAGCAAAAAAAATGCGGAACCAGAAGGCAGCTCAGGATACGCTGAAGGCTTGGGGCTGTGAACTAGGCTCGCCAAGAGAGGTGACAGCTCGCCAGCTGGAAACTCTGCAGGTTGCTTTTTCAGACAAGAAGATTTACAGCATCGAGGAGGGCAGCTTCGCTCGGTCGCTGCGGAATGGATTGCAGTGTGCTGCGGAAATCAACGATTGGCTGCTGCTTTATCCTCAAACGGATGAGCCTGTCTTGGATGTTTGGCTGCGTTCGCTGCAAGATGCCTCGAAGGACGCTCGCCAATTGTTTTTGGTTGACGCGCTTGTCTGGCAGGCTGCACAAGATATAACATACTATAACAAGACCTATTAAGATACCTTCTTGGGCAGGCAGAAGTTTCTGTTGCATTGATCTCTCATGCCGGATGAGGTTGCCTTCGGGATTCGTCTGGCAGATCCACAGAAGGCTGCCCATCTGCAAATCCTAGTGGGCTTCTAGTACCTACACAGCACTATGTAGCCACTCCAAACCCCATTTCGCGGAGTCGACTTCATTTCATGCCGCTGCCTCATGTCGAGGTCTGCTGCAACGAGCAGCATTTGGACCTGTCAGACACCATGGAGAAGCACATGAGAGCGGACACCCAGCTGCTTGGTAAAGTATGCAAAGGCTGAGTTCGAGGAGGGGTATAAACGATTCAACATTTCTCAACCTTTGTCCGAGTGAACCTCGGCGAGCATGGCGGAGCACAGGAACCCTTGCACTGTTCAACCACCGTCAGACATTGCCGTAGGAAGATGCAGTAAGCAAGCTCGCTTTGGAAGCTACAGAGCTATACTTGACTACTGGGGAGTATTGGAGATAGAGTGTTCAGGGCCGTCTTGAAAAGGATGCCATCCCGCAGCACTGCCCTCTTCCAAGCACAAGCCCGGACAGGTTGGTGCTGCTGCTCATCCCCAACACGGATGTTCGGAAGGTGTACACCCTCTTCAAGCAGCTGACTACTGACACGTACAGCTGCATTTCACAGGCGGGCAAGCTGAAAATCGTCTCGCCTTGTGCTAGAGACCTGAAACAGAATCTGAATAACTAGTAAAGCTCCATGCAGGTCCCTCCCCTTCGATACCCAATCCGTCCATTTCTTTGTGAGGAAGATTTTTAAGAGAAGCTTTGTAGTTTTTTTTGCAAGAGCCCTGTAGACACTGTAGGTGGTGCGTAGCGAGACGATCCGGAAGCGCCAGTCCGTGGGTTCGATCCTCCACAAGGTGGCTCAGCAAATCAACGCGAAGTTCTGCGGGCCGCTTTGGCACATCATTCCCAAGGAACCGGAAGACGCACTGCTCTTGGACTTAAAGTCCAGGGGCTCTTACATGGTCGTCGGCATTGACGTGTACCTCACCACCGAGGGCGAACGCTGGCTGGGAATCTCTGCAACTTTGGACAAGGTCTTTTCTCAGTACTATTCCATGGCTGCCGAGATGAAGACAGGACAAGGGGAGGACTGGCGGACCAGCTTGTCAGTGGAGCTGCAGCGTCTCTTCCGCGATGCTCTCCTTTGCTTCGCTGACTGCAATGAAGGTGTCCTGCCTGAGACTATCATCGTGTACCGTGCTTTGGTGAACGAAGAGGACTGGCCATGGGTGGAGGCAAGTGAGGTGAAAGCTTTGCAGCGCATCTTGGGCCTGGCTGCAAATCACTGCGAGGGCTACTCGCCAGCGATCACCTTCATCGCCATTTCCAGGAAGTCGAACATGCGGATCTTCTACTCGCAGCCGGATAAGGAGAATGTCAAGAATCCTGAGCCAGGAACTGTTGTGGACGATCCGGCAATATGTCCTGGCCCAGTACCTAATTTCTATTTGGTCAGCCAGGCGATTACCAAGGGCAGTGCAGTCCCAGCACACTTCTCCGTCCTGATCAACTCGGCAAGGCTGCCTCTGGAACTGATTGAGAACTTAACAAACCGCCTGTGCCTGATGTACTATAATGTCCCAAATGCCGTCCGAGTTCCTGCGCCGGTCCTGTATGCCACGAAGATCGCGTTCTTTTGTGGCACTGTGACCAAGAAGCCGCCGAAACCGCGCCTACAGAGAACCCTCTTCTTCTTGTGATCACCTTCGCTCTCTCCTTCCAAACTCTATCCAAGATGTAGCCCGTTCCAGAGGCGGAAACGGCGTTGTGATCGTGAGAAAAGCGGCATGTCTTGTAGTGCTGCAGCGGCTGGCGCAAAAGGCGTGTCTGAAGCAGTTCTGTCAGCCATAAACGAGCGACCACTACTATGCTGTTACAAGAGGCGAGGTTGGATAATTTGCGAGCTGATTTCTTCAAAATAATGAATATGATTTTATTCCCCTTCCTTGGTGTGGGGTTAGATTTTAAATTCCATTCTTCTCCTCATCCACTGAATTAATTTGATTATTTCTATCTTGGTTTAGATATGCTTGCTTCTTGAAGATATACGAAATTATTAGTAAAAACTATATCATCTTGGATATATGGATTAAGCATCTATTATGAAAATTTATATTAAATGATATCTTCCCATGGACGTA